TTCCGGGTCTTTGGCTTTATCTTGAAGGACTTATTCTGATCACGGAGGTCTGTTAGCTTTTTGCTTGCTTGCTCTCTTGACTTTTTTTCAGTTTCAAAATGATAAGAACTGTCTTGCACCGGATTTTGTTCTCAAACAAACAGCCCTGAATAAACGGAAGAAGAAGTTGCAGAACGAAGACGACGGTACCAAAAAACGCTTCCGATGTACGTTGCACTGTCTTGCGCATGGTAATGGCTCATATTATTGCAGCTGAAGTATCTTTATGCTCATCACTGCCACCTCTTACATCCTCGTTCCGCCCAACCGTTTTTGAGGAAATCGAAGTTCTCTTCGCCAAGATAGCGGTCGACTCATCTGGTGGGGTTACGATCGCACTCCCTGACATGAATGAGTCTCGAGAAACCACAACTCTTTCAATCTCAAAAGAACTCTTTGCTCAGGGAGAGAGTCAGTACGTTTATAAGGTCGGAACACTTCAATTTATTAGCGTTGGCTGATTTGGGAAGTAGGGTCTCTTCAAGGGCCAGGTTTACGCTTTCAAACGCTTCAAGAATACAGGTCTCGGAAGAGATGTAGTCTCACTTAAGCAGAACCAGTCGGAGCTCATACTCGAGGCAGAACGACATGTCCAGATTGGTTGGTTTTACTCTGAATTCAAGAAAAGAGCTCGCGAGGTCAATGTGGATATTGAAGGCACCTTCAGTTCTTCTGTTTTTTTTCTGTATCGTTGACGTGGCATTTCAGAGATTTGTGTGACCGAATGCCTTCTTGCGTTTGAGGTTACGCCTCAGAAGACCGACCCAAGCACTGCCTCTGGATACAAGGACGACGATATTGCTATTGAGGATACGCCAATGGTCTGGCTTATGGAGCCATTCCGTCCTGGAGCTTCAAAGAAGTGGAGTGGAACCAACCAACACCCTTCTTACTCGGACAATGCTCTAGGCAACACGCTCAATGCATTCGCACACTTCGTGTTTGCTACAAGCTTCGGGGGCATAGCTATTGCCGATATCCAAAGTCAGTCATATCTTCCCGCTTTATGCATACTCATTCTCATAGCTTCTCATGCTCGCCTTGGAGATAAGGCCGCTGATATCATGTTTGACCTGACTACGCACACTACCCAAGGGTGAGTGGTACTTGGTCAATTTCTTCTCGTATCTTATTAACTTGAGTAGCAAAAGCGGAGTCGGAGATCATGGATGTGATGGACTTGACACTTTCCGCAAGCAGCATATTTGCGTTTCTCGGTGCCATAGTCTCAATTTAGGTACTATCGAGAATGAGGAGTTGACGGAGACAGATGGTGATGAGTACAATTAGCTATTGTTCAACTTGTCCTCTTATGCAAGCATGCCCCTTGTTTCACAACAACAGAGACGCAGCGTCGAGGAAGAGCAGTTTTGCGCAAGCTTGGTATATGACATGTGACCTCTACACAAGCTTGCCACGAATGAGTGGCTGGAAGTAATATGTGGATTCTACTAGCAACTTGAACAGGAAGAAGAATAAGGGATGGACTCGGCAGGAATGACCAGTAGGCACTGGGGCATCTAGTGAATACATCTATCGACATTCAAAGTACTCCAGACTCACCATTATCCACATCTTCCGTCCACCAACAGTCTTCATGAGACCTCTATCCATCAAACCCTCAGTTTGGAGCCGTCATAGAGGAGTGTGGTTGACTGCAAGGTGAAGGGTGGCAAAGACAGATGCTCGTCCCCACGGCTGTCGTCCCAAAGGACCCAACCGGCTGGCTTGATGACAGGGTGCTTTCGCTCACTCGTTACGGCTACCCATGGGGAGATGAGCAAGTGGAAGAGAAAGCCAGCTCTTATATACCTTGTGTCACGGGTATGTGTGACTCAACGCGACGCGACCGACGTGTTGTCAACAAACAACAAGCTGCCTAAATTCTGGCGGAGTTGTCATGTGACTTCAAAAATCCGCCAGAATTTAGGCAATTGAAATGTGTCAGGCTACCGCTGTCAGCAGACTCCAAGAATCAAAAAGTAACCTTGGCCTTCCGGCCGACGGTACCCATTAGGACCCTTGATTATGCCCTACGAGGTCAGATCCCGGAATCCGGACAAATTTTTAAGATTTCTGACCAAGGTTTGACCCGAATCCGGACAAAAAACTGGCCCAAGCGAAAAAGGTCGAAACCAAAATCCGGACAAGACGTCTTGACACAAAACAGGTCGGATCATGAATCCGGACAAAAATTTCGGTTGCGGCTGCTCGCACTCGCAGCTATGACGCGCAGCGTTGTCGTAAAATAATTATGTACTAGGGTAGATCAGGCAATGTTGCTGGTGCTGAATAGTACGATTATTTTGTCTTGAGCTCACTATTCCCGAAACCAACACCAAACCAGCCAGCATGTCCATTGTCAACCCAACAAAGGACCGACTCGGAAGAGCCTTTCGATTTCAGTGCTCCAAATAGGGAATGGAATCCACAGGAATGGATTGGATATGGTCGAAAAATAAAGGCTTTGCTATTGTTCTAAGTTATATTACTCCTTTTCTTCTCCTTTCGGTACTTTTTCAGAGGTTGGAACCAAATCCGGACAAATTTCGCCCAGTTGGTACAGGTTTGTTCTGAATCCGGACAAATTTTCCTTTCATCTAGCGTCCAAAAAATCCGGACAGATTTTTGCCAAAGCCGATTTCAGAATCCGACCTCATAGGGCATAATCAAGGGTCCTGTCCCATTCCATTACTCTCTATCCTTGGGCTATCCTACAACTGTGAGCGCATTTGACCTAGAATTTTTCCCCAAGTCCACACGGCTGTGACTGATGTCGATCTGTCCATAATTCAAAATGGCGCCATATGACACCGTCACATTCCATTGCTCCTCTTCCGCTTTCCCCCACCATCTCTCCCTTCTGTCTTCCTCCAGCCTCCGAACTCGAAGCTGACTTGAGTGCTTGAGCTGGCGGTGCACATGTTAGCTTTGACCAGACAGGTAGGCTACTTCCAACGTACAATCTCCTGTAAGCTAACCAGAGCATCCAAGCTGTTACTCAACTCAGTCTCTCTTCCGACTTGCTGCTTATGTACCCATCCCAACAAGTGCCTCTCTGGTATGTCATACATCGCTGTCTGTCATATGCTCTTGACTAACTTTCCTTCAATTCAGTGCTCTGCTCCCCTTGCCTCGACCACTCCCGTTCACCCACACTACTGTCATGAACCACTGTCGGACTCGAAGAAGGTTAGAGTTTGGGACTGGGTATATAGCTATGTAGCTTTTCTTAAACTGTACTGTACTACATACCATGCAATATTAATGATAGCGATGGCCAGGTCCGGTTCGGGATTTCGGTTCGAACCCGAACCGGACCGGACTGAACGCGCGTTCGGCGTTCAGGTTCGGCGAATGCCGTTTCGGAACCGAACCTGGCCCTCGGTTCGGCCAAGTTCGGCTATTTTGGGCTAAAAAGTGCCGGTTCGGGGCCGGTTCGAACCGCCGTTCGGCGTTCACGTTCGGCCAAATCCGATTTTGAACCGAACCGGCGGTCCGGCGTTCGGCCAAACATGGCCAAGAACCGGACCGAACCGGACTTGGCCATCGCTATCGCTATGCAATGAATTCTATTCTTTTGCATTCTGTCCATTCCAATGCATGCCATTTAATTTTGACCAAATCATTATTGCACACATCACATGTCACCGCCAGCTATGAAATAAATGCTCGCATCGTCTCACTAAATCACTGGATTTGACATTCACCTCGTTTTGTCCCGCTGAATCACCAGATTTTCGGACATTTTTGTAACGGAATGCTACATATTGAGATCAACTGTGTATTTGACATGTGGTTTGAATTTAGTCCCATTACATCTCATTTGGTGACACTGACTTTTCACTGGGGTCGAAGGACCATTGATGTCACGCTGTCACAACTATGTCAACGTTAACTCTTTCCAGCTCGTCATCCTCTTTCGAAATACCAGTACTTCAGGAAGGACGGAAATATACTTGCTGTGACACGGAACTCTTAGACTCCGCGCGAGAGGCCTTAACAACTGCGGGACGCGAAACTTGATGGTGCTACTTGGTTGAACTGCTCAGGCACAATCGGCTGTTCATTCATGACAGTAGCATTACAAGTTCTCCTCAGTTCAGCCCGCTCTGAATGCCGAGCTAGACCGTAAGCTGGATAGCCATACGATGAGACTGTGGTAAGATGCATCATTAACATATAAACTATATGTCAGGCCAATTTTAGGCTGCGGGGCGTCCGGCGTTTGCTTTAAAATCTCTGCTTGAAGTCAGAGTCCACGCAATGCATGCTCCCGTGAATGTCGACAGTACAGTGGGTAGGCCGTATGCAGTACCTGTTTACATAGAGACTGACCGGAATTCTCAGGTTAGGGCTTGGTTTATATAGGGATGTTTGTAAACCCGTTTATAAACACCCCTGTTTTATTTGTTTATAAACAGGCATTCTGGGAAGAGGGTGTTTGTAAACAATGTGACACTAGTGTGACAGTCAGCCAAAGTGTGACATCTCTGCCATCAAAAGTATCCTACACTATAAAATTTAGCTGAGATAGTAGATATTGAAGGGAAACTTCTCAGCCTCACCTGGCACCACTATTAGTAGTATTTCACCTTGACAAACATATGAAAATTACATGGCGTGAGGCTGCTTAGCCTGAAGTGTTTATAAAACCTAAAAACCGGTTTATAAACAGGGTTTTGGGGAGATTTTTTTACAAACCGTTTGTTAAGGCCAAAATTTTTATAAAACCAAGCCCTATCTCAGGTGCTCTCCAGATCGGCACACTCGTGTCTTTCGCTCTTTATGGAGTCACTGTCGTTCAAGGCTATATTTACTATGAACGGTTTCCTAATGATTCTTTTTGGCTGAAGTCTCTGGTTTGTTCTCTCATTCACGGGAACTCCAGGTCCTCATTGACACTCACAGGTTGCAATCATGTGGTATAAGCTCTAGCTCCGGCGATGTCGCAGATATGAATGACCGATAGTGCCCTCGAGACTGGGCATGCAGCATGTTTCGGCCACTTGGCGTATTACTATTCAACAACAACCTACGGACATCCAGAGAGTCTCTTTCTCAAGGCCCCAGGCTCCTTGGGGGCTGCGATTATCCTCTCTGCCTTCATCGTATTCTGCGGTTCGGCGCTGAAAATGCTCGTGAGCCTTACAAATGTACTCACCCTTGATCAGTCCAGTCGTTCTTTACCTTCCGGATATACATTCTCTCAACGAGCAAGCCCCTTGCGCTATTATTCGCCGTACTCACCGTAGTCTGGTTCGTCATCAGTGCGGCAATCGGAGTGGGTGCCGCGTTGGAGCCAAGCATCCCTATTTATAAGGTCAAGTGGGGAAATGTCGCCCTTGCCTCCTTGGGCGGCAGTGCTGCAACCGACCTGCTCATTGCGCTGACCTTGGTTTGGCTGCTTAGTCGTGAGCGCTCAGGATACAAGAGAACGCACGATCTTGTTGCGCATCTCATCAAATGGACCATTGGTGTGAATCCCACTCATCTGTTGGTCTTGTCGCTAACTCTTGGTCTAGAGACTGGCTTGTTGACAAGGTTCGTGTAATTGAATGTGGTTTGTGCGTGTCCTGCTCGATCCTGACTCCTGCAACAGTTTCTCCAGCCTGTTGACAGCGATCTTGGTATGTGACTCTCAACGCGTTATAGGAGTCGCAGCTAACAACCAAAAAGTATGGGACGATGACAACAAATTGTTCGTTTCATTCTATCGACTTTCGGAGACACATTGACCAAGATGTACTTCTGCAGTGATCTGGCTTGCCTTGTTTGCCATCAAGGCTCGACGTATGTACTACTTCTACTTCCCCCACCTGTTGCCTAATACCAAGTTTCCGCCCAGTCTTTGCCAATTCATGTTTTGCAAGGTGACAGGTTTGGTTCAGTCGCATTCAAAATGGCTCTGACATTTCGCCAGTCTCAATGCTCGAGTCTTCCTCCGCACCCAGGCCGCATTGCCGATGTCCATCCAGGGAATCTCTGTAGCCGTATCAGAGGTATGGAAGCTACTCGGTTCATTTTTTTTCTCGACAAAAAATGATCCCACTTTCAAGATTGTGATATCCTCTCAACATAGTAGCAAACCTCACGACTCCGAGCAAGCAACGCAGAACTCAAAAGCTATTGCATGTTAATATTCAGAGTCCAGTCCTGATCAAGTTTTCGTGGCTGAAGCTCGCGCACACTTCTCGACTTCACTTTAAAATTTTCTGTGATTGCAACATTGTGAGCTGGCGCTGGATTCTGAGCCGATTTGATAGAATGCAAACCAAAGCATAGAATGATCAGCAGGTCAACTGTGCCAGAGCTCAATGTTATTCATGTCTTCGATTTTATTGGAGAATAGGTTCGCAGGTTGAACAAATCAGGACTTGAGCTCGAAGAACACTGAACGCGCTACTTAGTCTCTCAGTCATCGTCATCGTCTGTGTCAAGTTCCTCTGCTGAATCTTCTTCAGTCGATGTGTTTGACTCTTCCGACTCCATTTCCACGTCCGACTCTTCAGACTCCATCTCCGCATCCGACTCCTCCAAATCGCGATCAAGACTTTCTCTGAGCCCTGACGCAGTGGGTACATCGTACGGGCCCCATCGCTCTCGCGGATTCATACCCAGCATCAACCGGACAAGATGGAACTCGAGATCATTTGCGCAGGTCGGGAGAGTGGTCCAGTGTTCGTAGTCCGCGAATATGCGTTCATGCTCGCCATCGCCAAGGGAAGACTGCTGGAAGGCACTGTCCGTTATAGCGTCAAAAACATACTCCAATCGGCCACCCTTGCGGAAATAGAAGACAGAGTCGTTGGAAAGGTATCGTTTGACGTTGGCAAGCGAGAAAACTTCATTGGTGGAGCTGAGGAGCTCGTAAACGGCATTGAACACATCGCAGTAGCCCTTGTAGAACGAGAGATAGAAACTTGACTGGAAACGACGAGGGATGTAGTCTGAGTGCATATAGTAGTCAAAGCTAGCTGGTTGGCGGGGCGTAAAGTCGTCGTAAAGGTCCGGCATTGTATCTTTTGCGTAAGCCGCTTGACCTGAATGGATGCTATCAAGCGATGAGAGCGAAGACGCGGAAAGGTTACTCACACTCGAGCTGAAAACGCATGCGGGGAGACAGCCAGCCGCCTGCACAACGGCCGCAGGTGCAACCATACTTGTTCTTGGCAGTATACTGCTCGACTGTGCTTTGAACTAGCATACCCATACTTTGTTTGAGCAAAAACTCTGCCTCAAGCGCATCCGCCGAATATCCGCGCCAGTTGTCGAGCAACATTTCAGAAAAGTTACGGCTTGAGCTCATCGTTGACTGCAAAAGTTCCAAGGGGGTGGCGCCGTCCGAATTAGTGGCGTTCAAAAGGTCCGAGCTCATGTCCCAGCTCAGCAGTTTGCGAATAGCGATAACATTAGCCTGCCCAGCCGCAATGTGAAGAGGTGTGAAACCAGTCAAGTCGGATGTGTGGACACTAGATGGGTCGCTATCATAGCAGGATTGAATCAAGGTGGCGATCTGGCCGGTTTTATCATCAAAGATCGCGGCATGCAATGGATATTCTTGTCTCGTTTTGGCAGGGTCGGGAACGGAGGAGAAGATTTCGCTCAGTGCTTGAACATCGTCCTTGACAGCAACACGGCGCGATGGATGGTTGTTGTTCGGTGAATAAGCAAAGAAAACGGTGCGGCCAATTCGGCGGAAGTGGTTCTGAAATTGAGTATGCTACACCAAAGAAGGGTTAAAACACACCTTGCGAAAGAATGCAACCTGACGATTCTTGGCATCTTCCCAGAGCTCTCCCTCGATACCCATAGGTGTTGGCCAGCAAGTTACGGTATCATTTTCTTCGACGTGTTTGGAATGGAGAAACTTGTCAAGCATCCACGAGCCAATTCCTTGACCACGGAGCTATATATAATCAGGATTAACGACAAGGCCAAAGAAGCACTCACAGCCTCCTCCACAGAGACCCAAAAGATGTAGAACAACACTCCCTCATTCAACTCTCGGCCCCAGCATCCACTCCCGCTCCGGTACCCTGGCTCGACGAGATGTGGCTGGACGTTACCATACTTGTCGAAAAGCGTCGCAGAAAATTCATGCATTTCGTCTATTTCTTCGTCAAGTATTTGAAGGAAACGGTCGCAAAAGTAGGGCCGGTCGAGCCGCCAGGCAGATAGCGTTGCAACAGTTTTGTGTTGAGGATGAGTTACGGTGACGGAGACTTCTTGAATCGCACGTGGATGCTCACGGTGGTCTTGGAGTTTGGTGCGTATCTTGAGCTCGTTTTTATTGAGGATGGGGTTCATGATGAAGTTTTTAAGGATCACGTGGGTATCTGATTGCTTTCCCCAACTTCTCCCATTGCCTGTCTCTATGCGGATCGGCCCGGCAGTTCTCTCATCACACACGAATATGAGCTGCAGACTCGATTTTATACATACAAACAAACAAACAACACAATAAGGTTGAAAACGAAAGTGTAGTGTAATCTACGCGGTACTTACGATTCAGAGTAAGGAGGCCGCGAAACGCTTGTTGGGATTAATGGATCCTCTCACCCAGGTCGGAGAACCATGACTTTATGCCAGTTTGTTGTGCGTTTAATAAAGCTAAGCTTACCATCCAGCAATCACTCTGGAAGACTGCAATCGCACTCAAACAAATTGGGATTAGTGTCCGGACTCCACATTGTGCCCTTCATTCGTGAACACGTTTTAGGGGACAGGTGATCCTTCTGCTCTCGTCGCCGTCATCACACACGAATATTGAGCTGCAGACTCGATTTTATACAAACAAACAAACAACACAATAAGGTCGAAAACGAAAGTGTAGAGTAATCCACGCGCCAAGCGCGCAAAACCGGGTCGAGGAGCCAAATGCCGATTCTGCATTTCGTGTCGTTAGTGAACAAGTCAAGCAAGTCAAAGACGCACAGATGTTAACCGTGGTAGTAAGAGCGCTCATGCGATAACGCAGCTGCCGCTCGAGCCGTTTCCGCCGTCCTGGTTGACTGGCGCAAGGGAAGTGTCCTCCTTGCAGACGACACAGCTTCCGCTGGAGCCGTTGCCGCCGTCTTCGTTGACGGGAGGGACGGTGATGTCCTCGATGTTGGCGGGGATGATGGTGTTGGTGAACGCGTCCATTGAACAAGTGAGTGAGCGAGTTGTAGGCGAGCCTGGTCGTCCTCTCAATTCCGGCGAGGTTTTATACGCTGGAAGCTCGCAGCGGCTGGATGCGTTTAGCCGACGATGGCCAAAGCTTTGTGCGGTGATGCGCGAGAACAAGAGATTGAGGCTGATCGAATATTTGCGAAAATGAATGAGCAGACAATAACAAGTGGATCGAGTGTCCCCAGCCAAGTAACAAAGAGTGTGTCTGAAGATGTCGGGCTTTGAGGCGGGCTTGAACAGAACTGAGGAGCAAATCGGGGATTCCGTTACTCGTCGTCGATCGCAAGAAGCTCCCGCGGAAGCTTTTGTACTTCTCAGCAGTTCCTGGCTTTAACGATGAGATAGGCCGGGAACTTTCAGCAGAGCAACTGGAGTGCCAGTGAGCAAACGCGAGTCCGCGGTTATTGCACTTCCAACAATAATAAACGACGATCGTTGTGTTTGTACTTTGCGCCAGGGATTTGCCGGATATTCAAGCCCCCGAAAGGCCTAGCCTCTATGCGATCGGTCTTTGCGCCAGGCTGGGTTGCAGTCGTAATTGTTGAGCTCACTGGGAAGTTAATGTTTCAAGTTCAAGGACGAATGGCCCATCTAAAACGCGGCCCGGATCCACTTTTGACGTAAGTTCAGCTGCATCAGCAAAAGATACTAGTCAGTGGTCCAAAGAGCAACCAGAGAGTACACTTAGCTATTTTCACGTCACATGCTATCCAACGAAGTCCAAGATTAGACCAACTGGATAACATTGCTCTTAGGGCATACAGCAGATTATCCAGTTCAGAGTATCGTAGAAGCATAAATACTTATAGCTTGCCAATTTGAGCGGCAGTGATGGACTGACCAGAGGCTTTGGCACGCTTGCGCAGCATGGCAGCGGACTTGTTTCCACGAACACCTCCACCCCATTGACGACGCTGCTCCTCGTACTTGTCGGAAAAATTGGCCTTGGCAGCACTGACAATAGTAGCAAGTTCCCGTGCATCCTCGCTCTTGACGTCCTGGAGAGCGACGACAGCAGCGGTTTTCTTGTGGACAACGGTGCCGAGGCGTGCCTTTCCCTTGACGATGACATAGGGCACACCCATCTTGCGACACAACGCGGGTAGGAAAACAACGAGCTCGATGGGGTCAACATCATGAGCGAGAACGACAAGCGAGGCTTTCTTGGCTTCAATCAGTGCCACGATGTGGTTGAGACCGTATTTCACGAAAAGCGGCTTCCTGGTGTCCTGATGAAATGGTCAGCAGGAGTCCGAATCATCGACACAACAGACCTTGGAAGCATCTTTGCCATCAGCAACGGCAGCAGCAGTCTCTGTGAGGCGGGCTTTCTTCTCGGCCTTGGTTTCAGGACGGTACTTGTTGAGTAGCTTGAACAGCTGTGTCGCAGTGTTCTTGTCGAGGGTGTGCGAGAACTGAGCGATGGCAGGAGGGACCTTCAAGCGTTGGTGGAGGATAACTTTCTGGCGCTGAAGACGGATGTACTCGGGCCATTTGACGAAACGAGTAAGATCAGAGCTGGGTTGGATGTCCTGGCCTGAATTATCGTTAAGACAAGGGATAACGAGGGGATAGAAACAGACCGATTCCGAAATTCCGAGGTTTGGCTTCGAACAGAGGGTTCTTCTTGACCTTCGAGGCCTTGCTGGCAAAGGGTGACGGTGCGAGTTTCTTCCCGGTCTTGGCTTTGGGAGGCTGGTCATTGAGACGAAGATCAGTAACGAGTTTGCAAAAAGCAGCGTCGTCATTGGCCTCGGAGCTCTAATGTCTGCCGAGGCAGACCCAGCTGATTTGAGAGGTGCTTCATTGCCCTGAAGGCTCTGCATTCTCTACGGGGGTCGACTTGGACCAAGCAACTAACTGGACAAGTGAGTAAAACGAAAGTGTGCCAAAAAAACCCACTGATTACTCTTCGTCGATGTGTCAACAATCCCATAGAGCTCCGAGGCCAATACGACGAGAAGTAGAATGGGGTCTTACCATTATCTTGAGAGGTTTTGAGGTGTTTCGAATGGCGCTGGGTGATGGCTTTTAAGAAGTTTTTGTCGTGGGAAAATCTCTTCGGTGCCGTTTTGGAACGGTTCCGCAAGTTGCTTTCTGACTTTCACCACGACAAGCAAGCTGAATGTCATCTTTTGTCCGGCAGCGCGACAAACTCAGACCTAAATCTCCAATCGATCAAAGCAACCCACCTCCAACTGTGACGCTTGACTAAAGTTGACCAACCAACATTGCGTTATCATACTGTATACGAGTATGCAGATTGGTTGAAGAGGAGAAGGAGACGCTTTAGTCCATGACCACTGATAGTGACTATACTTGAACGACCCAATCTCCTCATGTACGCACCCAAGCTTGGCTTATCGACTCTGAATCTCTGTCACCTTCGATTCCACTAAAGGCTCTGCGAATCGCACAAATTCAGATGCTTCAGCTACCGCTTCTGCCGCAAACCATGAATCACTGGAAATCATAGAATTCTGCAGACTTCTGTAAATCTCGACAAACGCCACCTCTTCTCTGTTCCACTGGCACAAATCTTCAATGGCCTGCCGTCGGAAGAGCATCCCGACAACACCATCAGGATTTACTCTTCCGATACACAACAATCCTGGAGAAGACGCAAGAAAGGCTAAGACATCGAAGAGGCTAAGACAAACGACAATCGTCACGTGACCTTACTCGCTCAAAACTCCGTGAATCTATGCCACATTCGCCCTAATTTTGTATCAAAGGAAAGCCTTGGGACACAATTTAATGGCCGATCGCAACTTGATTGCAAGTGTTCGATCTTCTCCACGTTTGCGTCATCGTCATAGGTCAACAACTCCACAGTCCGAGCCGTTAAATGCGAAGGCGCCGCCATGACATGCTAGCATTTAAATACCAACGACCACCCAGCCACGACATGACGACCGCCTACATGAACCTCGTTCCTAAAATCTCGTTGGCTGCCCTACCCACACCCGCAGACGAATGGGCCGGGGACTTGAGCGACCTATTACGCGCTCATATCACCATGACTCCGCCAGCAGCCAGCAAACGCTTTGACTTTTCTCTGCGGCCAGAAATTGGCAGTAGGTCCATGAGCGCCGGAAGTGGAGGCAATATGAGCGTACGCAAACCTGGTGGGTTGGTTTAACAGGCTCGACACCGTAAAGTTAACTTGGTGTCTAGTGCTCATCCCTCCACCGCTTGTTCGTCGGGATAGCGACTTGGTTGACCCCCTGCATAATCCCATTCCACAACAACAACATCGGGAATCAACCAATCTTAGCACAGCAGTCCACACTGGCCATTCGACCTCACCCGTGGCACCACCACCCGACTTGGCGCATCTAAATGCGGCCACCGCATCGAAGGCATCATTTCCCCGTCAATACACCCAGTCTTCAGGCCGTTTCGTTGACTCTCCAGCACCGGCTTCGCTGTCGTCGCTCAGTCTCGAGTCCCACACAGAGTCTCTGGGCTCGATGTCAACTATTAGTCTCGAATCACATGCCATTCCATCCCCAGCACCGCTCTCTTCGCAGTCTTCGTTATCTCTTGACGCACCATCACCCCCCCAAGAACGCGAGCCAGAGATTTCGGCTTCCCTTGGCGCATCAACCCCTTCACTGGTCAAAGCCGAGCTCGGACATTCACAAATCAGTCTGGCCGATAGTGGATATATTGCCTCCAGCGAAGCGGAAGGCGATGTTGACCCTGGTGATAAGCGGCCATCGCTCGACTCAGTCAGGAACCTGAGCTTGGAAGATGTTGTTCATCTTGGCCCACTACCATCACGCTCTCCTTCGCTCTCCAGTCTTAACTCTAACAGTCGTCTTGATACCACCAGCGTCAACATGTTACCGAGCACGAATTCTCACACTTGGCGACATTCTGGTGCAGTAAGCGCCCCTCCTGAGGTGTCCAGCTTCTCCGAAGGCGACGATATGGGTAGCGATGGACCGCAGGCGAAGCGGACAGACAGCGGGAGCACAGCTTCGACTGCGACCGTTTCTCCGTCCCCCGTGACAGCAGAAGAACCCAAGCGCGAAAGACGAAAGTCGGCGCTGAGCCTGAACGGACTCAACCTAAACATAGGCTTGGTGCAAAAGATCAAGGGGAAAATCGGTAACGAGAAAGATACAGCTTGAAAATGTTGCTCGAAAAAAACGCGTAGATGTACTTAATCCTCTTGTACTTGTATTTCGTTTGGTAATGTTTATCGTATTCCCTAGTAGCCACTTGGCAATTATTCAGAGGTACATACCCAAGCTATACCCCTCGTCGTTTCGGACAACCACCTAACTTACAGTCTCAGCGCTGGAAACAAACTTGAAACAAAGCTTGCAGAGTTCATTGCTAACGACAGCCTACGAGCTCCAAACCATCATACCCGAATCAATTCCGTGAGAAGACCTAGTGATTGACACTCTCTTGTCTTCGCCCAACATCTCCAATGTCGGGTGACGCTTGGTCGACAAGAATAGCTCAGCTAAACACAGAGGCGTTATCAAAGTCGCAGAGCATGTGTTGCAGCGACAGAAGCGCGAAGACTGTCGCGTCCCACCAGTATCAGAACAAAAAACCCTTCTCGATGCCGTTGCGTACAATTCGACATTTGGTGGTGCAGAGTCACGAGTGTACAGATCCTCGAGAGATTTTGACGCGCTTTTGAAGCTGTTGACCCCATGCCATGTGCTTCGCTGGCTCCATTACGACGACCACGTCTTCCTTTGCTCGGTCATGATTGCTACTTAAACGAGGTGGGACTCTGCTCGCAAACGCCATGGCCCACTTTTTCACCGCTGCAGGGATCTTCCTGCTTTCTGGCGTTTACGCCCAGCCAGCGCCGTCAGTTCAGTCTGGTATTACCGCAGCGATCAAGGCAGCCTCCAATGCGACAGGATCCCTCGACTATACGGAGTTTGTCAATGTCTATGTTGGCACAGGTGAGTGCCAGCACACTTTGGTGGTTTGGCTGGGAATTCATCTTTTTCAGACAACTTTGGTGATGTTTGGTATGTTTCTGGGCCACGCAGCCGTCACCCATTCTAAGCAAGCACAGTCCAGGAGCCTCTATTCCTTTCGGAATGGTGAGAGCTTCGGGTCCGAGCGATATTGTTTACCCCCTTCCCAGGTCAAATTCTCGACCGACATGACTGGCTATGCGCCTGCCGGTCCGCCTCTCCGCCTTTCTGAAAATAACCATTGAATTTTTTTTCCAGGATACGTCACCGACCCGACACAGTTTATTCGTGGGCTTAGTCCCATGCATGATAGCGGAACCGGGTCCTCTTTAGGCACTTGTGCGTCCTTGTTTACTATTCTTGCACTTGGAAAGGTTAGGTTATGTTAGACGGAAACTTCGAAATTATGCCGCTTCTCTGCCCCGGTGGATTTGATACCTGCACTACTCGCCTGGCGGCCCGCCAACGAAAACGCAAGCCCAACACCGATGGTGAGTTTACTCTGTCCCATATATGAGCTCGGCGTTGATTGGCTCTGTAGTTGCATCGCCAGGCTACTTTGCTCAGACGTTAGACAATGGTCTTCGTATGGAAGCCACCGCGACTCGTCGTGCAGGTCTCGAGCGATTCACCTTCCCTGCCAACTCCAAACCCTACTTTGTGCTTGATCTCGCGAACGACCTGCCTGCGTCATTCGCCGGAGGTTCCCTTGATATCGATCCAGACAAAGGACGCATCACCATCGGCGGTCGTTGGGGATCCAGCTTTGGTCCAGGAAGGTTCAGCTACCAAGCCTTCGCTTGTTATGATTTGCTCGATGGCGGAGCCCAGAAATTGAGTGAGTATGGTGTCTGGACAGGTGATAAGTACGTGGCTATCTTTTCCCTCCACCCAATCTAGTCTGTGATATATCATCCATAGCTTCGGTCTCGACGCCAAAGGGCTTGGTCAAAAGCATCTCAACCTTACGCTCAACCTTATCGGCGGGGTATACCAATCTGGGGCCTTGTTCTCGTATGAAGGAAATCCCAGCACTGTCAACATTCGTGTCGGCATATCTTTTGTGTCAACAGACCAAGCATGCGCCAATGCTGAATCGGAGATTGGGAGCTCCTCGTTTGACGACATCCACAACAAGGCGAAGGCACTATGGAACGACAAACTTAGCAGGATTGAGATTGATGTTCCCAATACCCCCGCGAATGTAACCGAGATGCTTTATACGTCGCTTTATCGCGCATCGTTGACTCCGGTGAGACTGGTTGGGTTAACGCCTCCTCTGGATCATACTCAATAAACGTACAGAACAATGCTACTGGAGAAACACAAGGCGCCTTCGCCGGGACAAGCTCGTTCTACTTCGACTCGCTCTATTGCAGCTGGGACACGGTACTTGTTTCTCATCCCCAATGAACCTGCCAGTGATTAACATGCAACTGTAGTTCCGTACCTTTTACCCGCTACTTTCCCTGCATTCGCCTGTCGAATTCGCCCAGATCGTCGACAGCTACATCGATGGCTGGCGCAAGAACGGATGGATGCCTGAGTCAGTGTTATCTTGTTTTAATCGCCACTTCCCTGACGTGTGTCACAGGTGTAGAGCCAACAACTTGCCAGTGCGCTTCAGCCTTGCTTATCTGGATCTTAACTGAGAAATTGGTACAGGGCTGGACCCAAGGCGGTTCGAGTGCCGATGTTATTGTTGGTCACTTTGCCACTCATTACCACAACGAGGCTGCCGCGCTGGGCATCAATCTCGAAGAATTGTATTCCGCTGCGTGGACGGACGGCGAAGTAAACCCTCCGGAGTGGAATATCCAGGGTCGCCAGTCCAATGTTTACAAGTGGGCATGCATTCCCATTCGATAACCGGTTTCGCTTACTTTTACCTCTTAGTCAATTCGGTTATGTGCCTTTTGCTGGTGAGTTTCAAGCCCTTTACTACGGCCAAACTCGTCAGGGACTCACAACGTGCTGTAGTTCTGGATACCTCTAGCACAGGGCGTCAAACAAGAGAGGGCAGCCGCACACTTGAGGTATAGAAACGCTTTCCCCAAGTTACCTTGCTGAATCCGTTGGATAGTATGCTTTCGAGGATTTCGCCATCCGTCAGATCGCGCTTCTACTTGGCAAAACAGACGACGAGGCCAAGTTCAACAAACGTTCTCTGGTACACTTTCCCTAGTCTGCCTGCTCTCCGTCTCTGATTTCTGTTTGGCACAGAACTACCGCAACGTTTGGGACCCCTCCGTTGTCAGCGACGGATTCAAAGGTCAAAAGCCTCGATAATACTTGCCGCACGGCTGCTTGAACCAGAGACAGGATTTTCGCAAAAGCGCTACAGCAACGGCAAATTTAACTTTACCGACCCCAAGCATTGCTCGCCGGTTGATAATGTGACGACGGAATGCTCCTTACAATCGGATAACACGAATGGCGTAGGCTCTCTTTTGATCAACCCGTCCTTTATACACTCAAACTCTCTATTTAGTTCTATGAATCCTCTTCGGTAAGCGAACTTGTCTCCAAACAAGCTTGGTAATCAACTCACGTGACCGCGTTAGTGGGAATATAGCTGGTAAGCCATACTTATGAAAACAGCCAAACATTCGTGCTCATCTTGTTAGGTTTGCTCCGCACGACACCGCGCATCTCATTGAACTGATGGGTGGAAATGTTTGCATTCCTGGTGCTTATCTTATCGTGTCTGATTGATCTAGGATACTTTCGTCAAACGACTTGACCACTTCTTCTCTGTAGGTTATAACTCGTAAATTACAACCATGAGGCTTACTGTGACATCAGGCGGGCTATTACCAGGCCGGAAATGAACCATCGTTCCAAACACCGGTTGGGTACCATTACGCAAACCACCCAGCACAGAGCGTTGACCGCGTCCGCAACGTCGTCTTCGAGAACTTTGACATCAGTGAGCTCCTCTTATCAGATGATGCATAAAGACTCACCTATTCTCCCTCAGCTCCTGCTGGGCTCCCCGGAAACGACGACCAAGCCGCGATGGCATCACTGCTTGCATTCCATCTGTTGGGCATCTATCCTGGTAAGTAACCTGCTTTTCGGCTCATAATGCTCATCGGGGAACAGTTCCCTCAACCACACAATACCTCGTTCTCTCGCCATTCACGCCCAAGTACACAATCCACAACTCTTATCTTGGCGTATCCACCACCGTAAACGTTGTCGGGTTTGACGCAAAATCTGTCCAGCACACGATCCCGAAGGGCGTCAACGCCTACGTCGTAAACGTGACGATCAACGGTGTCCCTTCCGCCTCCCGCTGCCATTTCGACTTTTTCGATGTCTTCCGGGTTGGGGGTAATGTCACCATCGAGTTAACATCCGATAAGGCGGCTGCAGACAGCTGTCTAGGCGCGCTACCAGAGAGTTTGTCAACTGGTGGCTTTGCAAAGACAAGATAAACAAAAGTGTAGTTTACAATGAGTGTAACGCAGAGGAATAAGCGGAATGTTAGTCTACAGTGCGTAAAAAGAGTCCATTAGCGCCGCCTTTCAGCAACGTCAACTCGACCGGCGGTAGTATACACAAGAATTTGGAATGGGCCATGGACATTTGGCGAGTAGGTCGAAGGCACGGCCCAGTATTTACCCGGTGAGAGCTTGATCTGGGGTGTCACAACACCACAAACATTGTCGTCGTAGCCGCCAGAGGTCAATAGCTGTTGTCCCAACGACGCGGTGAACAGCGTGAGGTTGATCGCAGACGAGGGCGTCGGACGAAGTAATTGGAGCCGCATCCTACGTCCAAATTTCAGCGTGTGATCAAAGAGAGAGAGAGAGAGAGAAACTGACTTGATCTCGGTGGCGGTGGGCACCTCCACCTCGAAGACGGGGTTCTGTGCGTAATTCTTGAAGCTGGGGCTGCCCATCGCGTTCTGTCCATTCCTGTGGAGCATTGATAAGAAAACAACGACAACAACATTGCATACCACGCTCCACGGATCGACTTGAAGTACATTCCCGCACCCTCTTGCGGAATGGTCTTCAGTTCAAACGCCAGCGAACTCTCGACTTCCAGAGAGAATGGCCCCATCTGATTGGGCTCGAACGCAGACAGTATGACCGTGTAGTCACCAACTGCGGTCGATTAGCGCGCCGCCTTGGCAACAAAAAGAACTCGTGCCTTGGAGCAGCTTCGAAACCCGAGCTAATCCGTAGCTATACGCCCCAGAAGTCGCGGCAACATCTTTCTGCGTTAACCTAGAAAGACTGAGCAAAGTACAATTGACAAGAGAAAATTCATACTCGAAGACGCGTTGCCCTTGCGACCACACAACGACGATGTTGATTGGCACCTCACGGGCCATCTGCATCGTAAGCGCAATCTCCGCTTTCTTCCGCAGGTGGGACTGCTTGATGCGCAAGTGGTATTGCGGGTTGACCATGAACGTTGGATGTGTGCTGTTCCCGCCAGCATTTTTGTGCATCAACGTCCCTTCGACCTATATTCGCATTAGCCGCGGAGTGACAAGAAAGAAGGCACGTGCCTTGGAGGAGAAGGGTGGTGTCTGGACATGTTCATCCCACGCAACGGTGGCGCAGCTTGGAGCGTAAACAGAGAGCGTAAAGCCCACTTCAGTCGTCGGTCCATCATAAGAAGCAAACACCGAGAGAAGACCGTCACTTTGTGCTGGTACTGTTGTTCTCATCTAGAAGACATGAATGGTTGACAACAACTCGAGCAACGGACCAACCAGCACATGAGGGTTGTTTGTAAACAAGTCCTACGGTTGATATTAAACGGAAAACTCCCAAGTCCTATGTATCACGTACCTTTGCCGCGATTGTGTGGTGTGAGTCCCCGACATCACTTACTTGATCTACCAGTTGGACACGCAACGAGACAAAGTCCGTCGTCGCCCGAGTGTTGGATACGTGGCGCGTAAGCAGAATCACCACTTCACACTCGTCTGTTGACTGATATTTGAGCCGTAGGTTGCGCGTCGAGCCTGTTTATCGCGTCAAGCACAGACAAGACGCGGTGGTTATAGCTAACGTTGGTTTGCTTGTTTCCAAATCCTATTAAGATTTTGTCAGATTACTTGCGAAGGAATGTCCTTTACACACACACCCGTGGAATGTCAAAGAATTCGGCCAGATATGAGGGTCCCAGCTGAGATAAATGCTGTCGAATAACCCAACAACATCTGACCATGGAATGTGGCGAACTCCTGTGGGAACGATGAGAAAGGAGGCAAAAGTGGCTCGAGAGAATCGTACGACAATCTTGGGTCTGTGAATCCTGTGGAGGACGCACCCAGGAGTCGAGGACGGTTAGCGTGCGAGTATCTTCTGATTCCGTGATGTCTGGAAAAAGCATGAGCGAGACAGAGCAGTTGTCTCAAAACGCACCGATGACTGCGTAGCAATGCGACGAAAGCAGGCTGACCCCGCACCAGGTGAGATTGGGGTCAACCCCTGTACCAAGCGTGAGCATGCATTGGCCTAGAAGTGACTGTTAACTCCTGTGTTGACGGGTGAAATTTTGGGGGTTGACCCGTTACGAAAGCGTCTAGAATGCGTTTCCACGTGCGCTCGCGTTCGAAAAACGGGCTGGGCCAGCTTCAGAAAACTCTGTAGTTTGAGCTTTTGCGCTCACCTCTTGATTTCGAGGTGCTCCGGTATCCATCCGATGAGCGCGCTGGAAGACGGTAAGCCAAACAGGCAGAAGAATGCTGGACGAGCTCACTGTAAGTCGATGCCTGAGTTACTGTGTCTCCATTAGAGGGATTGCGACTATGGAACACTAAGGCGTACGATCCGGGGAAATCGTAACCACCCATGAGCTTCATGTACTACATCAATGTGAGTTTAGCTTGCAGGGAATAGAGCTCGCTGACACCCTTCTCGAGAAGACTCGGCCAGATCGCACCGGCTGAGCTGGACATGCAAACTAGAGCGCCGGTCCCGGGGTGATATGGAAGGGTATCGTCGATGACTGTTGCATGGTAAGCCGGGAGTCGGGAACGTCGTTCGTGTGCCTACCAATCTAATTTCATTGAAGATTAATGGTTGAATGGAAGAAACGAGTGCGTACCCGCCGCCAACCACCATTAAGAAGCAGTCGGAGATCATATCTTCCTGTAGTTGGTTGCGATATTATAGGAGTCACAATGCTCTCGTCTGGCTTTGGGTTGTGAAGAAGGACATTGCCAAACTGTGCAGTTCATGAAAAATCTCCGATTAGCAAAAGGTGGTAAGTACCTCTGAGCCAAATCGCGCGCTATGCTCGAGACACACGGAGATGGAAGCACAGACGGAGCAATCTGTGATGATATGCTGAAGAATATCTTGGGGCTGGAGTCGCGAGTCAGCGTCTAGGGTTTCTTCAGCAACGGGTCGACGCCATTGTGGCGAAAGCTTCTGCTGCTCTGGAGAAAGCCCTACTTCGCCATCAGGGTCGCTGCAAGAATGCTCAGTGAGGAAATGAAGCAGATAGGGAGGATGAACCGGAAACTGGCGCTGAACTCGGAGACGTCCCGTTGCTCATCCCACGAAGGAAAAACGCGCCCGTTTACGGTCTTGCCCCTTTGTAGGACATAAAATTGTTCATCTATAGACAGATTAGCTGCAGCTAATGATCGAATGACGACGCACGGGGTGAGAAATGGTCGACAGCGACCGGTGTAAGCGCCGACTCGGGTTTAGATTTCTCGAGAAAGCCCTTGAGTTTCTCAGCGCGTTCCAAAGCCTTCCCCGCACTCGATTTGTGTTTCGTCTTGTCGTGCTGATTGTCGACTGCCCGACTCAGATAAAGGAAAGCCTCTGCTGCCTTGACATAGAGGCGAAACGCGGTGTCAAAGTCCTTGTTGTACTCCCCCTTGACTGCCTTCGCATACGTGGACTGACGATGATAAGCAGCCGTCTTTGCAGATGAGCTTGGCAAACACACCTCCGCTTCAGCCAGAGACGGCATCGACAAGCGGCAGATCACGTGCCGGACAATGAGCAGTTTTCTCCTTGTTCTTGTCCTTGTGCCGAAAAATGGTTATGGCGAGCCTTTTCTAATCAGATGCGATTTTCGATATGCCTATGTGCTCGGACGCGTTGTGAGGTCGGCCTCAAGGTTTTGCTTTCGCCTTCCTCCTATAATGACGGCTGTGTTGAGACAAGCAGCGACGGCAACAGGCAAGCTGCGGAGCTAAGCGGGCTCCGAGGTGTCCCTTATTCGCACAATTGGGACTCCAATGCCAAGAAGCTTACACGCTCCACGACGTTTGTATGTAATGGTTGACTTTTGCCCCTTCACTCCTCTTCTTTTCCTCAACCATCACCACAAATCGTTGTACTTAAGGCCTGCCTCTACTCACTCGTTTTACCCCAGAGCAGCCTTCCAATGCAGTCCATCGTAGCAGCCGCCCTAGTCCTCGTCACCGCTCCTCTCGTTGTTGGCCACGGTCAGGTGAACCGGGTGACTGCAGGCAGCAACTCGAATAAAGGCCCAAACGTGAGCTGCTCCTCCTACCCCTCTAGTAGTCATAGCTCATTCTCACTTTCAGCAATACTGGTCGGGAGACGCTGCGAACGGCAAGACGGTTACGCGTCTGATGTACAAGTCGTCTGCCCCCGCCTACGTTCTTTTCGGTGATTTTGACAAGAACTCGTTGGTTCACCTTATTGTTCATATTCACGGTCCTTGACATACCAGCAGGAAGATGTCGTGCGAAGCATCAAGCAAGGCGCCAGCTCCCAAGACGCTCAAAGTGTCGGCTGGTGAAAGCATAACGGTCTACTGGGAAGGCGCTACCCCAGAACTTAAAGGCAAGGGAGGAACAGGCGGTCTGACAGCCTACAACCCTTGGGTTCACGCGTGAGTGTCTTGTTCCGTCAACCAGACCGCGGCTGAGAGGAGGTTTTTTCTAGTATGGGCTTCGTCTTCGACTACATCACGTCCTGCAAAGGCGACTGCACCTCCTTCGACGCCACGAATGCAGGGTGGACGAAAATCGCTCATGCGGGACTCGATATGAGCCAGACCATTTCGAGCTCGTTACGGCAGACGATGAAGGGGAAGCCCGAAGCTTACTTCCCCAAGAGTGGCCCTGGCCTGTGGGGAATGGCCAAGCTGGTGCAAGATGGTTCCAAATGGAGTCAGTATACGACATCGACCGTGAATCATACATATTGACTTGCTGCAGCAATCCGGGTTCCTCCTTCGCTCAAGAATGGCCAGTACATGATCAGACACGAACTTGCCGCAGTTCACAATCCTAAGACCAGGTTTGTAACACTTGTTTCTAGTCAGACTTGATCTCAAATCGCACAGCAACCCCACTTCTGGCCCTCAACTCTGTATGTCATCAGCAGCAGCGTGTTCAGCCATAGCCTCATTTTCTCTCCAGATATTGCGTGCATCCAACTAGAAGTCGTCAACGGTGGACAGACTTCGCTTCCAGAAGGCACTCAAGCCGGAAAGTGCGCCGTTTTTGCCTATCGCTTCCGGTTCGGCCATTGACACGCAGGTTTTAGATTGTACCTCACCAATGGAGCCTTTGCCAACACTGATGTATGAACCATTTCGCCTTCCAACTTGTTCTCTGACTCGTATCCAAGGTCTACAACGGTGCATTCAACCCGAATAACGTGAAGATTCCGGGGCCTGCCGTCTGGGACGGCGCCACGGCTGGTAAACGCGATACGATTCCAATCAGCAACTCGACCCTAGAGGTTGAAGAACGAAACGCCATTACGAAACGGGACGCTGCTGCGCGGCGCGCACATATGGCGGCTCGGTCCCACTAGATACATCTCTTTGCTTCTGACGAAAGCGCTAGTCGCTGAGCAATGACTGAATGATCCTTCTTTGTAGTTTTTGCTCCTGTTGTATTCCTTCCTGTACATTGCCTTGATAATTTGATAAGCTTGCATATCAGCCGCCCCAGACCCTCACACTGGGGTCACATTAGACTCGATTCCAGTCGCGTTTTCGGGTGTGGTTGGAAATCAGGTCACCCGAAAAGCTCCGCCCTAGGGTTGATCTGTTATTTTGGTCGTCACACTCACCCCCTCTCAGACCAAATTCACAGTCTGACTGCGGGAGACAAGGGTTGATCGACTGTCATCAAGACTGTTCTCTTGGAGTGATGGCAAGCGAGCCTAGGGTACTCCTCTTATTTATGCCCAACTACATTCTAGCAATCACTAGTACCACCGACGTCAACGACGATGAATGGCTCCTACGCGATACGTTGATGTTCAAGGAGCTATTGGGCACCACCACATCTAACCACTCTCAGTGGATCGTTGCCATCCACCCTCGTCAGCTTAACCTCGTCGTCGGAGACCGTCGTTCCGAACGATCCCCAGACATCCGAGATGGTTTCACTGTTGTCGAGCCAATACGCCTTGCTGACACATTCCTGTGGCTACTCAGCGATATGCTCAGGATAATCCCCCCTGATGGACGACTGATTCTCGTCGTTTGCGGTCACGGCGAAGAGTACAGCGGGAACATCCTAGTCGGACCGGACGCCAACGGTAACAACCCTTTTCCTCCTTTGCGCAAAGAGTCGGTGGAGACTTTTATCATGGGAGCGAACTTGAGGCCCGATCAGGTGGTCGTGTTGTCCACCGCCTGTTATAGCGAGTTGTGGGCAAGTCCGTGTTGGACACTCGTGTGTGGGGCGGAACACGACCAAGAATCGGTGTCCATCCCCATGTCAATCTCAGGGCACTACCGGGGCGGATTCCTGCCTTATTCACGCGACAACCCAGACTACTGCAAGGAAACTGTGGTGGCAGTTGACGCCAACGATCCCATTGCATTCCCGCGACCAACCCTTTCAGCAGCAGCGGCATGGATGGAGGATTTCCGCCGTACTATTGGCGGGATCGCCGACAAGTATGCGTCGACGTCAGCTCGCTTGCCGACTACTGCCTCTTTTCAAAGCAGATTGAAGATGATCCCAGCCGTCGTCGCTCATGAGGACCCTAGAGCGGCTCCTATAACTCTCAATCCTGTAGATGCCAACACCATCGTTGAGCTCAAAGAACTCTCACGTCGCGTCCTCGCTCACCACTTCCGGAACACAGGAAACGCAGTTCCCATTATGAAACTTGCCTGGATTGTTTCTCAAGGGGATGCTGCGACGTTGACGCCACCGCAACAGCACCGTCTTCTCAGGTCGCTTCGCAGGTGGTCCCGTGACTGTGCTCGGGCTGAGGGGATCGCGCACACACTTGGATGGGTTACAACCAATCCGTCACGAGCGGAGGAGTGGGACAAACCGCACGGAGTACGAGAGATGGATGAGGCACAGGCGGCGGGGGCTAGAATACGAGAGGAGTTCGGCACAAGTCTCGCCATCCACCGTTGGTCATTGGGCCCGGGATCGTGGCTAGCGGCGGCCTGGCGCGCAATGGGAAGGCCCATGGTAGAAGAAGCCGACTGGACGAGGGCTGTCATGTTATCATCAATATAGCCCGACAATTTTGGAAACCGAGTATCCTATCCCATCCACACCATCATCTACCCTACACTCCAAGTCAACATTGCTACCAAATGAGCGTAATTCTATGCTATCCTATCCACACCATTATCTACCCTACACTCCAAGCTACCAAATGAGTATGTATCACTTAACATCGAAGAGCTTGATATCATAACGTTCATGGTTGGCACCAGCAATTTCAAAGGCGGGTGCTTGCCCTGTTTGTGCACTAGCCTTCAACTGAATCGAAGGTGACAGTGAGTCGATAAGCCAAGCTTGGGGGCATACATGAGGAGATGATATTCAGCTTGCTTGTCGTGGTGAAAGTCAGAAAGCAACTTGCGCAACCGTTCCAAAACGGCACCGAAGAGATTTTCCCACGACGAAAACTTCTTAAAAGCCATCACCCAGCGCCATTCGAAACACCTCAAAACCTCTCAAGATAATGGTAAAACCCCATTCTACTTCTCGTCGTATTGGCCTCGGAGCTTTATGGGATTGTTGACACATCGACGAAGAGCAATCAGTGGGTTTTTTTTGGCACACTTTCGTTTTACTCACTTGTCCAGTTAGTTGCTTGGTCCAAGTCGACCCCCGTAGAGAATGCAGAGCCTTCAGGGCAATGAAGCACCTCTCAAATCAGCTGGGTCTGCCTCTGCAGACGTTAGAGCTCCGAGGCCAATAACGACGCTGCTTTTTGCAAACTCGTTACTGATCTTCGTCTCAATGACCAGCCTCCCAAGGCCAAGACCGGGAAGAAACCCGCACCGTCACCCTTTGCCAGCAAGGCCTCGAAGTTAAAGAAGAACCCTCTGTTCGAAGCCAAACCTCGGAATTTCGGAATTGGTCTGTTTCTATGTATCTCAAGAACACTGCGACCCAGCCAAGACCCAGCTGTTCAAGCTACTCAACAAATATCGTCCTGAAACCAAGGCCGAGAAGAAAGCTCGCCTCACAGAGACTGCTGCTGCCGTTGCTGATGGCAAAGATGCTTCCAAGGTCTGTTGTGTCGATGATTCGGACTCCTGCTGACCATCTCATCAGGACACCAAGAAGCCGCTTTTCGTGAAATACGGTCTCAACCACATCGTGGCACTGATTGAAGCCAAGAAAGCCTCGCTTGTCGTTCTCGCTCATGATGTTGACCCCATCGAGCTCGTTGTTTTCCTACCCGCGTTGTGTCGCAAGATGGGTGTGCCCTATGTCATCGTCAAGGGAAAGGCACGCCTCGGCACCGTTGTCCACAAGAAAACCGCTGCTGTCGTCGCTCTCCAGGACGTCAAGAGCGAGGATGCACGGGAACTTGCTACTATTGTCAGTGCTGCCAAGGCCAATTTTTCCGACAAGTACGAGGAGCAGCGTCGTCAATGGGGTGGAGGTGTTCGTGGAAACAAGTCCGCTGCCATGCTGCGCAAACGTGCCAAAGCCTCTGGTCAGTCCATCACTGCCGCTCAAATTGCCAAGCTATAAGTACTTATGCTTCTACGATACTCTGAACTGGATATGCTGCTGTATGCCCTAAGAGCAATATTATCCAGTTGGTCTAATCTTGGACTTCGTTGGATAGCATGTGACGTGAAAATAGCTAAGTGTACTCTCTGGTTGCTTTTGCTGATGCAGCTGACCTTACGTCAAAAGTGGATCCAGGCCGCGTTTTATTCTGTTCAGATGGGCCATTCGTCCTTGAACTTGAAACATTAACTTCCAAGTGAGCTCAACAATTGCGACTGCAACCCAGCCTGGCCCAAAGACCGATCGCATAGAGGCTAGGCCTGTCGGGGGCTTGAATATCCGGCAAATCCCTGGCGCAAAGTACAAACACAACGATCGTCGTTTATTATTGTTGGAAGTGCAATAACCGCGGACTCGCGTTTGCTCACTGGCACTCCAGTTGCTCTGCTGAAAGTTCCCGGCCTATCTCATCGTTAAAGCCAGGAACTGCTGAGAAGTACAAAAGCTTCCGCGGGAGCTTCTTGCGATCGACGACGAGTAACGGAATCCCCGATTTGCTCCTCAGTTCTGTTCAAGCCCGCCTCAAAGCCCGACATCTTCAGACACACTCTTTGTTACTTGGCTGGGGACACTCGATCCACTTGTTATTGTCTGCTCATTCATTTTCGCAAATATTCGATCAGCCTCAACCTCTTGTTCTCGCGCATCACCGCACAAAGCTTTGGCCATCGTCGGCTAAACGCATCCAGCCGCTGCGAGCTTCCAGCGTATAAAAGCTCGCCGGAATTGAGAGGACGACCAGGCTCGCCTACAACTCGCTCACTCACTTGTTCAATGGACGCGTTCACCAACACCATCATCCCCGCCAACATCGAGGACATCACCGTCCCTCCCGTCAACGAAGACGGCGGCAACGGCTCCAGCGGAAGCTGCGTCGTTTGCAAGGAGGACACTTCTCTGGCGCCAGTCAACCAGGACGGCGGAAACGGCTCGAGCGGCAGCTGCGTTATCGCATGAGCGCTCTGACTCATACCACGGTTAACACCTGTGCCTGTTTTCTTTTGACTCGCTTGACTTGTTCACTAACAGCACAAAATGCAGAATCGGCATTTGGCTCCTCGACACGGTTTTGCGCGCTTGGCGCGTGGATTACACTACACTTTCGTTTTCGACCTTATTGTGTTGTTTGTTTGTATAAAATCGAGTCTGCAGCTCATATTCCTGCCTGATGAGAAAACTCCGATCCACATCGGGCAGGCCAGCCTGAGGGTCCAAGGGAAAGGTTCACAATGTGCAGATGATTCTTTTCATGTCCACTACAAGTAAATATCTGAGGTGTTTTTTTTTTTTTAAGTTGTCAACTCTAGCACAGACTCCCTTTCACATCCCCTGGACGCTCTCCTTGTACTCTTGCTGGGTCCAGCCTTCAGATCTTCGGAAGTCAGAGACTCAGAGTTGCCAGTGACGTTGCCAGTGAATGAGGATTCGAGGAAGGTACTTATTATGTATTCTATCCCTTTTGGGTCCTTGCACTACATAGTACACTTCATTAAGACAATGCCAGCAACCATACAAACAAACAGCTAAAATCCGCTCTTGGACTTTCGCGACAGCCTGCGCGACAGGGGCACTGAATTATTGTCAATGTCACCACACCAAGACCTTCTCTTCCAGTAACTATGACCACTGAACATCCTACCCAAATACTTGGCGTCGTTGCAACTTCGAACATCAAAGCAGACGCTTGGATGTTTCGCGATATGCTCGCCTTCAAGGACTTGTTGGAATCCACGCCTGACCACTTCGAGTCTCGTTGGTTGCTTTCGGTCCACCCCCGAACCCTCCCAGACCTTGTCTTCGGCGATCCTCGTTCGGAACGGCTACAGCTGAACCATGACGTCCTCGACGGATTTACCGTCGTACCACCACAGGATCTCCTACAACGCTTTCTCTGTTCCCTGACTCGCTCCCTCGCTCGCGTTACCCACGACGGTCGAATCATCATTATCATCTGTGGGCACGGCGAAGAAGATACAGGAGACATTGTTTTTGGCCCCGGTTGTCAGGATAGCATCTCTGGCAACCATTACCTCCTCAAGCGAAACGTGGAATTATATGTTGAGGAAGCCAAGCTCCATTCCGATCAAGTGCTCGTTGTGTCGACAGCATGTTACAGCGGTTTGTGGCAGAGTCCGCATTGGACTTTGTTGTGCGCTGCCGAGGCTAACAAGCAGTCGATCTCATTGCCGACATCCCACTCTGGCCAGGTACGCGGCGGTATTTTTACCTATGCCATGTACGCCGAATCTGCCCACCAAGACGGCATCGGCCTCCCCTACTCCTTTTGTAACCTAGATGATGGTCCTCCATTCATCGTCGTGCCAGCTAAAGCCGATTACCAGTCAGACGAAGATGCCATGGTGTCTCCTCGGCCAACCCTCTCAGCTGCCGCACTCTGGATGGAACAGTTCCGCAAGACCATGGGCGGGATTGCTAATCATACAACCTTTCCCTTCCCATTGTCGACAACGGCTCGATTACCTACTCGCCGGTTCACTGCTTGCTATCAGGAAAGACTCCGAGTTGTTCCAGCCGTTGTCTCTAGTGGTGACTTGGATGATGGGGATGATAGGGTTTCCGTTGCCCACACAGCTCGTACGTCGACGGAAGCGGCTTCGAGTTCTCTCCCGATCCTGGATCCTACGACGATCAGTCAACTCGAAGAACTCTGTCGTCGAGTTCTAAAGTGCCACTTCCAAAATACGGGGAATGCTGTCCCGGTCATCACTCTCGCCTTGGTTGTCTCCAAAGGAGAGGTTGCAACATTGACACTGGAGGAGCAGCACATCCTCCTTGCATGGCTTCGTGGGTGGTCGCATGACTGTGCTCGGGCAGAGCGGATCGCGAAAGAATTGGGGTGGGGCATAACTCATCCGCCCCGAGCCGAGGAGTGGGACCGACCACACGGTTCGGACGAGATGAATGAGGCCCAAACATCTGGTGCTAGAATCCGCGAAGAGTTTGGTCCTCGTTTGCGCATAAACCGGTGGTCGTCCGGGCCAGGGTCGTGGCTTGCAGCAGCCTGGCGGGCAGCAGGAAGCCCAGTGGTTGAGGAAGCAAGCTGGAAGAGGGCCGTAGCGGTGTCTTCAGCACTATGAGGTTATCCAAGTGGTCGGTTCAGTCCTTGTAAGTTGTAGTCCTGGCTTTGTATTTTAGCATTCCTATCCTACTAGCACGTACTTGGTGTCCTTTAGTTTAAACACAGCATTACTACTCTCGTAGTAACTGCAGTTAGTGGATGGTGACGAGAAACAAACGTGCTGATTCGGAACAGGAGGCCATCGTTGGCTGTCAATCATGTGACTCGCTTTCCTTTTCTCGATTGACTTTCTGCCACGACATGCACCGATTTCTCTCCTCCCCGTCACCTCGTACCTTGAACACAAGGCTGCCTACCGCAGATCACCCTGATAAACATCTTCCATAAATTTATTCGCCTCCTGGAAGTTCCCCTGCGCTTCTGCACCCTCAGCCATCCGTCATGGCTAGCCTTATCGAATCCACCGACGGGCCTCTCACGCTTCAATTCCAAAACATCACCAGGGTTGCTGGCGAGACTGTCCAAGGGGTCATCAACATCGACTACCGACAAGTCGAAGATGACAACTTGGAGGAGCTCAGAGTCAAGTTTCGCGGCGCTTCCAACACGCAAATCACCGTTCGCACTGGACAGACGACTACGACATATCGGTCAACGGAACTGGTCTGTTTTTCCTCCCTCCGGCGAATGTTATGTGACTCACAATTGCAGCTGTTTCACACGAAGATACCTGTGTGGAAGCAGGGCTCAGCTTACCCCCCGCCCGGCTTGCACATCTTGTCGTGTCCATTCGAGTTCACATTGCCGTCGCCTCTACCGCCATCCTTCCACTGCGAGGCCTACCACCGTTCCGGCACAATCGGGTATTCATTGGAAGTCGTTGGCCAGCGTTCGGGCATATTCAGATTCAATCGACGGATCAGACGGCTGATTCCCGTCATCCCGGCAGCGACGCCTGAGCAGGTCGCGATAAAGGAGGCACTGATGCAGGGCTGGAATGGCGGCTGGAAGACATACGCCAGAGACGACAAGCTGAGGAGAGGGCTGTGGGGAGATTACGCGCACAGTCGTGCAAGGGTAAGTCGCATTGTTTAACACTTTTCTGGGAAGCTGACACTCGTGTAGCTCATATTGCCCGACCTCCCCTCCTTCCCCATCGGCACTCCGATTCCTCTGAGCCTCATTGTTGAGACTGACACCAAGCCAATGCTGCGAAGCGATGCTCTCGACGGACCAGCAGACAAAAAGGGCAAGCCATTATTTCCTGCGATCCCGACAGCGTCATCGCAAATCCCCTTCAAGCTATATCGCTGGGCACAAGTCAGCGCGCGGCGACGGACTCGTACCGTTGAAGACGAGTTCAGTCTTCTGGGAAGCTTGGGCGACCCTCAAGCTGTAGCTGCTGTCGTTCATACTGTCACCCCACCAGAGTGGATCCCCCAGGACGACAACAAAGGCAAGGGTATATGGCGGCGGTCTATCCGATTTGACTCGACGCTTTCGATTGCTTACGCGCCAACCTACAGCACCCAGATCATCCAGTGGCAGGCAAGTCAGCTAACTGGGCTGTTTGTAGTCTGCTGACGCTGTCCAGTATCAACTCCGTCTTCGCGTCGAATTTCCCGGTATTGGGAACGACTTGAAGATTGAGATACCCATCACACTTGACTCGTCTACGGCGTGCCCGCCTCCGCCGCTCGGAATTGCTGGCTCCAGTCGGGTGGGCGGGCAGACTTATGCCGATGTGCTTCCTGCGGGGCCGCCACCGCAAATGATGGACTTGCCTCCGTATGTCCTGACTGCTAATTCTCCTTCAAAGACTAAACAAGTGTTTCAGCGCTTATTTTAGTGGCGAAAACCATGATTGGGACGACGAGAAGAGATGACGGGCATGAATCATATTACGGACATGTTTCATACCATAACAGCCCATAGTATAGTAAAACTCTGATATTCAGTAGAATTCTTGGAATAAGTCAATTTTTGAGAGGGGAAGTGAGCTCATAAACTTCTCCCTACGAATTTGAGGGGCAAACAATGAGGACTTGGCTGATTATGTATGATCAACCTTCCTTCTCATGACTTCCACAATACCCACAATTTTAGACAGCCTCGATTCGCTCCTCAACTCGAACTATGCCTTGACGGCCCTCCAGAAAACCCAGTGCCAACTGGTTCTCCATGAGAAACAACACAAAATGCTCGACCTCGATTCCGAAATTTCCGAGGCCAAAGCTGTGTTGGCTGTGCTCGAGTGTCGAAGGAGCGACCTGGAAAAGGAACACGGGAAGTATAAAGCCGCTCTATCGCCTGTCCGCGACCTGCCACCAGAAATCCTCGCCGAAATTTTCCAATACCTCACACCCACGCTTCCGCTTGCCACCGACCTAGAGCGTGAAGAAGTAGAGCGTCCACCTTTCGCAATCGCTATTGTGTGCCAGTCTTGGAGAGCCACGGCCTTGTCTTTACCGAAACTTTGGTCCACGCTCGATATTAAGCTAGTGCTGGACGACTCGAATTTTGCTTATGATTCTGAAGACGAATTGGATGAGAGCTGGGGCTGTGGCAGCCCCTTTCGCCGTCGTCCTGCCGCGTCAGATGAACATCTCATGGATGGGCTCACCATAGAATCGGCGCTGGAATGGGTCATAGCCAGTATAAGTCGCTCTGGAAATCACCGGCTTTCTTTCCGACTGCACCCAAGCGAATCTACCGCCAACCTCCTGTTGAACCTTCTGTTCAAGTACAAGCATCGATGGTATCGCGCCATGTTCATTCATGTTGAAACTTTCCCCGACATTCCTGGGGTGCTAAACACCTGTAACCTCCCCATCTTGCATGAAGTTGCATTTTCTGGCCCCTGGGGCAGATACATCCATTTTAATCCCTCCCATGCCCCCAATCTGCATGTTTTGGGCGTCTACGGAATATTGAGCTCTCTGGATTTCCCTCTATCGACTCTGACTGAGTATTCTCAGACCACAGAACCCTATTTTGATGAAAGTTTACCGAATATGATCTACCCTCGCCTGGCAAGTGCGAACCTTGTGGTCATGCGGCTCAATAGTATGAGCTTGATGGATGACTCGGACACGGCCTCGAGGCGCCGCCCCCTCCTCTTTCCATGTCTCCGTATTGCCTGTTTTTATCAGCAAGAAATCTACCGATATGTTGGAGAGGGCCGCAAACTTAATCTTATGGCAACCTTTGACACGCCGTTTCTTGAGGCGTACAGTTTGGAATCAGACTCGCACGCTATACCGACCAAACTTGAGCCGTTGCTCCCTCGCTCTCCTCATTTGCGCATCCTCCGATTGCTGCTGCCAAATTCAACCAAGTTGCGCAGCCATGAAGTCCAGTCGACACTGCGAATGCGTACTGAGATTGAAGAGCTCTCGTTGCACATTCCCGCCCGAATCACCACCGAGTTCATCCGCCATATGGATCTCTCGGAGGACAGACCGATGCTCCCCAAACTCAAAAATTTGTACATTTCCGACTCCTCACTTGAGCCTGAGGCCAGGCCACTCGACCCAGACATGGCAGACGCCGTGGTTCACTTTGTCCGTGGTCGTTTTGGCGCCCCAGACCCGCTGCGAAAATTTTGCTTCTTAACTCACACATCGAAATACCATCGACCGGAGGACACACTTGATGATATGCCGACCTGGGCACGAACACAAGACATTAACTTGGACTTGAAGAAAATGCGTATGGAGAAGGGGTGGAATATCACGTGTGGGACAGAAGCCAGACTTCCTCGATGGGATAGTCTGACCTTGAATGACCTTTCTTAAATAAGCAGGCGACATAGCCAACGTCGTAAGCATGCGTAGTAATTTGAAGTCAACTTGAATTCGTAGTGTAACTGTGTAAGCAACAAGAAATGCACGACTAGAGTCTGAGGTACGACTCGATTGTTCCTCACGAAATAGAATTGATTGTTATGAAGAAAGATGTCGGCCAGTCAGTTCCGCTCATCCCAATTATAATGTGGTTCTGCGCGCCCAAAGTATTCCTCGTAATATATGGGGCTGGTGCTGGGTACAAGCTCCTTCACTCTCTTGCTGCCGAGATGTATTGCCTCGTCGTCCCATCGTGACTTGCGTTTCTGGCCCACGGCGGTGATTCCGTTGATGATGGCGCAAAACACATCCTCTTGCATCACTTGGTCTTCTCTCCCTCGAAGACCCTTTAAATTGACGCTGGCGACATCTCGTGTGCGTTTATCGACTGCCCGGTCAACGGAAGTCACGACAGGAAAAGATGATACTACCCGTAGCAGAGACGGCCGCGTTCTCAGACCGGGTAAAGAACGTAATTGGTTGGCGAGTTTGGTAGTCAAGGAATTAGATGATAAGTCCTGGAGATACTGGTTATAGCGAATTCAGAATGTAAGTGCGAAGAAACGCACCTGGGTGGAAAAAAGTTGATCAATATCCATTTTGGCCACGATGGAACTCAAGTCTGCATCAGACATAGGCTCATCGACAGCGCATGCGCGAATGCTGACCCATAGGAATGATTCATCTGCCAGTTGGAGCGAGAAGAGGATGTCGAAGTTGGGAAGGGAGGAGAGACAGAACGTGGTGCCATGACGATGTTCTAACCATTGTTTTGTGTCATCCAAAGTTGAGCATCTTGTTGCCAGTGGTAGACGTGATGCATCCTCCTCTGGATCAACTGTAGAATACTCAGGCTGGCCTTCTTTGTTACAGTACCAGCGGACAAGCCGCGCCGTTTGACGAGCCCACAGGGGTATCTGATGAGGGAATTTGAAGATGTCTGTGAACAGCCTGAATGTTCCGAACACCTGCGAGAAATAGAACACAAGACAATGTGCTACTCCATCAGGCGTACTTGGAGGATTGAGATCCAGCGTGCCAATAAAAGTCGCAGGCCAACGATTCGGTTCCTGCCTATAAGGCCGTTCTGGAAGCGGAAACCAGCTTCGAGCAGCGCTGGCAAGAAGAGATGGCTCATTTAGAACCCCGACTGTCAGTTTGTCGTCGGTCCAGTAGCCATATCCTCGATTCACGAGTTCCGCATTTTCAGCGCCAAAGGGAGAGGATTCGTGAGTGGCCATGGTACGATACAACGCTTCGGTAACGAATTCTTTGATATCTGGGGTGCGATGAGACAAAAGCAACATGGCCATGAAACACCGACGAGTTGGGGCGTTTTCTGTATTCAGTCGCCCAAGACGATTCGTCCAACCCCATCCAGGGGGGGTTTTCTCGGTTTCCTCAATTTGGACCACATCCAAGGGCCGAAGGTGAGTCATCGTCTTGAGGTAATCCGAGAGGCAGGTATGTGGGTAATCTAGACCCTCACAAATAAGGATGGTAAGAAACCCATCCGTTAGTCGATACCTGTCGTGTTTCAATGAATGTTGTCGCTGGATTCGGGAAATAAACATACCTTCCTCTAAGCCAGCGCCACATTCGCGCCATCAGTAGATGCCCGGACGAGCTATCGCGAAGAAGAGGGGGAAGGAATTTCGACACATAGGCTTCATACTCATCGGGGTCGTCAGACGCTCCGGTGTCTGAAGTCCACTGCCAGGAAAAGCCAGTTGGGACTACAGTTGTTTGCGGTATGCCGATTCCAGCACAAATAAAGGTACACTCTCCCTTGGTCATATCCGATCAAACTTGCAGAAGATCGACGAGCAGAGGCTGGCGACGTTGGTTGAGGGATTCTCCCATCGCAGACTGCTCGAGTGCCTCTTGAGCCTCATCGATGACAATAAAAAAGCCTTTCTCGAAGTCGGCTCCAATAGCTTTTTTTATCTGCCTCAGCGCATTGGCGATGTTCTTCGCCATATATGCAGAGTCATGCTCGATGAGCAGTTCCGCCAGACCGAAGAAGCATTCGGGACTGTCTTCGGTGTACACAGAGCGAGGGTGAAGTTGGAACTGGAGCCACTGCAGTTTATATTGGTCATTCAGTGCCGCGCCATTCACAGAAAGGATGTCCAGGAAGTAGAGAAGGAAGAGTAAGCGCGTCAGTAAGATGGCGCCAAATTGTTGAGTTACGAGTTCGTACGCTGAAACACTCCATGAGCCCCTTGAGCACTTTTCGACCGTGTTTTGAATATCGAGACTACCCAATCGTCCTCCGTCAACGACGATAGTGAAATAAAGGCCCCAAGCATTGCATAATCCTTCATAGCACAGGCGGGTTTTGCCAGATGCGGAGCCGTTGACGAGGAACCTAGACTTAAATCAGAAAAGGCCTCCGGGAATATAAACTGTCGAACTGATTGTTGTTTGGGGAGAAAAGACGTGAAAGACGTTCTTTGAGCACAGGTTCCCTTGAGAACCTGCCCAAGTCGTGCGTTGAAAGGTTGAAATCATCTCTAACATCCATCGTGTTAAGCCCAAGGGTCTGGATATGAGCCAGCGTGTCTGGACTCGAGTAGATAGCGCTTCGTGGTCGCCTTCTTCCCGCCCAAGGGACAAAGAATCCGCCTGTTTTGATGAGTGTGGCTAACTGGTCGTGCAAGCTTTCGAGATATACCCGCGCAGCAGTCGATATGAACGGGAACGCGGAAATGAATGCTGTCCTAGTTGTGAGTGTCATGGCTGAGAAATATAAAGGTTGGACAACGCACGAGGTCTAGCTGGAGAAGGTGGATCATGAGTTGGCTCTTTGGCAGCTACAATCTCTGGGGTGTAGTCCGCTTCCTCTTTCTCTTGAAGTGGCTGCATGGACATGAGACGTGAAGGTAACACATGTGGGTGCACTGTGTGGGTGTGTTTTGTACGTCCCTCTGGCGCCTATCATGGATGACTCTTTTCTCCTCCTACACTTGGCTCGCTATTGAAGCATCCCGCTTGTTGGGACGGACCACCGGAGTCTTGATTCCGCAGTGGAGAGTGCAGCTTCATCCAAGGCGCGAGGACATGTTTCGGGGGAGCAGAGACTATTCGATTGTGGTGGAACAGAAAATGTATATATCGTCACGTGCTAACGACTGTCTCCAAAAATGTATGCCGACCAGACTCCTTCTTCCATAGTCAGACTCGCATCTATACGCATCTGCTTTCGAGGGTAGCAAACCCGTATTAGCCATTACTGTACTCCGACTCGCTCTCCAATGATCCCGAAAGCGAACTCGGTCTCGCGGTAGGCTGATTCAAGTAATTTGACGACTATTAAACGTGGTTAGGTACAGGCTAAAGGGAGAGCGGCGCACAAACCGTCCAAATGAGCTATCGGAGATTTGGATTTACGAGTCCTTGAGAACTTGAACAGAGCCATCTTATGCACAGAAAACACGTTGAGAGCACATTCTTGCAGACATTTTGGCGGGGGTTCTGAAATACAGGAACCGAGGTCGTCGAAAGCTTGGCATGCAACATTGAGCTTTTTGAGTGGTGAAAGACGAGTTGCTGAGCGGTAGCCAAGCACGTTCAGTCTAACGGCAGAGTGCCACTTCAAAAGCAACGAGGGGGGAGCCGGGGGGGGGAGATGTTTTCAGCGCCTCGTGTGATCATGATGGAACTCGGTCAGAGGGGTGAGCGTGTTTGGTGGTGCGGTCAGGCCAGTGATTTGAGACGTTGGCCCGGGTGTGTTCAGACATGTGGGCGCTGGCAATTTTGAGGATCTTCGCCGATAGGGCCGCGCTAAGATTGGCTTGAAGAAACGAGAGATATGCGCGCATAGTTCTGGAGGAGTCGGACTAGATAGGTTCCTCTTCATGGTGCAAAAACTTAAAGAACAAGCATTTGTCACGCGAGCATGTGCTGGTGACTGCCCGCGATCAATCGAATGTGATGTCACTCCTTCGTTTCTTTTCTTCAAGTGAAAGTTGGGCGAAAGGGTGGGCGTCAACGAGAAATGGGTAAGAGCGATTTTCATGGGCTTGACCATCCTTATGACAGACTTTAGCGACGCCATAATGTTTGGCAAGGCGCCTTACCTAAGGACCATTGAAAATTTGTCGAAGCAACCGCCATGGTCATCCTGGACACAAGCAAGCTTGCGATAAGCATTGAGGTTAGGGATCACTGGCACCACCAGCATCCAGAAGCAATCCAAATCATCGATGTGACTGCCAGGCATCCCCAGCAAGGACAACTTGGAGCTATTGCTTCACTGACGGCGTGGCGGCTCGTCCGCGCTCACATTCGCGACGATTTTTTGCACATACTTGACGCAGACCACCAGGAACTCGCCAACGTCTTCGACAAATACGGGCAAGTCCGGCCGCACATAATCGAGCCAGTGTACTACAATGGAAGCGGGTGCTGGGGGAAGGAGTTGAATAAGGGAAGCCTGTTCTACGTCTTTGGGGTGTCTGTGGAGAAGAGGGTGCGCACTGCTGCTTCTATTGCTCACTGCCTAACTTGTGCTTTATAGTTTCGTGGTCAAGGGATCGGCTCATGGTTTCTCGACAAATTTCTTCATTCCGACCAAGTTCAGCAACTAGACGTTGTGACCTGCTGGCCGGCGCCCATGAATCGACACGGTGCACTGTGGGAGGCGACGAGGGACCGCCAGCTTGCATTCTTTCGCAAGGTGTGTCCAAATGCAATATTTACTCTACTTCCACAGCTTGAATTTCGCTCCAGAATCACTTCCGTCGAATCGGACGCACCAGCCTTTTTGGATACTCATCTAACGAAGTCCATCCCTCTCGCCGCATTGCTGTCGCACAAGATGTTGAGCAACTTGGTGCCGACTTCAAAGCTCCCGACAATCCCAAACTCGAGTTTCCTCTACATACCGCCATTTACCTTGATACAACTTCCCAAGTGATCGACACAATTCAACAGCACTACAATCGAGATCCCTCCAGCATCCACGTCTCTGACTGGGTCGGCGCGACTCCCCTCCATATTGCGGCCGCAAAACCGAATGTGTTCGCCTTGCGCAAGCTTCTGAGCTGGGACATGAGTGCAGACCTCGTGAATACGAAGAATGCCGAGGGTGAGACCCCTTTGGGAACATTGCGGGCCCATATGAATGCGGCTCGCATGGTTGCGGACGCCAATTTGTCGCTCGACTGGCAAGGATACCCGGAAGACGCGCTCGAAGCAGAGTTCTTGCTCAAACGGAGTATGGGAATACCGGTCCCCAGCACGTTTCAACAATATATCGGGAATAACCGATATGGCTGTACTTGTGGTCATTGTGGAGGCGGCTGGTTTTCTCCTCGCATGCGCTTTCAACTTACGAGTGCGTGCGACCATCACTGGGCCAGATTCATGGGCCTGATAGTAGAAATTTTGGACAAGGAGGTGTTCGAGTCGAAACAAGTTACCGAACTCGAAGACTTTCTGGACCCGTGTTGCCGCTACATCCCACCTGTCTTTAAGTCCAGCTTCTTCAAAACATTCTATGAAGGCTATTGCTCCGTGTTCTGCCTCGTGTGGCAAAGTCTCACCGCACCGGACGCAGTCCTTTCATGGGACTCTGTCCGCCATCAATCTGACTTCCCTGGCGCCCCCAACCGCATGGGCACGAACTTCTACTTCCGCAAGGGCGGCCTTGTCGCGTATGTCTTTGACGCCATAACGGACCGTGCCTATGAAGTGTCAGCCCTGCGCAACGGCGAACACGACGAAAAACATAAAGACAACGTGCGATGGACTGCCCTCCCCACATGTGCCAATGATCTCGACTTCCGGCTTGTTCGTTCGATGCTAGGCTTGTCTCGTGGGGCGAAATGGGGGCCGTATACCAGATCTGACTTTGAAGCACTTGGATACTGAGGATGACATAAGCCGGTGAAGTTGTGATGGGCAACATTGATACTTGTACAGTTCAGTGTGCAAAGACTGGTTGGAGTATATCATCATGTGAGACTACTTTTGACCCTTGTGATTAAATAATTCCTGTACTACGCGGACTGTCGCCCCACTAGACATCTCGCAACTGCGGGCCTTATCTTTGCGGGGGCGTCTATCGCGTCTAGTGTGCAACTCGACTGATTTCAAGTGATTTGTAGGCCTGCATTGACCGGGGCGGACCTCTGAGCTATCAAACTCTCCTTGCAACAAGTGGAAATGCTCGTGCGCGCCGAATCTACATTTAACAAAGTACGGCGCCGACTTTTGACTGACTACTGTGCATATCTTACACAATCCCGCCGTTGAAAATATATTGGCAAGGGAGCGGGAAGAACGATGATGGTATCCCGCGAGAGCGGGATGTTGTGATAACCTGGGTCCCGGAGATTCGGCTTGATAACCGGTCAGCGGAAGCCAATCTTCACCGTTATCATTGACATAGAGTTGAACACCGAATCTCACGGTGTCTCAACGGAGTGCCTTGTTCTTGCTTGTTGAATCTGATTGCCCAGCGGTAGGCGCCTATGACGGGCGTGCTTGGACTTCGAGGCTCTCCACTTGGAGCTTTGTCAAAATTGACTTTGGCGCCATGATAAGTAGGGGCCCGGGACAGTCACACACAATTGTGAAGTATCACTGTTCGCGCCGAAAGCAACAAACACCGTTGGATGGCAGTTGAGGAAGGAGATCGGGATGGGATCTCAGGCTCCGTGAAGGCGAGAGTGATCACAATGACACAGCACCAAATACCAAAAAGCAAATGTCTCTAGATTCAAGTTCTAATGAGATTCAGAGATTAGACATGTATCACATCACGCCCGCCATCCGTTGACTTTCCTGGTGCGCAGGTACAACGTACGCGTTATCATGAAGCAAATGGCGGAGCCGAACACCATCGTCTGACAGAAATAACTCAATGCAGATCTCTGCAAGGGTAGGTGGCACTTACCGCAGAGAACGCGACAGGCCGAATCCAGTGGTATTCGCCTGTGAGGAGGTGGCCCTGCAGCGGCGAAGAGCCAAGGACGGCGAGGCTGGTCAACGAGAGGGCAATCCCGAGACGAGCACTATCTTGTGTGTCAGCCACGGTATAGCCACGAGCGTATGTTCGATGTACCCAACCTCCTCTGGTCCCTTCGCGAGCGACGCAAAAGATGGGAACGTCAGGGCGAGCCCTGGGAAGGTTGTCAATGCTAGCCTTTTAACGAAAGATAATATTGGCTACATGCACTTGAGCTAGCACCATAGATGATGCTCACGACCATGAGTGAGCCGCCGCTGTTGCTAGTCTGCTTAAGCCTAGCTATACGCACGGAAGCCTACTCACATTCCGAGGAGGGCCCAAATCAGCGCGCCAGATATCGTGGAGCTCATGGTCATGGCGTTGAACGGACCATACACGTCTGCGAAATGATTTCCTGCGACACGAACGACAGCGCCGGCCGCATTAAGCACGGACAACTGAATCATATAAGATGCAAAAACAACCAGACAAGGAAATTACCGAATAGAAGGACAATGTTGGGTCCACGTCATGCTGGACACCGTAGAGCTGGATATAGATGGCTAAAAGTTCGCTGGATCAGCAAGCTGAAAGATACAGCCACAGGGGGTTCACCTGGGAAGAACAGCCCGAGCAAACCAAGCAACATGCTGCCAAGATAGCGCTCAGTGTAACGTTTGGAACCACCAACGAGCTCACCCAAGAATACCAACCAAATAAGGCGGGTCTTTGAAGAAAGACTTGATGTCTGGTGGTGATTGATTTCCTCCACGCTTGCTGCGCGGTGGCAGGCGAGTGCGCATCATAAGATTTCCGATAACAAGGCAAGGCGGGATAATGGCCGAAGAGTAACGGACCGCACGAGCGAACCCGACCCGGGGAAGTAAGTGACTAGAGGATGTTAATTACTCAGCAGCGAGCTACGACAAAAATGTCTAACTTGAGCACTGAAAGACTGAGCTCACCGCGACACTGACAACATCGAAAACTCACTGATAGGGAACAGAGTAGCTCCTACCGAAGTTCCACTCATAATGATTCCTGAGGCCAAACCGCGATGTCTTTTGAAATGGTGAACGACAATGCTGAGACTCGGCAGGAAGATCAGTCCAACGCCGAGACCCATCCCGACTCCTTGTCTATGGGGCGTCAATGACGAATAAATGATACTTTACACTCGTACGCAAGGAAAATCTATCCAAAGTTAAAAGAATTTTGCGTGCATGAGGGGGTTTACCTGGTAGTACTGATTTGGCTTAGCCAGTGACAATAGGAACGACCTGTTTCAGGCAAGGTGAATACCCGCGATATGGAAGGAGGAGGGCACGAACGAAACAGTGAATATTATTCCGCCAACAATTTCGAGAGCGTGAAATCCACCGTTGTCGAAGATTTTGCCCGAGACCGGTCCGCAAAAGAAAGGCATCATAAGCTGGAAGCTGCCTATCCAGCTACAAGCCAAGTTAGCAACTCGAGAGGAGGGTTGGAATAGGAAGCGAACGCGATGCTACTCGCACTGTGGTCCGTGAGGTAGACACGGACATAGTAATCTGCGAAATCTTAGGGAAAGGAATCAAGTTTGGAAATGACTGCACCTTCGTAGACTCCAAAAGTGAACGCAAATCTGTTTCACAAGTCATTTCTCATTTACTTTGGGGTGTCTAGAGACTCGCCCAAATGTTGAGAACAGAGTAAGCCATGCGCCTGCGACGGTCATCCAGGCTTGGAGGCCGCCGTCAGGTACTTCAAACTCTGTCTGTTCTGGCCCGGCTTCGAGGGTGAACGAACTTCGTGTGGTGACCGGCAGAGCGATGACTTCGCCCTTGTGTTCGCTGTTGGCGGGAGACGGAGGTTGGGTAGCTGTTGGAGATGCCTGCATACTTAGTGACAGTTACGGTGACTCGTGAGCGGTTCAGAGGGAGCGCGCCGGCTAAGCGATATTTTATGAGTCTGACTGTGCTTTGTGTGTATGCGGGGACTAGTTTGTTAGCCAGGCCAAGGCCTGCGCATCCATGAATGATCCATCGAATTCGGGGTGGTGGTTGAGGAAAAGACCGTTTGATGGATTCCCACGTTCGTTCGGTCCCTCGAAGTTCTTCTCCGAACAACACAGTTCTTCGTGGAGCTTACCGCAGTGGGACCCGGTCCTGCACTGGCAGTCTATAGTTAGTATTCAAGTTGAACTCGAAGCAGTTCTAGACCGGTCAGAACAAACACAAATTTTTTGAATTGAGATTGGCACTAGAACAGTATTAGAACTTCAACCCATAATAGCAACGACCGCCGTGCCAGTGATAAGCAGCTTGAGGTATATTGCCGGATTGTCTAGAAGCTGCTGGCAGCGCGTCCCGACCCAGACGGCGCGTGTATCAGTGTGCTGTGAATTGAGCGGCGTTCAACTGCCATTCCCACATCTGTTGAGACAACCTTCTCCATCACAATTCAGTCGCAAACCCGTCGAGGTGCTATAATTATTCAACGTCGGGGGTTGTGCATTCCTTTCCATGAGATCCTGCTTACTGTAGCACGATGTGTAGGCTGTAGTCGAACAAGATAGCCTGATGAACGTAATTACTAGTGCGAATGGCTCGAATATCAAGCCCAAGTTTTCCGAGGCCCTCATTTACAAGCCTCAGATGCGAGGCACAATTATCATTCATTCTGTGAATATGTCTAACAATGGAAGAACACAACCGAATCAAGTACGATTAGTGAAGCTATAGCGAACGACACGCATCGCACGCGCCCAGTCGAGGATGCTGGTCGCACTGAGGACATGCCAGATTGCATGGGACCCGAAACCCACGGAGTTGAACCGTTTTGCCCAAGCTCCATCGGGGTCAAGGAACCGCTCCGGAGAGTGAGTCGAGTAGAAGAAGATGCCCAGCGCGCTGATCAAGATAGGGCGGATGAAAGGAGCTAAGATTTTGGAGTATCAGCCACCTACAATCCAGAAAACACCAGTGCACTCACAGAAGAAATCGTCTATGCCCTGGAGGCCATATAGAACGTAGATTCCTATGACTGGTGTAATAGCAGTAATCTGCAGCGCGACAAAGAACGAGATACGCCAGTGCTTAGGGAGAGAAATCAGTTTCCAACAGGCAGCTGAACCGCCAAGCGTACTCGATATTCATGTTGATTGAACCACGAAACGAACGGCAGTACACTTCCCGCGAAGGTCATCATCACGGAGACTGCCACAAAAGGATAGGCGATGCTGGGTCGAGAAGCGTAGCCGTAGTACACGAGGGAGCCATTACAAGCACAAAGTAGCCTGTTCATGTGGAATAATTCAGCTCTGGGAGAGATCGAGGGCAAAAAGGACTTGCCATGAAATGCCGGCATAGTCCACGCGGTTACAGAGTTGCATTGTGTGCTGGTCTGAGCATCCGGACATGAGGTGGCCTATGACGCTCGCAGCAAGGCAAAATAGTCCAGCGACGAGGAGCAAAGTTTCCCCCAAGTCTTCGGTGCCAGACGACCAGTTCCAGCAGCTATACGCGAACGCTGCAATGTGGGTCTGGATATTCACTATGTTCTGATTCAGAAGAGCCAAGAGACATAGTGTTCAACCTACAAAATTCATTGTGGAAGGTGAACATAGAAACGAGGAGGAGGGAGAAACGGTCCAAAGGGATGAATCGATATCCAGTGGTGACAAAGGGCGTGCTTCGCCATGCAGGTGGTAAGTCGCTGAACGAGATGAGTTGATTGCCGCTCCTTGACTTTTTCAAAGCCGCTTCGACGGAGGGGTCGACGGTTCTCAATGCTTGAGGCTTCTTTTGTTGCTGGCGCTTTTCCGCCGCGACGGAAATAATAGATTGAAGACGGAAAAGGATGGTGGTGGGAAGGTACGCGAGTATTGAAGACACGAAGTTAAGGAGAGTATTCTGAGCAAGAGGTAGAACGGAAATAACTGTTGGGGAGGACGATCGCCTGGTGTTCCCGGGCCGCCTGTTGCTTTTGGCGCGGAAAGTCATAGAGAGGGGTTGAAATGCAGTGGATAGTGGTACAAGGCAATCTGGATATATGTACTGACATTTAAGTTAGGTTAGTTAAAATTCAAATAATTACTCACACAACTTGTTGTCGATAAGTGATGCAGTTCTCCGATCCATCTGTTCCAAAAGGCGAACTTGAGAGTACCTAGCCGAGTCTGTAGTGGCTGTAGCATCACAATCTTTATTTGGAACTCTATTGCCGCTGTGAGAGCCAACTGCGTTGTGATCTGTTTAATCCTCCGCCGTTGGGGCCACGGATGAAGTATCATGGTATGTCAGCATGACGGTCGCACCGGTCGGAGGCGGCTTGCAGGCGGGATTCGGAAAGATAGCAGCCCAGAACGAGCAAGTATAGCTGGCATAGACGCTCAGCGAGCAACCATGATGAATGCCGGAGGTTCGCCTCTGGGTTGGGGTGAAGAACCGCCAAGCCTCCAGTCCTTATTGGAAGAAAGTCGATACCAGCTATTTTTGTGGATTGTGTGGACCGGTCGTGGCCGAACTATCTTATCGAGAATTGTATGCCACTGCTTGCTATAGCTTGGCTATAGCCCTAGGGTGCGGACATTCAGCCCGGGCCATATTCCTAAGAGGACCAAGGCAGGCTACGAGCGAGTCGGCACCGCAAATGCGGATAGCTGCCGAAAGAGAATTCAGAACGTCCACGCATCGGCCTGACCCCGGCCACTGCGAAAGGTAACCCTGGCCCAGTAGCAGATGCTCCGCAGGCCGGGTCGTATTGTGGAGACCTGGGGATTCGGAAGCATGAGAAGCATATGATGGATCAGGATGTGGCAAGAGTTAAGAGACCTGGCGGTTGCCTGGCGGTGGATTGTTGAAAGGAAAACAACGTTGGATCAGTGACATGTGACACGACTGTTTACACCTTCGCTCAAGAGGTGTCAGATTCGTGAGATCTACCCACCCGCAATCAAACGTAAACCACCCCCCCCCCAAATGCGGAAATCCCGTGACTTCATCACACTGTCGTGACTTGAGGCTAAGGTTGGAGCCTTGGAGGTTGGGCCAAGGTGGCGAGCCCATCAGCTTGACAGCAGCTTTTAGAGCTGTTGGAAGCTTAGTGCTTGACATAGCTAGATGTGTGTTTATCTTGTGCTTAGGACCTGCTAGCACAATTTTTCAGAGGCTTGTCACATTGTCACTGCCTAGAGATTGCACTACAAAGTGGCCTATATACATATTGTTCTTGCATGATCGCTAGTTTTTTCTGCGGATTCTACCTTGATTTGGAGAAGGCAGTGCGTGATTCAATCAAAATGCCGTTTGATTGCGGGTGGGCAAATCGGCCAAATCTGACACCCCTTGCCTTCGCTTTTCCTCTGCCCTCATGCCTTTCGGCATCTCCGTCTCCAATCAAGATATATATGGATCAGACGACGCCAGTTCATCGTCTTTCGGAAGAAACTTTTGGGTCGCATTTTCATCTCAGCTACACAACCTCAGGCTGATGATACTCACTGGCAAGTGATGGATAGCTACCGGGGACCTTTGGCAGTGAGCGCAGTGTGTCGTACTTGGAGAAGGATTTCCTTCCGGCTACCGGAGCTCTGGGACACCATTCATGTCAGCTTCGTTCCGGTGTTCGCCGTTCACTCTGACAAGGTGATGGCCGTTGTGAAAGCGATGGTGTTTGCTGCTCGGAAATGGCTGTCAAGAGCAAAGGAACGGCCAGTCTCCATCTCCTTGGACCCGGTGCCGTCAGACTCTATATCACTGGACATTATTCGCGAGCTCGTAGTTCATTTCAATCGCCGTCTTTTGCATCTACGGCTGCGCGTGCCCACCTCTCAACACATCGAGTCTCTATTTGGCTCTCCCGCAAGCTATTATCCGAATCTTATCCGCCTGGACATCGAATGCCCCCCGGCAGACCTCAGCTGGAAGTCATCTACATTGAAATTTCCCCAGCTTAGAAGACTGGCGGTTTCCCAAACGGCCTTACGCGCCAACGAGCTACATACTCTCAATAAGCTCCCAATACATTGGAGTCAGATCATGCATCTCACCCTCCAGAGCGCCACTACGCTCTCCAACATACGCGACATCCTCGTTCAGTGCACCTCGATTGTTTCATGCAATCTCAGACCAATCGGACAGAGCTCAGTCACTTCCAATGGGAGTCGAACAAGGCTCACGCAGCTTAAATCGGTCACTCTACAGGTGTCTAACGGTCCCAGCCTGACCTCCTTCTTCCAGTGCTTCGACCTACCGGCGCTTGTCAGCCTTTCGCTTGGAGAAAGCATTTATATTCCTCAAAAGTCATTAGCAGAGCCGATGGAGAACTTGCTCAATACCATCCATTTCACCAAGATTCGTCGCTTATCTCTCTCGCTTGCATGTCCGGCCACAGTCTTCGCAAAAATAATCCAGCGTGCCACAGAACTTGTCGATCTTCGCCTCCGTGTGTCCAACTTGGAGATTGTGGAGTCTCTCGCATCCGCGCCATTGTCTCTGCGGTCCCTTTACCTTGTCATTCCAAAGAAAGAACCAGAACATACTACGGAACACACCGTCCGTTTTGTCTCTGAAATTCTATCACTCGGCGATGGAGCCCTGCTCCCAAGCAACGTAGCTATCGAAAAAGCGAGGGCACTGTCATCTTTCGGTGACTCAGTAGACGAAAAATGCACGAAATTGGCGGCTGAAGTGGGCATGCACTTTGGAGCAACTCTTTTTCCTCGAGAAATGGCATTCCAACACGATGACTGAAAGACCATGTAGAATATGCCTGTTGCTGTATTTCTACTGCTCTACATAGATGTAAAATGCGACCTACTAGTATTGAATTGGTCGGGACTCGGTACACCTACGAAGCACTCACAGTCGCAAGATATGCACAAAAACCGGGATTTCCGCACAGTTGCTACATATGAGCAGAGGATCATTCGCTAAGCGTGATAACAATGGGAATAACGAGCACGCCAGTGCATGGATTGTTTGTTCAATAATTCTACAGTAAGCAAGAGGTGTCAGATTCGTGAGATCTACCCACCCGCAATCAAACGTAAACCACCCCCCCCAAATGCGGAAATCCCGTGACTTCATCACACTGTCGTGACTTGAGGCTAAGGTTGGAGCCTTGGAGGTTGGGCCAAGGTGGCGAGCCCATCAGCTTGACAGCAGCTTTTAGAGCTGTTGGAAGCTTAGTGCTTGACATAGCTAGATGTGTGTTTATCTTGTGCTTAGGACCTGCTAGCACAATTTTTCAGAGGCTTGTCACATTGTCACTGCCTAGAGATTGCACTACAAAGTGGCCTATATACATATTGTTCTTGCATGATCGCTAGTTTTTCTGCGGATTCTACCTTGATTTGGAGAAGGCAGTGCGTGATTCAATCAAAATGCCGTTTGATTGCGGGTGGGCAAATCGGCCAAATCTGACACCCCTTGACAGTAAGTATTTCAAGTCAGTGTGACACTATGTTACTGTGACAATGTGACCTCACCCTACTAGTATCCGAATCCCGGTCCAATTCACACAAAATGCTTGTCCACTCTTCCCGCGCAGCCCTGCTACTTTGTGCTTCAAGCCGTCATGTCCCAGCATCCGCTTGACCCGCTCACTCCCGCCGAAATTAGTGATGTCTGCAGCGCGGTCCGCAGACACATCGCTACCGACACCGACGTCAAAGCACTCAAATTCGTGACCTGTTATTTATTGCCTCCTCCAAAGAAGGTACCATACTTAGATCCTCCTGCGATAAGGCATTAATTCGCCTTACACAGACCGTTTTAGCGTTCTTGGCCATCCCCATCGCTCCTGGGGCAAAGGCAGAGGATCCAGTCCCCATAACGCGCCGGGCCCAAGTCGATGTATGCTCTTTCCCAAGTCCGTTGAGCATGGTCGCTCACAATCAGCCAGTTTCAGGATGTCGTGAAAGGGTGCGCGTGTGTTCATTCTGCTATCTCGGCGCTGTCTCACCCCTGCTTAGCCGGAACTTCAATGTCATTCTTTCACTCAAAGAGAGCGGATGGACGGTAGACTCACTGGAGCTTCTCGACGAAGGGGTGCAGCCCTCCATCACTGTTGAAGAACTAGTTCATTGCGAGACGGTCGTCCGAGCGGATCCCCGTATTCAGCAGCTGGCCAAGGATGTTGGTCAGGAATTTAGTTTTCAGTTTATATCTCACTTTGAACGTGCGTTTAGGTGTACTTCCTGAAGAGATTCATTGTGAAGGGTGGTCTATTGGCTATGACGACAGGTTCCCTCCGACACAGAGGTTGCAACAGGGCCTCTTGTTCGCTCGCTTCTCGCGACACGATAATCATTATGCCCATCCAATGGTGCGACATCACGCTCTCCCTCCTTGCCAACACTAGAACATGACAGGATTTCACCTTGGTCTATGACTGTGTTGCGGAGAAGGTCCTCCACATCGAATTTGCGCCTCACTACAAGGCCACGCCAGATGGTTTCATCCCATCCAACTCCGACACGAAACTTCCTGCTCTCGAGGTTGACCAGCTCGCACATTCTGGACGAGACCGCATTCCCCCGCCCCGCAAGGCCTTCGACTTCTTGCCAGATCTGATGGGCGCCGCGGACAAGAACTTCCAACAACGCGACGATGTGAAGCCATTGCACATCTTACAGCCAGAGGGTGTCAGCTTCAAGCTTGTAGGCCAGCAATTGGAATGGCAGAATTGGAAGATGCATATCGGTATAGCGCTTCTCTGGCTTGGAATAGCTCTTCTGACTGCCCTCAAGCGTTTCATCATCGTGAAGGTATTGCGCTGTCTACAGTCACCTATAACGACCATGGTGAACTCCGACCTCTGTTTTACCGTCTTTCTTTGTCGGAGATGGTGGTTCCATATGCTGCTCCAGAGTATCCCCACCCTCGTAAATTTGCGTTCGATTCGTATGTCTCTTACTCTCGAGCTTGTGTTTCTAGCTCACTTCTGTTTAGCGGGGAGTATGGAATGGGCGTGATGGCCAATGAACTCTCTCTTGGTTGCGACTGTCTGGGCCAGATTCATTATCTAGTATGTATGTTCTTGTTTGAACATACTCAAGCTTTAACATTCCTAAAGCCTGGAGCGTATGTCAAACACGACGGAACGGCCCACGTCATCCAGAATTGCATCTGTATTCACGAGGAAGATGCTGGCGTTCTGTGGAAACACACTGATTTCCGTCCTGGAGGTAGAGGACAAACTGTTCGCCGTCGACGCTTGGTGGTCAGTATGGTCTGCACCTTGGCTAACTATGGTTCGTACTTTTTCATTTTCACTCTTGTTGTTGACTCGTATCATAAACCAGAGTACATTTTCAACTACATGTTCTACCAGGATGGCACGATCGAGCTCGAGATTCGTTTGACTGGAGTACTACAAGTGTACATAGCTGCCGATGGCGAAAAGCCGCCCAACGGGACTATCGTCGCACCGAACATCAGCGCTCAGTTCCACCAACACATTTTCTCCATTCGTGTCGACCCCATGATCGATGGCCTCAGTAATTCCCTGGTGGAAACAGACATTATGCCCTCGCCTTTCCCGACCGGTTCTGTCGAGAACTTTGCTGGCAACGCTTTCATTGCGAAAGACAACATTCTGAAAACTGAATCGGCGCGAGATTTCCCGCCTGCTGGTGTTGAACGTCGTTGGCGCATCGTGAATTCGGGCAGGCAGCATTATAGCACTGGAAATGATGTTGGGTATGCCCTAAACGTCAAGGCTGCGGGGGTACAGCTCATGACCACGCATGATGGATGGGTTGGCCGGCGCGCAACATTCGCACAGAAACCTGTGTGGGTCTGTCGTGATGTCGAGGGTGCGAAGGGAGGTCGAATGTGGCCTGCAGGAAAATATGTTCCGCAGACGAAACAAGCCCCAGAGGACTCGATCGGCGAGTGGGTCAAGGGAGAGAAGAATGTTGAGAATGAGGATCTTCTCGTATACTTAACCATTGGTCAGTTTTTATCCATTTGCTGTACCCGTCTGATCGTATAAAGGCACAACCCACATTCCTCGGCCGGAGGATTGGCCAGTGTAAGTCTTGCTGTTGTTCCCCTGCGCGCCACTTATTCGATGCCATAGGATGCCTGTCGAGCATGTCAGCATCAATTTCAAGCCCGTCTCCTTCTTCGCATATAATCCGAGTATGGACGTCCCTGGCGTTCATGACCCCAAGAGTGTTCTTGCTTTCAGCGCTGAGGAGAATCATTCATGCCATTAGGCGTATTGGGCATAAGTATATGTAGCAGATGTGTCGATTCGAAAAATGTATTTTTTTTCGCAGAATTTTCCACGAGATGTCACGATCACGTGCAAACTCTCAACTTGCAAAGCCGACTTCACAGGGCGCGAGCATTGGCTTTTTCTGTCAGGCGGGAGTTTCTCTACTTCCAACTCTCCACCGTCTGAATCGGCGTGCAGGCGGGCCAAGATTTAAGAGCCTCACTGCCCAGTTTCTTGGCAGCCTCACGCCGGTACCTGATTGACCTTGGGTCCTTACCTTGAACTTGGAGAGGATACTTATTATGTTCTACTTAGTCCCGACAACGCTGGCTTATCGTGCTCACCAGCAGCTCGTAGCAACCCGCTGACAAGGATCGCTGGAGTGGACTAACTTTGGCCCATTTACGGTTTTTCTCTTTTCAAGTTCTCTCTTAGAGCATCTTGATACTTGAAGCGGATAACTAACTAGATGGAGGCCAAGGCTAGCATTACAGCTCCAAGCCAAGTCCAAGCGGTTTTCCAGTATCCCAAGCCACCACTTGGGCGGTGCATACAACCTTTCAGTGTGGCGGCGGCGCATCTACGCAATTTAATGGTGAATCACTTCTCTGTCATGGGTTCCGAGCACGTTTGACTGTATGACCTCACCCACCTCCACCTCCAACCCTTCAAGTTCAGCGCTCGGATTCTGGCAAACGCGACTCTTCATTGACACTCGGGTTTATATTCCGGTCTTGTGTTCTGCGCTCTTGCGGGAGGGAATGGAAGGACAATAAGGCTACTGATAACAGCATTCACTCCAAATCTAACCGAAATCTGCAATCTGCCACTTGACCAAGTGGCTATATCTGATTCAGAATTTAGAAGCTGCATGCTCGCGATTACTTTCGGGCTATGCCGCAGGCTCCTCAAATGATTCCTTTTCGTCTCAACAAGGCTCCCAAGTGCTGTTCCGCATCATCCAAGGCTCAAGGAGAAGCTGGCAAAAAGAAGATCAGGATCATTCGGTGGACTTATGTCCGAATCACGATCGTTGTTGATGTCAAAATTTGCAACGCGTCTGTCAAAAAGTCTTTGGCAGGTCATACTGCGACTTATAAAGGGAGCGGTATTAGGTTTTGATTACCTCGTTCCTTTCCTTCCGTGATTGACGCAGGCACCCAGGCTTTCCAGCAGGAAGCAGCCAGCGGAGGACACTGGCAGGAAATGTCACCGTACTACGGCCCTGACGAAGACCAGAAGACGATCGAATATGAGCGGAACTTTGTGCGTTGACTCTTAAGGTGTTTCCCCAACGCTCTTGTTGACTTCACGCGTTACAGATCGCAGGTAAACAAGGATTGCCTGCTATCAGGATTGCACTCTGAACCCCTGCCAAGGCGACGTTATAGCGGGGACTGGGTATGGTGCCCAGCTTGTGCTCTATGTCAGCTGCGCGCTCTTCCTGTGGAAACGACGGAGGCATGGCCTCCAGCCCAAGATTCTCCTGGCCTACATGACCCTTATGCTCCTCATCGAGAGCCTTTTTGTTGCCGTGCAGGCGAGGACGGTGCAGATGGTCTACATCGACAATCGAAATTACCCGGAGGGTCCTTGGGAGTTTTTCTTATCCTCACAGACTGCTGCAGTCAATGTCATCTTTCTCGCCACACTCTTTCTCATGACGTTCCTTTCTGACCTTCTTGTGGTGCGCTTGAATCACTGCAATTAACCACAAGCTCGACTGACCTATCGACTGTAGCTTTGGAGATGCTTGGTTATCTGGCAGGCGTCGGGCCAAACGACCCTCGCTTGGGTTGTCACGGCCGTTCCCGGCGTAATGATATTCGGCTCCTTCAGTGCGTCTTATACCATCCGTCGCTAAACGCTAAAACCATGCTTCCAGTTCTTGGCACGCTATGGACCTTTTATTCGACCCGCCCCGCGTCCTCGTTCTATAACACGCTCCCTCTACACATCGGAACAGCCTACTACGCCGTCTCGCTCGGCGCTAATGTTATTCTCACCCTCCTTATTATCGGACGGTTGGTCGTATACCGCCGCACTCTGCTCGACTCCCTCCCGCCTGAACTCGCGAACCACTACATTTCTCTAGCAACTGTCATTGTCGAGTCGGCCGCGCTCTACAGCGTGTTTGCCATCCTCTTCCTTATAACGTACGCTCTCGACAACCCCACGAACCAAATCTGGCTGGGGGTGGCCTCAGCGTGCCAGCAAATCGCCAATCTTCTCATCATCTACCGTTTGGCTGATGGTAGCGCCTGGCAAAGGGACACACTGACAACGAAGACTGCGCCGATCCACTTCAAAAGCGGTGGTGGAGGCATGATCTCGACGCATGGCGGCAATACCAGCTTCCACATCGCTGCTCCCCCGCCCGTTTCTGCGGGCTCCTCAGATCCGGATTCCGACTTCACTGAGACCACTAACAAGCACGAACGCTCTGAAATTGTTTGATATGTAAAATGTACTGCTCTTTGTACCGCTATGTTATTAGTTAGTTTATAATTCACAGTACTCCAGCGCCAGTTCCCCGCTCGAAAAAGATGGCTCCGCCATCTGTAAGCTTGTACTGGAGGGCTGCACTTCGGGGTAGCAATTTTGCCGTTGTCGCCGAAACAGCCGGCCCAGCATGGAAAGCCACCTATGATGAGTTCAACGCTTTACGAAGCGTGCAGGAGAGTATCATACCTGACCGTTGACAGTGGCACTCTTTCCACTTGTGAGAGGTAGGACCTCCAGATGATAGGTGCACAGTTGGCGTAAAGCACGAAAAAGGTCGTCCAGAATCGGTTCTGCATCGGGAGGCGTGAGCACGTGTTGGCGGAGGAGTAAAGTCGCATCGAGCTGACAAATATGTGAGATAACTGAGTGCTGAGGTCTAGGAGCCGTTTGCCTTGCGACATGTCGCGTATAATGCACGACAGAAACGGGTGATGTCGAGCACGGAGAAGCCTAACCAGTCCAGCGTGGCTAGATCGTCGACGATGAGAAGCGTATTATTGCTTATAGTGGTGGCGACGGTGTCCAGGAGCGACAGGAAACGTGGCTCGGAGGCGTTGGGACCATCTGGCGGTTTGGCGCGTTCAAAAATGTCGATAAAGATAAACGAGCCGGTTTCTACGAGTGGATCTAGCTGTAAATTCTACTGGGGGCTCAGGATGATAGTGTGCTTCGCTTGGGGAACGACATACGGATTTGGCTGCAATGGCTTTCCAGCGAGCGAATTCAGGAGAAGCTGATAGAACGACAGCCCTGTTTTGTTTGTTGTTTTTGAGATGATCAATGAGCGCGCGATGGAGGACAAAGTCTGCGGGAGACGATAGCTGGTCGGTCACGAGTAAGAGGACGCCAGGAGGGAGATCGAATGGGGAGAACATCGTTTTGTTGAAGTCGTCATTGCCGCCGCCCACGTCAATCATTTGCCAGTGTCACCGTGACCCTAACCGACACCGCCTCAATCATTTACCTTTCCCGAACTTTGCTGCTTTGCCACGACCGTTGACGACCACGAAGTAACGAAGAACTAGACGACGATGAACCCCACTCCGGCAACGGCAACCACGGCCGTGTCGCAGGAAAGTTCTGCGGCGCCAGAACTCTCCTTTACTCAGGCCTTGGACCAAACGGCACCAGAAGACGTCAGTGAAACAATGTTTTTCATCCGACCGTTTGAAACTCATAATTGGTAGACCTCCATCTTCGTTGCTGCCCAGAGAGGCGACGTTGCAACCATCCGAGACCTGATACTCTCGGGAAAAGCCCAAGCCACTGACCGAGATCCACAAAACATCACTCCTCTCCATTGGGCTGCAATCAACGCCCAAGTCCCTGCTTGCCGTCTTCTTCTGGAGCATGGGGCTGAAGTAGATGCACTTGGCGGGGATTTAGTTGCAACACCGCTGCAATGGGCAGCGCGTGGTGGCTACCTCTATGTCATCCAACTTCTCATTGCTCATGGTGCCGACCCAACAATTACCGACTCCCAAGGCTACAACTCTCTTCATCTCGTCACTCATTCATCCAGCATAATGCCCCTTCTCTATCTTCTTCACCAACCAGTCGGAGTCGATGCTCGTGACGCTCAAGGCCATACGGCCCTGATGTGGGCAGCTTACCAGGGCGATGCCCTTAGCGTTGACCTTCTGCTGCGACATGGCGCATCTCCGACTACTGTTGACGACGCCGGCTTGACACCATTACATTGGGCGGTTGTCCGCGGGAACAGGGTTTGCATCAGACGTTTAATAGAGAAGGGTGCAGTATTGAGTGCTAAAGATAGCGAGGGTCGGACTGCGAGGGATATGGCTCAAGAGCTAAAGAGCTTGGGTGCGTGGAAGCGGGCCTTGGAAGAGGGTGGTTGGGACGATGAGGGCAGGAAACGACCACGGCCACTTAGCGAAAGAAACACCCGGATTGCGATCTTTGCGCTGCCGACACTCGTCTTCTACCTGGTCTTCAAAACCTTGGCGATTCTTCCGTGGTATACAGGGGTCTTGCTGGCGTTTGCAGAGTTCTTTGGAATGCACCATGTTTGTCACCAATTTCCTTTTCCCTCACCACTAACCAGCACTAGATTGTTACCCGTGTTTTGCTCAACAAGTCGAGCTATACCGAGAATCTGGGGACAACACCATACTTTGCCGGTGTCATTTGTGGATCGATGATCTGGGTGCTCTACGCTTGGTTTAGCAGGCTGGTTTATCGTGCGCCCATCTTTTTTTAATCCTCAAATCCGTATTCAAAGAATGCCCCAGATACCCCTTCGCACTCCCTCGCCCATCTTGGTTTCGCTTTGACCTTCATGCTCTGTGCTTATAATTTCTTCCGTGCCGTTACCCTCGACCCTGGCGTCTGCCCAGTCCCAAATTCTGATGCTGAGCTCAAGTCAATCATCGAAGACCTTGCTAGTGAAGGGCGGCTCAATGGTCAAACCTTCTGTGTCCAATGTATGGCGCGGAAGCCATTGCGAAGCAAGCACTGTCGAATTTGTGAGCGGTGTGTTGGGAGGCATGACCAGTATGTTCTGTATTCTCTTTCCGACAACGGGCCTCATGTCTTCACTAGTCACTGTCCATGGGTATGGAACTGCGTTGGTGCAAATAATCACCGCCAGTTTGTCATCTTCGTGTCCACCCTTGTGCTTGGCGTGATCCTATTCGACTACCTCACCTATTCATTCTTCTCCTCTCTCGATCTCACCGCTCTGCCGGATTCGATTCCCTCAGCTGAGCCATCCGCTTCCTGTGTCCTCCCGACGTCACTTTGCGCGCTGACTGCTATCGATCCTTTCCTCGTCAGTGTTGCAATCTGGGCAACCCTCCAACTCAGCTGGACATCAATATTGCTCGCTTCTCAGTTGTGGCAGATTGCCAGACAAATGACGACGCTTGAAGTGAGCAATCTCGGACGGTATGGGTTCATGGGTGGCCGAGGCGGGCTGGGCGGTGGTCAGATGGGACAGTCTGCTGCTCGGAATGGCGCGAGTCCCGAAACTCCGGAGGCTGGCGCTCCCCATACACACTCACACGGTGGATGCTCTGCATTTTTCATGTCGATCCTCGGTCTTGACCGGTTTACGCGTGGCCGGGCTGTCGACGGGCTTGCGCGGGCCGGGACGGCCCGGAACCCATTCGACCTTGGTGTCGTCAAAAATTGCCAGGACTTCTGGAGTAAAGGGCGGGAGCTCGGTGTGCAATACGAAAGGCTATATGATGTGCCGCTGGAGGGCTTCGCGGAGGCCAAGCGGCGGAGAGAGCAAGAGGAGATGGCGGATGGGGGTGACGAGGCGGGGGCGAAAGCCAGGCAGCAGTGGCGGCCTGTTCACCGCGCTGGGTTTGCGAATGGGCAGGAGTCGAGGCGGGTACGAGCCGCTCAGTCAGGTTTGAGGACGGGGTTCCCTATTTATCACCGTGTATCGCCATAATGCTTGCTATTCTTATTTACAGAGGATGTGCCTCGGCCAGGTCGAGGTCAATGACCATGAAATGATATTCCTTACGCTGAACGACTGGTTGCCATGGAATCATCGTTTCCCGTCCATGCCTTTATCAGACGATGTGGGTTGTTTGTAACGAGTTGGATTCTGTTGGAAACTACTATCAGGTACCTCGAGACAGCAAGCATCGATATATAGCGGGCACGCGCGGAGAAGCCGGCGCAAAGCTTGTTGCTTAGCGCAACAGTTTAAGTTGTTCAGATCTCCCTGTTGTTCAATCAGCGCCGGTCACGTGCTCTCCACAGCTCTCTCATGATCATTGACGACGACAGCAGCTCACCAAAGGCGGCCTCCTACCGACATCCTACTGCTCTTGATGTGGAAGCTGGACCACCACCTTATAGCGACACTCCCAATGCAGCTGCTGATGTCCCATTACTTAGTTCTCTGCCAAATGAAGATAGTGATCGACGACGGCGCAAGGGCCGCAAACAACAGCGGCGACGCAAATGGCTCATGATCATATTCGCCTCTGTGCTGCTAAATGTGCTGCTTGTAGTCGCGCTTGTGCGTGTTTTGCGAAGGGAGGATGAAGGATTGGAGTTCGAGGTGGGTTGTTCTTGTATTCGCATCATCGTTTTGGTTGCTCATTGTGGACATAGCACCATTGGGAGAAGCAAATGGCGTCACCTCTGCTGCCGTCGAGCCACGTGGACTCTCAGGACATGGAGACAGAACCAGAACATGAAGAGGTACCGCCCTCGCAGCAAGCGGAAGGATTTGGCATAGGACGAAAAGGCGTATGCTTCCATCGCGCGGATAGGATTTATCTTATTGACCAGCGGATAGGGCAGTAGTCGTGGCCGTAGCCGTCGACGTGGAGAGGGATACCGCAACCGAGGTTCTCGATAACTGAGTAGGAGTTAACTTTTCTGGTCTTCACATCGTTCTTACCCGGTCCAGTTGCAACTGTATTAATATGCATAGGCTGTACCTTGTGTAGGAATGAAACACACGACCCACAACTTGTAGCAGGCTGGGATGGTTCTGACTTCAAAGTTAACAACCCTTGGTCCTGGCTAGTTCTCTCTTTGCCACTTGCAGCCTCTTAGCTGCATATATATTTGCATTAATACTTCAAGTTGCCTCTGATTCCAGACTTATACCCCGCATTCTATTGCCCTCTCTTTCACCCGCCAATTGCAACAACTATGGGGGTAGGATGACCCTTGGCCTTGCTGCCAATTCGAACTTGTGGCCCCGCCACTTGTAGCTTTCGATGCCTAATGAGCGCTCAACAACACTCGGCCAATAATAGTATCAAGTACCGGTTGATTTTTCTCAAAGGCGGTAGTTTTACTTACCGCACTTTGGTCGATAGCAGCAGGCTCATTCATCTAGCCTCAAACGGAGCCTTCTTCCTGCCATCGGCCTTTCCATCGAGGAGGACGCTAAAAATGTGGTTTGTTCCCCGAAGTTAACGGCTTCTGACTACCGTAAAGCCCGGCCTTCGTCCAATATAGAGCTTCTATGATCGTCCCAGGTAGTCCTGTTCTGCACCGATCCGTCTCCGCTCTCGCAGACCTACACGCGTGGCGACTTCATAGATGCTTTAGGGCGTTTTCAACGTGGTCTGTTCTTTATCTGCATCTCGGGGGTCCATTTCTTTTTGTTTTCACTCCGCCTCGTCTTTTTTGTTGTCGTGGTGAATGACCGGGCACTCGCCCACCGGCAACTTACGGCTTCGACTCATTAAGAAGTTCATATCGTTTGCTATTTGCTTGGCGCGTCAATCTCAGACGGCGGACTCGGAGGAGAACCTGGGTGAGGATAGCCCTTGCCCTCCACGTTTCGACCACGGGGAGCAAGCACTTGGTACATCGATGGTCTAGACAACCGTACCAGCAAGCTCCGAAGGACACTTGAAGAAGGGGAGATCCGGAGAAAAAAAATTGAAGGAATGCCCAGGCTTATCTCATCTTGATAAGCTATAGGCTTGGGCAGATGCGATGTGAACATCCGCGACGATTGACGAAAAAATTGGCACGCTCTGTTGTGGCGACGATGGAAAGACGAGGCTGCGCTCTGCCTGCCGATGGAATATTCGGAATATAATAAAATTACTAATAATAATCATCTGCCGCATTTGGGCATAAAAGCACCGCTGGCGTAATTCGCGCAACGCACATTTGCACCTACTCCCTCCCGTCATGGTCCCACTCCATTGAAACTGAGTGTGTCGCCACGACGCCCAACTTACCAACCACAACTTTGCAACTCCTCTATGCCTACCTCGAGCATCCCACTTCCCCCACCCGAATCATCAGCTTACGAGAAAGAACCTGGCCACACTCGTCAGGATCTCGCTGCGAAGGCAGTCAAGACGCCTCCGATAAACACTTCCTCCCCAGCACCCTTGCCATCGGCTCCGAATTCACCCATTCCACCGCCGTCATCGGTAAAGCGGGCAGCATCAACATCGGTTCCGAATACCCCCGCCGTGCCCCCCAGAGCGCCTTCTCGCGCTGCCTCAATCGCTTCAGAGGCCTCCCAAGCAAGCCACAAGTTCACTCTCAAAGACCTTCTTGCCTCTGGCCCAAAACTCTCTCGAAAGGGTAGTGCTCGCAGCGCTAGTTCGAGACACAGTGCCGACAGCGGCAGCGAACGGAGTCACAAAGCCAAGAGCGCAAAGTCAGGTGGTGGAGAGAGTGTTGGAAGTCTATCACAGAAGTACGGTGTCTGCCAGAAGGTGTGTGTCTTCGACAAAGAAAACCGATGTTTATACGGTGTGCTACAGGTTGCCATTGGCAAAGGGGCTACATCCGTCGTCCGCCTTGCTCACAAATGGGACCGCAGCGATGGGGAGAAGATGTATGCCGTCAAGGTGAGACGGCTGCTCTCATGCGGTCGTCACTCAGTCATATTAGGAATTTCGAAAACGCCGTCGCAACGAGACTGAGAAGGAGTATGTCAAGAAACTCACTGCTGAGTTCTGCATCAGCTCGACCTTGCACCACGTCAACATCGTCGAGACGGTTGATTTGGTTCAAGATGAACAGGGAAAGTGGTGTGAGGTCATGGAGGTACAAATAGCGCCTGTCTCGCACTCTTTCTCACTGACATCATCGTTTAGTTTTGTCCGGGAGGAGATCTCTATGCGGCCATCAAGAAAGGCGGCATGTCGCCCAGTGAGGTCGAATGCTGTTTCAAGCAAATTCTCCAAGGCATTGGATACCTCCACTCGCAAGGTGTAGCCCATCGTGACATCAAACCGGAAAATCTGTTCTTTGACACAGTTGGGCATCTCAAGGTCTGTACGGCGATCTCCGTTCTGGCTTCGGGCTGACTTCGGGCTTTGTAGATTGGTGACTATGGAGCGTCAACGGTCTACCGGCTGCCATGGGAGGGCACAATTCATATGTCAACTGGTTTATGTGGAAGCGAGCCATACATCGCGCCAGAACAGTTCCTCGGAAAGCGTATGTTTTGTTCTACATTGGCTAAAAATAAGCTTTGACCACGTTTGTCAGCCTACGATGCACGTCTTGTCGACATATGGGCCTGTGGAATTGTTTATTATTGCTTGCATTTCCAGGAGCTTCCTTGGCGGGCAGCGCAGCCCACTGACCAGTTGTATGCTGCATATGCTGCCGCTGCTGCATCGACTCCTGGCCCTCCTCTCCAATCCGCGGTTCCCAACGGCAACGGACACACTCAAAGCGCGTCAGAAAGCCGGGACCGCAACCATACCAACTCTGCTCTCCTTTTCCCTCCGACAATCAACAACCTTTCTCCGCGCGCTTGCCGGCCGCTGATAAGAAAGATGCTCGAGCCAGACCCGAAGGCGCGTGTGACGATTGAAGACGTATTGGGATCGGCGTGGATTAGTGGTGTCGAGGTTTGCTGGGATGTGGAGACTGCGAGCCATGTTCATGTCAACGCGAGAGCGATGGCAAGAGCTGTTGAGTACCAGTAACGGGTTGTCGAGCTTGACATAGTGTACATACGTGTTATCGTGACTGCTAGTAATGTTTTGTTTACAAGGAGTAGCTTTTAGATAGACTGCTTTCTGTTGTATTTTGACTTCGTAGTATAGCGTGTGAACCAACTTCCTTTTTTGAGCGTCACACCCAAAATTGCCTTTTTCTATGGACGACTTTGACGACTTCACTTCGTCGAGCAACGCGGGCGGAGAAATCGACTTTGACGCAGCTGCTGCCCAGTTTCCGGACATTTCTCTCGATGGCGACTTCACCGTAGCCCCAGTCCCCACACGCAACCTGACACTAGGTTCCTCGTCATCCAATGATTTCCTCGCATTCGACCCCCAACCACCGGCCCAAACAGCACTCAAGGTTACCGGCGACGACGAGATCGAGAAGTTCTCGAGCGAGTTCCCCGATATTGAGGTCCCGGTGAGTTGTGCAAGTTGCAAGAGTCAAGTGCTAAGCTGACTACGCTAGACTTCCCCCCCGTTCATCCAGCAACAGGCACCAACGTTTGGCGCCCCGCGGCCACAACCGTCGGCATTCACCTCGACCCCCATTTTGACGCAGGAGATTGAAGAGGACGAGCCGCAGGTGATCAAGTGGGTGGTGGCCAATTCGTTTGCGTTTCACCCCCTCCAACTAACTGTTTTGTAGGGAATGGCGCGAGAAACAGGCGGAGGAGATTGCGAAGCGTGAGGCAGCGGCGAAGGACCGCCGGCAAGCGACTATCACCAAGGCCGAGCAGGCCATCGACGAGTACTACGAGGCGTACAACCAGAAGAAGGCACGTGCGATCCGGGACAACAAGTGCGTGTTTTTCTGTCCTTATTCGTCGTATTCTTATGGTCATGAAAACAGAGACTCGGAAAGCCACTTCATCGAGACACTTTCTGGCGCGCTCTCCAAGGGAACGACGTGGCAGCGCATCTGCGAATATGTCGAGCTTGAAAACTCCCAGAGCAAAACCATTGCGCGGTCTGGCACTGGTACGACAGACCTGACCCGCTTCAAGGAGGTGTTGTTGCGACTTAAGCGGGAGGGGGACAACGCGCCCGGTGCAGCGGGTTTCTAATTCATGATATAATCGACTTCGACACTCCTTCTTTGAATGCATTATTTGCTTTGATGAAAAGGAAAGAATGGTTCGAGCAAACTGTGCCAAAATCTCAGGATACCGCTGTCTTGGTGTAGAAAGTGAGCCTGAGGGTTTTCTAACTAAAAGGGTCGTTGCACGAGTGTAAGAAAACGACAATTCCCCCCAGAATGAAGGTCAGGATACCGCGGACGAGGCCCAACCCAGCTTTGTAGTTGTGGGCATATAGCAAGCGAGGGTTGAGCCAAATATGCAGAAGATCGTTGCGTTGAAATGAGAGTATTCCTTTCAGACCAACGGAGGTCGCTTCACCTTGGAGATTTGATTCTTCATTCATTGCAAGCTGCACTGGCAAGCCAGAGACAGATTTTTTGCAGAAAATTAGCATGACATCAAGATTGGCAGAACATCGCATTTCTATTTCGGGCTTGGTTCTTTCTTTCTTTCTTACCCCACCATGCCTCTCCACAAACTTGACGACATGAAGTCTGACGCGTATACGGAGGCTTGGGTCGAGGGCCCACAGTCAACCAAGTTCTACACTCGGGTCTACAAAGCGAAAGAAGAAAGCAGCAAGGCCGTGCTTGTCTTCGTTCACGGCTTCGCGGAGCATGTTGGCCGCTATACCGAGGCCCACCCCGTATTTGCAGAGCATGGAATCAGCGTGTTTGCCTTTGACCAGCGCGGGTTTGGGCGGACCGCACTCGACAAGGCGAATAAGAGCAAGTCAAGCGCGTATGGGAAGACGAGCGGGCCTGACCAGATGGGCGACATCAAGTGGGCAATCCAGCACGCGCAAAAGGAGTTCCCGGGCCTGCCTGTCTTTCTCGCGGGCCACTCGATGGGGGGCGGGGAGGTGCTTAACTTTGCGACACGCTACGCAGACGACGCCAAGGCGATGCTGACAGGGGTTATCGCTTGCAGCCCCCTTGTCCACCAGACCACACCCGCCTCCAAAATTCAGCGTTGGGCAGGCGGAATGATCGCTAATGGTGTCCCCTATTTCACAATCCCCACCCCGCTCAACTACGACGACCTGTCGCATGACGAAAACTACAACAAGATGTGCAAGACAGACGAACTCTCCAAGCTGCAGGGCACGCTGCGTGGGGTGTCGGATATGCTCAGTTGGGTCGGTGGTTACCACTGATGCAATGTTTTGCTGAACCTTTGTCAGGGCGAACTCTTGCTCACTGAACAGTACAAGAAATGGCCCAAGACACTTCCTGTTCGCGCTATTTTCCCTTGTGCCATCTGCTAACCGGGGTACAGGTACTACTCGTCCACGGTACTGGAGACAAGGCTCGTGTTCTCATATATATCCACTCAGTGGTTTTAACGCTGCAACAGATCACCTCTTCGAAAGCTGCAGAGAACTACATCGAGAAGCTCGCTGCCGACGACAAGGAGACTATTCTCTACACTGTACTGTTCCCATTCTACTATAGTCAAACTATGCTAACCCAATGGACAGGACGGATACCACGAACTGGTGCATGAACCCGCGCACCGCGAGAAGTTGCTCAATGACATGATTGCCTTCATTGAGAAGCATATACCCAAACCGTCGGCAGTTGAGGCGAAGCTGTGATTTAGTTATATTTCTTGTAATTCACTGGGACAAATCTGACAAGTGTTTAACTTTGGGCTTCAAAAGACTGCATTTACAAACTCGCGCATCCGATCGACGACGACAGCATGATTCTCAGCTACCCTGGTTCCTTCGGCTTCCTACTTCTTCCGAAACCACCATGTCCTCCCCCGACTCCGACTCGCCCAAGATTGTGCTCCACTGGCTAGAAAAGTCACGCGCGCAGCGTATTCTCTGGTTGCTTGAAGAGCTCAATGTGGCCTACGAAATCAAACGATACAAACGCGACCCCAAGACCGCGCTGGCCGATCCGCAGCTCAAGGCCATTCACCCGCTCGGAAAGGCACCAGTGATCACTATTGGCGACATGGTGCTGGCCGAAAGCGCATTCATCACCGAGTACCTTTCTGACCACTTTGGCGGTGGCGCGTTGGTGCCAAAGCGGTGGAAAGACGGGCAGGAGGGAAAGCTGGGCGGCGAGACAGAGTCGTATCTGCGCTACCGCTATTTCATGCACTACACCGAGGGCTCGCTCATGTCGCTGCTCCTTGTCGCGCTCGTCCAAAACAGTGCATCATACTTTTTTTCTTCTGCTTCTGCTTGTGATTTCTGAGCTCGTATCAGACATCAAGACCGCGCCGGTGCCCTTCTTCATCAAGCCTGTCACCTCTGGCATTGCGGGCAAGATCGCGAAAGGCTACACGGACCCCAACTTTGTCGCCCACTTCCAATTCCTCGAAGACCAGCTTGCGACTGCACCAGAGGGCGGGCCTTATCTTTGCGGGTGTGTCTATCGCGTCTAGTTTTCAACTTGACTGATTCGTAGGCCTACATTGACCGGAGCGGACCTCATGATGAGCTATCCCACTCTCCTTGCAACAAGTGGAAGTGCTCGCGCGCCTGGAGGCCTAACGAAGGAGAGCCACCCCCGGTTGTTTGCGTATGGTGAAAAGCTGCAGGAGAGCGAGAGCTACAAGCGAGCGGTGGAGAAGATCATTGCGTTGGAAGGAGAATATTCGCTCAGTCCTTGAACTTGAAGGAGACTCTTTTTTTCTTAAGTATTTGCCGGTCTACCCAGACTCAAACAAATTTCATGCAATTCTTGCCAATTATATATCAATTTGTATCCGCCCGAGTTCGCTCAGTTGCAGGTGTTATCGATAACTTATAAGTTGGTAAGGACCCCATCTCTTGCCTGGAATTAGGCCCAGCACCGTGCGGACGAGCTGGAAATCGAGATCGTTGGCGCAAGTTGGTAATGCAGTCCAACCCTCGTCTTCCCCAAATATTTCCTCGTGCTCATTGTCACGAAGGGCGGACGCTTCATAGGCAGTGTTCGTTATAGCATCCAAGACAAACTCGATGCGGCCGCCCTTCCGCAAGTAGTAGCTTGTGCCAGGAAGACGGCGCTCGACAGTCTCGACTGAAAGAATTTCGTCCGTGGACTCCAGAAGCTCATAGATAGCTCTAAACACGTTGCAGTAGCCCTCGTAGAACGACAGGTAGAAGTTTGACTGAAATGTGGGCGGAATGTAGTCAGAGTGCAGGTAGTAGAGTTGCGTGAGGTCACCAGGCTTGCCCTGGGTGAACTCGTCGTAGAATTCTGGCATCGTGTCCATTGCATAGGCAGCTTTACCTAAGTTGAGAGAGTTAACAAGACGGAATGAAGCCGAAGAATCACACTCACAAGAAAGCTGGAAACGCATACGAGGAGACAGCCAGCCGCCGGTACACTGACCACAAGTGCAGCCATATCGGCTCTTCTGGATGTATTCTCCGAGCGTGCTGGGAACCGGGATTCCCATCCTTTGTTTAAGCAAAAACTCTGCCTCGAGTTCGTCTTCTGGGTACCCTTCCCAGTTGTACACTAATTGCGTGTCCACATCCGTACGATCGCAGTTCATCTGGAGTTGTAATGCTCCTAGAGGGGTTTCGCCGCTGGCATTCGTTATATTCACGAGGTCCGCGCTCATGTCCCAGCTCAAGAGCTTGCGAAGGGCGAAGAGATTAACGTTGTCAGCCGCAGTATGAAGGGGAGTAAAGCCGGCCCAGTCAAAGGCGTGGATGCTGGACGGATCTCGATCGTAGTATTCTTGAATTGTGTCGACAATTCGGGATGTTTTATCACACCTGATAGCGTGACGCAGAGGATACTCGCGTTGGGGGTCCGTGGGGGCCTCCTTGAACCCTGCGCCCAATTCTTCAACATCTTCTTCAATAGAAAGGAGACGAGAGACATGGCGATTATTGCGCGAATACCCGAAAAATCTCGTGCGTCCGATCCGACGGAAATGATTCTGGGGGAATGTTATGTAAGCAAAGCAAATGTCGCATTCGACCATACCTTGCGAAAGAACGCAACCTGACGGTCCCCCGTCTCCTCCACTGGATCGTCTATATCATTGTACGTTGGCCAACAGATCACAATATCCTCCTGCTGAATGCGTTGTGAACGAAGGAATTTGTTGAGAAGCCATGAGCCGATCCCTTGCCCATTGACATGGAGCTAACAAAGCAGTATTAAATGTTGAGAATAGATTTAAGAACGCAGCAATGCGCACCTCCTCTTTCACAGAGACCGAAAATATGTAGAACAGGTCTCCCTTGTTTAACTCTTCTCCCCAGCACATTGTTCCACTATGGTACCCAGGTTCGATGATGCGTGGCCGGACTCGTCCATATTTGTCAAAGAGCTCTGAGAGCTCAAAGAGTTCCTCGTAGAGTGTGACCAGGAAATCGTCGCGGAATTCGGTGCGAACAATTTTCCATATTTTCAACGACGCAATGACTTCATTCCCGTGTGTGGCGGTCACCTTGAAGACTTTTATGTGTCGGGGAGACTCTATGTGGCGTTTTGATTTTACATGTATCTGGAGCTCGTTTTTGTCCAGGGAGCGCATCGTGGTTGGTTGGAAAAAACGTTGGCAGCCCAAATGGATGGAGGAGGAAGATCGATGACTCGGACATCGCTAATAATAACAATCGGTGTGAGTATGTATGACACGAGAAATCTCTCACCCATTTCTTGAGGTCGAGTCTACGATGATGGCAGATGAAAAAATCCCAAATCGCGGGCGGTCACCAGCACATGCTCGTGTGACAAGTACTTGTTCTTTTCGCTCCACCATGGAGAAATTCAAGAGGAATCATATTCGGCCAGATCCCTCCAGCATCTTATCCACGCGCCACACAACCTGTTAGCTAGAAGCGCCCACCCCAAGTACAACTCTACCATTGGCAGTCTCAACGGGCCGGGCCCATTGCCCAATCAGCGACTACTAGTATCATGATTCTCGACAAAATTGCCAACGCAGACACGTCTTAGCACCTCCTAGTCTCACAATCAACGCCTTGCAATAACCGACGCACCACCAGGAGCGTTTACCGTACCCACTCGGAATTCAAAAGCAACTGAAGACACTGGGTACAAAGGTGCTCAGGCTGAACTCCTTTGCAATGACCGCCCCCACTTATTTTTTCACTGGCACGATGTCGCGCTCGGAACCTTTAGGTTGATGTCAAGCCTCAAGGTTGCGTTGTCAATGCTTCCGCCACCCGGCTCCTTCAACCCTTCGATTTCAATTTTCGCCTGCTTTTTCAAAGAAATTTCGTATCACTTTCGTACCGCCCTTGCTCGCTTACACTGTAGTGTTCTGGTACTTTTGTCAAACCGCAACAGGTTCAAGTTGAAGTTCAGTTCAACCGCGTTTACAATCTTCAGCACGACTACAAGTAACTTTCCCCACTCGAGGATCTCCAAAATGGATTTTTCCAGGATTAACATTTGCACCCGCCAGGCTTGCAGTCACATCTAACACAGTCTGACTCAGAACGACTGCAGCTTGTCCCCAGAAGAAACACCTACGAGGCGCCGCAACTGCACGAGGAGTTGCCGCAATTGTGCGAGACAGGGATTTGGGTGTTCTGAGGAGGAACATGGTCAGCGTCTTTTGTCATCGGCAAGGAGGAGATACGCACGGTGGTCATTTTCAGTGTGTGTGTTACTAGTATGATCATACCCTCGCTCCCCTTTGCTCCTTAAATACGCCTATAGATTCTTCGGAGTTGTGCCATGTATTCAACTCAAGCATACGGCATACGGCATACTCTGGATTTAGAAAACTAAAACAACAAACTATACTAGAATTGACGCCTTCCAGCCCCACACGTTTACCAACTAGAAAACGGTTAGCACCAAGCAATCTTATGCTTTAGATGGAGGCCCCACCTATACGTTTCGGTGTGCAAGAAAAGGTCCCTGCAGACTCCAAATCCATCAGCGATATCAAGCTCGCAGCCAGCAACGCTATTGCGGACGTCATAAAGGAAGCCATCCGGGCCGCATGCTGCCAACAGTGTCACACACAACGAAAGTGGGCAAGAGCAATGCTTACCAACGATGGCAACACGACTCGCACTGGCGTGGGCCTCACGAATAATGTCGCCAAGAATAGGACGGCCGTAAGCCACGCCCTCTGGGTTCGCGTTGTGAATATCCGACTCATCGTCTTTGCTGGGAATGTCGGCATCGCCAGACCGAGTAAAGTGAACTCGAATGTCCACGGTGTCTCCGTGACTTGCAGTAGCAGCAGCGAGGTGAGGTCCCATCCAAGCATAGTTGTCTGGGCCGCATCATCAAAAGATGGTCAAGGAAAAAGAAGACCATAGATATCCCACCTGCATCTGGGACGGCGACAACAAAACTGATGCGCTTCAGCACCGATTCTTCTGTTAGCTTGGGAAGCAGGTCCCTGAAGATAGGGAGTGTGAAAGTCGTGCCTACAATCACTGAGCTATTGAATAACCATGCGCATAAAACAAACCTGTTCCCCCACTGAGAAACACGACACGCTCATAGCGCTCCAAAGGAAGTGGCGCATGCAGCCCGCCATACGGTCCATCCAAAACAATTCTACTGGACCAGCTGGCCTTCCCAGCAACGCGTTGTTGGAGTGCCTGGGTAAGTCCGCCCCGAGCGCGCAGAACCAACTCAACTACTTTATCCTTTTCTGCGATCGAACTGATTGTGAACGGGTGAGACGTCAACGCATGGACACCGAGACCGAGAACACGAATGAAAACGTGTTGGCCGGCCGCCCAACTGAAGCGACCTTGTATCGGGATGCTGATTTTGACGAGGTTGGGCCCAACGGACTCGATGGTCGACGGCAGTCCGAAGCCGGTGGTGTAAAGAGTACGAACGACGCGGGTCAACCAAGCAAGACCATACAATGCCAGCGTTGCCCAGAAGTAGTCCCTGAAATTAGGTCAACAACACAATGACTCATGACAGAAAGAAACGCACCAAGAGGTCAGACGGAAATTGACATGGATAAAGAGGGCGGCCATAAAGATACCAGAAGCTCTGTCCAACTATGTCAGGGGAAAAACAGCTGTGCTCGATGAGAAGGCAGACATGAAATGAAGTCTAATAAGGTTCGTCAGATGGAATATCAAAGACAAGTTTAAGTGGATTTCGCACTTCTTGAAGGTCTCATAGTATTGGTTGCGGAAAATGCCCCACGACATTAAAATAAGGTACGTCTACCAACCGTTATTCTTGAAAACAGGGCAAGAACGTGGACTGACCTGGGGTATTAATGCAGCAATGCCACTCCAGTACCACGGAGACTTGGCATACTGCGATTCCATGATGCCCAAAGCGACATTGTTGATGATGAACGGGAACGTGTGGACCAAAGAGGCAATATCTAAACGATTTATGATCATCCACTCCTCGCACATAAAAAGAGAATTTACACATGAAGAGTGCCGACCATCGATGGAAAACTTGCAGTTTTTCGTGGGACGTCTCCGTGACCAAGCCGATGAAGTTTATTTTGGTTGCAAAGGCGCTAAGATGCCCATGAATACAGAAACGCAAGTGCGAACGAAAGGTCACATCATAAACGGCATGATCGCGATGGCGATCCAGCCAGAACGGGTGGCGAGTGGTGGACTATGTCCCATTTGTTCGTTAGGCCAGTAGAATGGTCGGGCAGAGAACATAAGTGCTAGAATAACGTTGTTTGAAGGGATTCAACATGAGTGAGAAATGAATACCGAGAATGAAGATTGACATGCCACACACTCCAACGACAGCAGCAAGCGGCGGTGTGTACCAGCGAGTGAGGCCGAGATAAAACTGGCGGGCTGTAGCATATCGCATTGCTGCCGTGAGTTTGTCGCCAAAACCCGGACGATTCCGAGCGACGTGCATCAAGTTTCTTCCATGGAGCCACGCAAGCTTGTTCAAGACCGCAGCCACAAAAATTGCAGTACAGAAAAAGATGACGGTCGTTTGTGCGTAGTCCCAGTCCGCTGTATACCACTAGCAATCCATCATAGGAATGCGAAGGAAACGACAGAGCAACTCACGTTGTGCCATCTGGCGACGAGGAGCTTCCTCTCCTCAGCGGTCATGGCATTATAGTTGTACCCACCAGCGACACGGGACGAGTGCCAGAGGACAGGATGCCTCAGCCAGATGAGACCCATGATAGTGCGAGGACAGGAAGCCGCTCGGAAAAGTCGTTTGCTCGGAATAATATGTTGGCGCTAGCCGGTCACTTGTCGGTCACACTGATCCCCAAGGTTCGGTTGAAAAACCCATCTGGATTTTGGTGCGGGCTAAGATTTACGGAGATAGATCCAGCAGGTGGAAACAAGGTCCTTCCGTGATGCGACACGTCGGACGGGGGTGCATGTGGACATCAAAAGTGTTTGGGAGGGAAAGGATTCAGAAGCAGAGAGCGGGCAACAGCCACAAGCGGTGGTTTGTGAACCGTGGCGAGCTGAGCTGGCCCAGGAGAAACACGGGGTGATAAGGTAGGAGAGTGTGTCGGGTGGGGTTTGAGGTTTGCGGGTAGTTTAGTTGGAGGCTGACTGCGGCCAAGGTCAGCTCGATGCGCCATAGAACAATTGGAGACAGACCGCAAAGGCTATCATTATGGGAGTTTCTTGATCGTAATGGGAAGGCAAGTTGGACGAGGCTGAAGTTCGGTTGGCTGGAGAGGCATAGCATAACACAGTATTGGGGAAATGGAATTAGGAGGGCGCGGAAAGCGAGAAAGTGATAGCAGCGTGACAGGCGCCTTTTATATCGAGTTTGATGATGTCGACCAGAATGATGAGACATTTGTGCGTTGGGCATTTCCGCGATTGGTCCATCAAGATCCGACATCCATCGCTTCTTGCTCTCATGGTCGCATTGCAGTAAGTACGTCCTCGCTGCACGCAAATGGTTGGCGAGTCTCGAGGGAGGAGGGAGGTCAAAGGTGCGCCTAAACAACTCTAAACAATGACTTTTACAACGTCGCTAAGCTACAACTCTGTTTCCACAATCCCTCATTCCCCTCCACATCCTTCCAGGCATCAACTCCCCCGATAACGCAATGAGCAGTGACACCCCGATTTCGCAAGACACTCATTGCAAGGCGCCCCACATGTCCCTTGTACGACAGAGTCAAAACCACATCACCCTTGCTGAGCACTGCTTCTCCAAATTGCGCATCGTCAGCCCCCAGCCGTTTATCGAGAAATCGGAACTGTTCTACCATCGTCGGAGGGTGCTTGTATGGGTTGGCTGCTTCACGAATGCTGAATGATAGAGACAACGAACAAGGCAGGTGGGAGACAGCGAAGTCTTCTGCATCCCGCAAGTCGAGGACCTTCACCTTTTCTTGACTAGCAAGCATTTTGTGTCCGACCACTGGAGTTATCTCCCAGTCAACGTTGTAGCTAAGGTGAGATGAGGTGAAAAATCATGCAGGATCGTAGCCATACTTGTATGAATCAACACCAATGAGCTCCTCGTTGCGAATAGGTAAGAAATACGAAGGGCCGAGCTTGTCAAAATATTCGGAAATATACTGGAAAGGCTGGTCGCAGCAAATAAAGACACCTAAGTGGTGGTCAGTTAAACGTCAACGATAGGAAAGCGGCTTCTGACAGGGAATTTCGCGGTCGTCGTTGCGAAGAGACTCGAGTTCTCCTTGGGCGATTTTCTTGTCGAGATAGTGGAAGAGCCCAAGTAGTGCCAAACCCGACGATGGGCCCACAAGCAGACCATTGCGACAAAGTTCCAAACTTTTCTCGTAGGACTCGAATGTTCCTACTTCCTCGATGGTGTCAACAGCCTCGCGCCACGGGAACTCAACCGGCGCCAGTAGGCTGACCATACGTGGGCCAGGAACACGTTCACCGGGATTTGGGCAAACGCTGCAAAGCAACATCAGTCCTGAACTGTCGAGGCGAGGCAAGTAAAAAACCAACCCGACCCGCGCAACAGAGGGTTTAACCGATTTCAGGTAAAGACCTGATCCCGTCATCGTGCCTCCAAGATGTTAAAACAAGAAACTTGATGTTTGAAAGAGTCTTAAACTGACCCGATGTCCCAATACAGGCAGCGAATACGGAGATGCCGGGAAGCTGTTTGATGATTTGTGGTCCTGTCCAACGCATGTGGGACTCATAATTCTGCATCAACGCTACGTTAACTTGCATCGAGCTACATAAATCAGGACAAGCCTCTGGGTTAGAATACTGGTCGGGGTTGTAGAAGCCATCTTGCGCTCCATCGATATTGGCGGTGAAAATACCGCCATTAGGGTCAAGCGGTTCTGGTTGACCGTGTCCGCCAAAGAGAGTCCTTCAGAGTTCCGTCAGGATGGCAGGTGCCAGTGTCTCTATGTCAAAATGGAGACGCACAAATCCAGTCCCTACTAGGTCATCAGTTCTGTGTATGCGGCGAGGACGGGGGACCTACAAAAAACCTGAGCAGCTCTAACTTGGTCTGGCTCGTTTTGTTGGAGAGATAAGCGTGAACGTTGGGAATGCCATAGATGTGGGCGAGAATCCCGAGCGAGATGACGGTGCTCCCGGACGAGTATTCGACAAGAGTATGTGTGTCGGAGGTGATTTTGCCCTTTTCCTGCCCACGAAGGATGAAATTTAAAGCTGAGAGACAGAGTTAATCGGTCTGCGAGGGAAAGCGAGAGTGTTTCACGAACCAGGGATGGATTTGACGTTGGTTGCGGGAACGTGGCTCATTAGCTTTGCATAGATGCGAACCCCGTCTGAGTAGCAATGTATGAGAAACGTTGGTAGATGATGGACTGAGCGACGATTACCTTTGCGGTATGGGTTTAGGCGTTCCGGAAGCTCAACGAGCTACAACACAAATTTTGAGAAATCAATTTGAAGACGGAGTTGGCTGTTTTTACTGGTATAAGAGGGCCTTGGTCAGGATCGTAGAAGTCATGGAGTGCACGTTCTCCAGAAAAGACATTCAGGAGAGGGTCGACGGGCATGCCAATGGTGAAAGTGGGAGGTTATTGAAGTGGTAGCTCAGTAGTGGTTGCAGGTCGGATTCAAGTTTAGAACGATGAACAATCTTTGACAGCTCGGCTTGGCGGTGGTCCATCTTAAGGCGGTAAGTCAAGTCGTGCCGGCTCGATTTAAGCGCCAAGGACAAGAAGTCGCGATGAAAACTTCCGAATCGTGAATCGAGATCAACGTGTGACAGGCGGCTGTGACTAGTCACTCATGGGTTCTCCAAGTCTGGGTGTCGGGCTGCAATGGTCCTCCAACTCCCCGTCTCCGACATGGTCTCTGGACCCAAAGAGCTGACCGACCAGACGCGGTACCTTCCTCTTCACAAAATTGTCACCGTACGCCCTCCCAAACCCAACGTCTGTGTCTGAGCCTCTTTAACAGGTCTTTCTGGCATGCGCCACTGTAGGCACTGTTAGCTTGCTCGATGAAACGATGATCTCCGTGGCTTTACCCGTCATAAGCTCCGACCTCCATGCTGGCACTCAAATTAGCTGGGTTGCAGCTGCGTTCTTCGTGTAAGTAACCTCAACTCCTTCCAACTAGCAATCCTAACGCGTCTCAGAACGAGTACCGCGTGTCAGGCACTCTATGGTCGTTTGTCAGACATTTGGTCACGAAAAGTGGTCCTATTTGCTCTCATGACCATCTTCTTCATGTGCGCCTCGCAAAACCCGACCCCATGATTCTAATGCACCCACCAGAGGGAACCTCGCGTCAGGTTTTTCCAGCACATTCATCCAGCTGATTGTTTTCCGAGCTGTACTAGAACTCATTGCACATTCGTTCCATTAACTGATTAGTTTCCAGCTGACGGGCGTAGGCGGCGGGGGTCTGTCGACAATTGCCCAAATTATTGTGTCGGATGTCGTATCTCTGCGCGAGCGGGGAAAATATCAGGGTATACTGGTACGCGCGCCTCGAAAATCACATTCAGCGCCAAGCACATTCTATAGGGTGCATCTGTTGCGATTGCATATGGCTGTGGTCCAGTCATTGGCGGTCTTTTTGTCGAACACTCGACTTGGTAGGGTCTCTATGGCTTATGGAGTTCTCGAATGACGGAGATCAGGCGTTGGATCTTTTGGTTGTGCTGTCCGCTTACCGCTGCCTCATCCATCGCCGTCTACTTTTTCATGCCTCTGAAGTCTGTTGAAGGAGACTGGAAACTGTATTCGCTATTTACTAACCGAATCGCTATGACTGACTCTGTTTCAGCAAACTGTCTCGGATCGACTTCGTCGGCTCGTTCCTCATCTTGGTATCCTCAACACTGTTTGTGGTATGTACAACCTCTTGGCTGAGACTTTTCTCTGAATTGGTTACAGCTTTCCCTCACATGGGCGAGTGGCTCGTACGACTGGAACAACCCTCACGTTTATGCTGCGCTTGCCGTTGGATGCGTGGCTGCTATAGCGTTCATTTTGTGGGAATGGAGGATACCCTCATTCCCCGTTCTTCCTAGTTCGTCAACCTCATGCGACTCCATCTCGCTGACTGTCTTGTTCAGTGTACATCTTCAAGCACCGGATTGTTATCGGCGCCGCGATAACTCAAACCATAAATGGTTTCCTGACCGTGGTCCAGGTTTTCTACTTGCCCACATTTTATCAGCTGGCCTACGGCTACAGCCCTGTGAAATCGGGTCTACTAGTTCTTCCTCTCACCATTGTTCAAAGTAAGTTCGTTCTCTCAGCGCCATTGAGGTGATTATTAAAGTTTATCCGTTTGTAGCGGCCACTTCAACCGCCTCCGGTCTAGTCGTTACTGCTACGGGACGATACCGCGTGCGTCTACATTGGGCCGTGTCTCGCATGGACTTGATGGTTGGATCAGGAGCTTATACTCGCTGGATGGGCCATCTGGGCAATCGGTCTTGGACTGATGGCGACTCTGACCGAACGTTCTACTCTGGCTCAGCAAATCGGTTATGCATTGCTTACCGGCATCGGTGTTGGACAAACCTTTCAACCGTGTGTATAATCTCCATCACATATACGTTCAAATTCTCACCCATGGCAAACAGATCATTGGTTGCCGTTCAAGGTGCCCTAGATCGTAAAGACATGGCTGTCGTGACCGCCATGCGGAGGTAATCTAATGTTTTCCTCTACTATTCCATCTTACGCCTGACGTCCAGCTTCGCGCGGAATATCGGCGGTACCCTTGGACTGGCCACTACAGGCACCATCGTGTAAGTGAAGTCTATATGGACCCAATGCAAACGTCGCATTGAATCAGTTCACAGAAATAGCGTTTTAGAAAGCCATCTCAATCGCCTCAACATCAGTCCCCAGCTGCGCCGTGATATTCTGGACAACCCTGTTTCTGCTCGCACGAGCGGCCATCTAGCGCCTGATGTGTTGTCCCAGGTCGTTGTCGGGTACCACGCGGGCTTCAGGATCACATTCATCATCCTGGCTACAATGGCGGCCATTTCCTTCTTCGTTGCGTTGACGCTCATGACACATCGAGATCTGCATCGAGAAGATGATGCGAGGTTGAAGGCGGAGGGAGAAGCTGCATTCGTACAGCATCAACCCGAAACTCCAAGCCTAACCAAGGAGCAGTAGATCAAAAACACACCAATGTGATCAATAACCGTAGATAAATCTTAGTTTTCTTTTGACCATGTCTATTGTCTACCTCAACACCCAGAAAATTGTGCCTCGGGCTGCACCACTCCTTGACCAGCTTCACGAGGCGACCCCAGCAGCGGAATATGACCTGAACAGTGTTCTCCCTGCGCCGAAAGAGGCATTGGAAACTGCACGCGTCAAGATCGAACCTTTCATTGCAAGTCGATCCTGCCTTGCTCTGGCGTTTAGCTCACGCAGTCCCTCACCAGCCTTCGCTCCATGCAGACGCATTAGCAAGTGCGTTCTCAGCAGCGCCTCCGCCAGGAACTGACGGCGACATCTGGTTTTACCCCTACCCAAAGGGCAAGCCGTTCGGTCAGCCTGAGTGCAACACTGTTTTTTTATATTGGTTTTTCACGATCTATCCAGAATCCAAGCAGGAAACGCTCATCTACCTCGAGAAGCAGCGCCTTCGACCCAATATCCTGACGTTTGCCGTCATCGACCGCGCTTCCGACGAGTTGGCCGCAGTGATGAGGTTGGCGTCTTCATTATTCAACACAGACATGACTAAGTAATTCAGTCTTGGCTGCGACCCGGCGCAGGCGACACTCGATGTGAAACTCATGGCGCTCAAAGTCTTCCCCAAATTTCGCCGAACCCACGTCTTCGTCCATGGCTGCTATCTGCTTTTACGCTACGTGCTCGACCCCACTGCAAACGGCGGCCTCGGGCTTGTCCGGGTCGGATGGCGAACTCCGCCTGCGAATATCCAAAGCCAGAAAGCGGCTGAGAAAGCCGGGCTGATCCGGGAGGGCATTATGAGGTCCGATTTGGACTTGTTGGGCTGATAACGTCGCGACTGATACACGCTCAGATGCTATGAAGTTTCGCCCAACATGGGCCCCGAGTCGCCTTACCCGGGGCAACCCGTTCCAGACGGGTCCGGCAGAATAACGGAAGATGCGGTTGTGTATTCGATGACTTGTCATGACTGGTTGGCAGGCGGGAAGCGTGCGCGATTGGAAGCCCTCTTGTAAACATGTCAGATGATCGGAAAAGAGTAGCACTGGCTGTCACAGTCGGTTGATCCCAAAATCTCGTCACTCCGACATCCTTCTATTGCGATACCGCAGATGGGGGTAACTTTTCTCGGTCTCAGCTCGATTCCAAGTCCAAACCAAACCTGATTTAGTCGCAGAGCAAAGCCGCATGGAATGAATGATCGTCCTGCAATGATGTCAACATATAAGTTCTTCACGACGATGAACCTTTCCTCATCCCAAAATGAATGTCTTCTCTGGAAAGAACGCGCTGAAGGATTTTTATGACCCAGACAAGTGCCCGCCGCTCCCCGTACGCATCAATTTTCAGTCTGCCTAGTCTAATGGGTACCTCTCCAGTTAGTGGAGCTCCCCAGCCATCCATTCGAGGCCGATGGCGTTGAAATATACGCCAAGATGCTCACGATGCTTCCGGCCGCCAATGTCAAGTCACTGCCAGGTAGTTGCACCATCCTACACGCCATTTGCGGCCACCTGACGAGATTCCCAGCGGCGAACATGTTGCTCAAAGCGGTCGAAAGCGGCGAGATCAGCGACGACACGAAACGCATTGTCGAATGGTCCTCCGGCAACACTGTGATATCATTGGCCATACTCAGCCGCATTCATGGTTTGGCGCGGGAGGAAGGAGTGTCGGCCTATATTTCAAACAAGAACCCGGAGTCGAAAATGCAACTTCTGCGCTTTTTCGTGAGTGCGCCTGTCATCGTTGATCAGCTTGATCTTACCACGAGCAGGACTTGGAGCTGTACGGACCGGCAGCACAACGCCCTGGTTCATTTCACTGACGAGTTGTAGGACACTATTTGGGGGGCCAACCCAGGTCACCTCTGTTGACGTTGATGGCGGGATTCAGGCGGCGATTAATGATGGCAAGCGCCCGGGATACTATAACCCGTCACAATACACCAGTGCTCGAGTAAGCGGCAAACATTGACTATGTGGGTCAACATCATCTAATGAGTTATCAGAATCCTGAGGCGCATATTCGATGGACTGGCCCACAGTTACTGAAACAGCTGCCAGATGTGTCGGTATTTGCATCTGGCCTGGGAACGGCAGGTGAGGAGCCTATATTTGTCGTCAGCAAAAGAACCGATTGGAGTATGGACAGGAACGATTACCGGCGTCGGGACATACCTCAGGTCGATGAAGCCTGACATCGTCAATGTGGGGTGGGTCTTTTGTCACTGATTTGATTGAACAACTAATGCCTGAGAATTGCTAGGGTTTTCATCGCTCCCGGAGACAAGGTACCAGGCCCGCGTCCGATGGATCTTATGTCGCTGCCAGCAGAGATGGACCTCCCCTGGAAGGACGTTATCGACACAGCAGAATTCGCAACATCATTCGACTCGTACCGCACCAGCCTCGATCTGTGCCGCCAGGGACTGCTTGTCGGGCCGAGCTCTGGCCTCGCGCTAGTTGGGTTATACCACTATCTGGAGAAAGTAAAAGCGAATGGGGAGCTCGAGAAGTTGAGAGGACCAGACGGGAAAGTCAAATGTCAGTAACGGCTCCATTTTGCTTACCTGCCATGACTGGTATTTAGGTGCGTTCATCTGTTGCGACCAGCCCTTCCAATATATCAGCGAGTACTTCGACAAACTGCCGGACAGTTTCTTCCCACGTATCCACAACCAAGAACTCCTTGAGGTCGACCAATACGCATACAACACGCTTTGGAGCATCAGCGAAGAAAAAGCCCTAACAAAAGTCAAAGCAGAAGACGCTATCATTCTCGATCTGCGTGACACTTGCGACTTTGACTCCGTTCGGGTGTCAGGCTCTCTGAATCTCAGCTTGGGCTGTCGGGAGGAGCCAAACCCATTCAAAAGCCCGCCCGTGCTGCATCGCCAGTGGCTAGCGCTTGACAAACGTTTGAGGGCCGATGATGCTGAATTTGGTCGACGTTTGTTCACATCCGATCGACCCATCATCATAAACTCCTACGATGGACGCACTGCACTGGTGGCGAGCAGCATCCTTCGCAAGAGAGGCGCGGAGGCGTACGCGGTTGTTGACGGAATAAATCTTTGTCGTAAGTCAGACTACGCAGCCAGTGCCATGTGCTGTTCTGAGCGACAACACAGCGGAGAGCGGGTTTCTGCTGGACTATGGGACACCGTTTTCCAAGTTTTTGATCCAGGTCAATCGGATTGACCTCGAATGTAAGTCATTGCTGTAGTTTGCACCAGATATAAGTAACGCAGCTTTGCAGCTGGCAAAACCAGTGTATTCGAGTACGAGCGACGGGCAATGTAGTTTGTGTCTAATTTAATGTTCTGTGGATTGTCTCGTCAGTAGTCTATTCTGTGCGATGAGGGATTTGGATTAACTTATTGACTACACACGGTCCGTCTGGTGAACGAATGCTGGAGGCTTGGGACAACACATGTGGTGGCAATCAGTGACGGTCACATGCATCGACCAAAGGACCCCTGATTATGCCCCAAGAGGTAGGATACCAAAATCCGGACAGATTTTGGAAAATTTCAACCTAGGTTTGACCAGAATCCGGACAAAAATCGGGTTGGAGCCAAAAAAGTTAGAACCAAAGTCCGGACAAGAGATTTTACCCTTAGACAGGTCGGAACCAAGTCCGGACAAATTTTCCTCAGTTAGGTCAGTTTGGTGGGCAATTCACATTGAAATAGACCACATTTAAGAAAAAATCAGGTGGCACATAACGGCTATCAGAGCCTGAAAAACTGTTCTTTAGCTATAATTCCACCTTTTCTCGGCTAACTTTCGCTAATTTAGCGCTTTTTGTCAAGGTCGGATGCGAATCCGGACAAATTTTGCACCTTCGGGGTAGGTCGGATCAAAATCCGGACAAAACGATATGCGTTTGGCGTCCAAAAAACGCGGACAAATTTTTCATTTCACCGATTTCAGAATCCTACCTCTTGGGGGATAATCAGGGGTCCTTCGACCAATGGCAAATGTGCGATCCGCGAAAATTACTCACGGACTCGGTCCGAAGACAGATAAAAGCGGGACGCAAAATCGGCTCGCTCTTCCTTCCCCCCCTCCATCTCACTCCTCCCCAACTTTACACCTACAAACTTTGCAGCTTCCCGGAGCTCCGCCTGTCTCTTTCTTCATTGCAATATGGATCAAGGTGTGCCATAACTTCCTTCCCTACTCTCCCTCCCAGTTCCCTCCTTGTCTGACGCTCTTACGCCATGACCCAAACAGGTTCACTACCAACCTCGGGGATATGGTCACCGTCTCCGGTAGCGACATGTCTATTTGACTCGAGCCAGACCTGAGCCAGCTCGTCCCCTCGCTTCAAGTTCCCTAGCCTCCCTCATGCTCCGCAAGAATGCTACTGCCGTTGCGACGTGTAGCCACTCGCTTCTCCCATCTATCCATCTCCACATGGCCGTCCCTGTCGCATCTCGGCGCTCACTCACGTTTGAGGGGTGTTTGTTATCGCAAATTCTCCACGACCGTTCACGCGGTCTTGGGCGACCTTGCGCAATGATCGCGACGCGTCGCATCTTTACCTCGTGTTGACCCGAAACAATGGAATACAACTTGATGCTGCTAGGCGCCGTTCCAAGCAAAGACGGTTTCGGCCCAATGCGGGCCAAGTGGGCCTTTTTCACCTTCCCCTTCGCTTCAATATGCAGATGGGTGAAATGGATGGCATGAATATGACCAGCTCCTCGGTGGCTGGCTCCCATTCGATGGACTCCATGGCGATGATGAAGCTTATCTTCATTTTACTCCTGGCGACACTCTTCTCTTCAGCTCCATCGCTCCCACCTCTGCTGGCGCCATATTCGGAGCTTGCCTCATTCTCTTCCTTGTCGCGGTTGGAGAACGCGCTCTCATGGCTTTGAACCGTGGTTTCGATAGACAAATTAAGACTAGGTACTGTTTTCTATGCATTTTTCTGCGGCCAAACTGAGTGATGTTTTTTAGATCCCAGCGTCTTTTGCTGACTTGCGAATTTGCTAATAACACTGCCGAAACTGGTTCCGACAAAGCTGCCCTCAGACTCTGCTTACGTGCCCACGAAGATGATGTTCATTCTCTCTCACGAGGTCGCTCGAGGTGGCCTTGCTGGTTTACAATCGGTTGTTCAATATCCACTCATGCTGGTCGTCATGTATGCCACTCCGTTTCTATCTCCGTCAACCAAGCTCACTCAAATGACGCAGGACGTTCAACACAGCTTTTCTCATTAGTGTCATCATCGGTATCATTGTTGGCGAAATAGCATTTGGTCGATCCAATCGAGAGCTTCACTCATTCGAAATGCATTTATATGGATACTACGAAGTCTACTTCTTCTCAATGCCAAAGGCTGCCTCGATGCGAGCCAGCGCAAGCTGTGAAATTAGGATGTGTTCAGCTATCGATAGACCAACGCACCAACATAGTCTCTTTCGGACTGGAATACACCAACCGAAACCGTGTTGGGATAGGATCAGCACCGCTTGTGGTTGGTTTCTATTCATCTATGATGAGCGGGAGAAGCCACCAGCACAGATACTTGCAAGAAAAACTTTGTGCTGACTGAGAGTCGAGACAGTTGACTGTAGTTTCTTGTCCAATGATGTGTTCGGAGGGAAATTCAAGCGCTCAATGAACGGCGCCAGGTCGACAAGGATGTAAACCCCGGCATTGGCACGTGTAAATCTCCATGTCGTGCTCAGCAGTTGAAGTAGGGGGTCAAGCCACTTACTTCAATCCGTGGTGAGTGGACCATTGAGCGACGAGCTCGTAGGCTGCGCGTAATGCCGCGCGGTTATCGGCCAGGAACGTCTCAACAAATGCCTTGTCCTGCAATACACGTGTGAAAAGGACATCACTCGCAGAGGATATGGGCGTCGCGTTGAACAAGGGCCGGAGAACGTCGATTAATTCCTGATTTCCAGGCGAGATAATTAGCCCCACTGTGGAGAGTTAGTGGCAGGGCGTGATAGGAAAGTATAAGAACGCGCGTTTTAGACCACTAGCACCAAAGTCCTTTGTTGGCCCAGCCAGCACATGGACACGCGCTGGGTCAACACCTAGGGCGGGAAGGTCGTAGGAGAGGATGGATTTGAACGGCTCGTCGTTAGCGGGTGTGTAGGCGGAGGGGCCAAAGGTAGACAGGCCAAAGACTTCGTCGACAATAAGGTGGAGATTGTACTGAACGTCGAGTTGATATCAATTGACTTGTCCAAAGGTTTCAAATTATACTGACCTTTTCAGCCAGAAGTGCATACCCTTCGATGAGCTTCTGCGGGACGACCTGGGGAATCGGATTCTGTGGATTCGGGGTCAGAAGCACGCGAATGGGTGCCCCCGCGGCCTGACTCTCCACGATTTTGGCTTCCAGGATTGGCAGGGCATCTGTAGAAAGCGGATCTGTCGAGGGTGGTATGTTTGCGAGAACCAGAACAGCGGCAGATGGGTGGACGATGTCGCGCACATAATCGTCTATACCCATTCGCATATTATATTCGAGTTGGCGCCGACAAAGACGACGAACCATAGAAAGGCTGCCAAAGCACTCGTTAACGGCGCATTCTTGGCCGGGAAAGCGGCATACGGTGGTCATAAGAATGCCTTCCCCTTCACCGACTAATGCCCAAATCAGTTGGGCGAAGCAGGCACCGATGCCGGGTCCCGCAACGGAGTTCACTCCTAGTGAGCGTGTCAAAAGACCACCACAGAAAGGGAAACTAAGTACGCATGATAGGCTGCCTAGGACGAAAGAACGTGTTGACATAGTCAGGCAGCAGGTCTTCGACGGTCGGCAGCCCGCTTTTGGTGAGCGTGGACCGGTAGCGGAGGTGTTGGGTTCGGAGTTCAACAAGCGGAGCGGAAAGATACTATGCAGTTCAGGCCCAGGTCGCAGCTTCAACTTGAAGGCAAACCTTGAGGAGCCGTGGACTGAGAAGAGTATTTTCTGCCGTCGATAGGTTGATAACGCCGTCAGGAAACAAATCAGGGTCGTAATATGGTCCGGCGGGTGGAACGCTGGCGAGCAGTCACAAAATTCTCAGGCTGATGAAAATCGGCAGTTACTATTTCGGGGGCACAGTGTTGCCAATACGCGTCGACGCCCGCTGGGATAAGGTCGGACGCGCAACACTCATCGAAGTCCAGATCCAAGATGTGACCAAACATCCGAGTCTGGCCATCATGATCACGCCCCCAATACCAAGTTCTACTTCGCAAACAACCTCAGACGACCTCGTTTCGCTCCTCAAGTCGAACCATGCGTTGACGTCCTTACAGAGTCTAAGAACTCAGGTCCAATCGATTGTCCACGAGAAACAGCAAAAAATTATGGACCCAGAGCTGCATTGACTGGGATCATTAAATAAAAGAGTGACCGAGAGAATGAACACGCGAGGTACAGAGAGACTCTCTCTCGCCTGTTCACGACTTTCCACCAGAAAGTCTCACCGAAGTTCCGACATGGCAGACACTCTGCTGCTTTGCTTTCTCCAATGCCCCAAAGAACCCTTTGTGAATATTCTCTTTCGACGACCGCAATTCGGACATTAAATTTGGTATTCCGGGCTCAAATACGAGACATCCACTTGGAGCCACAAATATGCAGAGGGGGCGGTATATCAAGTTTGGGACGGAAGCCAGACTTCCTCGATGGGATGATTTGATGCTAAACGACCTGTAGCATTACTGAGATGATCTGGATAAATGCTACTTCTTGTCGTCTTCCCACCCGTGGTGATCCCCTGCCCAATACGCTCTGTTGCCACAGTCTAAGAGGTCTATTTCATGCATTCGACAAGAACTCACGGTGGTAAATCATCCAACATCGGTGGTGGACCAGGCGGAAGGACATCTGCATACGAGGGACCACTTGAGCCCGCGACGCCTTTTGGAGGCGGTGGACATGGTCTGCTTGTATCTAATTGGATCGGAATGAATATCTTGAAGTCGTTCCTAATTCCGGGGAAGGGGATTGTAAAAGTAAGTTGATACTAAAGAGAAGTCAGCCTTATGTCAAGAGAATAACCAAAAAAACTTGCATGCCACCGAAGAGTCTCGCCTTGCCATGTCGGCGCATAGTTAATGGTCACCGCCGATTCGAACTTGATCGCGCGACGCCAAAAACCCTTGCCCTTCTCATCCTTACTGCCTGGCGCTACAATCCACTCAGGCGGACTCTCGGTATGGACAACAGCAGCGACACAATGCGGGTCTCCAAGGCTGTTTGATAATTTGTACGTGTCTTCGACTTGTCGCACTCTGGATTTGACGCGCAACTGGGTCCAGCGATATAAGCTAAGCTTGACTTCAGAAGAAAGTGTCGGTGGCGCGGGGAAGAGCGGTTTGCCATTCTTGTCGACTGGCTTGTCGGGACAGTCCTCTCGGTCCATTGGCTTAGTGTCCGTTTCGATTAGCAAGCTGAAAGGAATCGGCGTTGAGATCGGGTAGAACCCAAGGTGGGGCATTGTGAACTGGGATTTGGCGTGTGAGCGAGGAACAAACGAGAAAGAAAAAAACGCACTGTGGCCCTGGCATGCGAATAGTCGCCCCATATCCCTCTCCGTAGTTTCTCCTCCCTGACCCAAGGTTTCCAAGCACCTGTCCACGTTTGCAGCAACGACTCTCGGGTGAGCAATTGGCGCGGTGTTGCAGCGGGGACGATGGAAATGGCTCGTCGTATGCGACGATTGAATTTGAACATTCCAGGCCGGTCCCCCACAACCTCAAGAGAGTAACCGATGGTAGCATGACGGTTGACGGCGTAGCAGTGAAATGACGGAGGCAAGTCGGCGGGGAGAGTGAATTCGAAAGGGAGGGAAAGGATATGTGAGCCGGGATCAGGATATGCAGAGCCTTGGGTCCACAACGGTGTTTTCTGGTGAAAGAGCTAGAACCAGGTGAGCTTAGTTGAGCAAGTACGACGAAACACACCGGGATAGTCTGCTTATACGTTGTGGACGATTGTCCATTTGACTCGGTTATACTCCTGGAGGAGGTTAATTAACTGCCTAAGACGTGGCAAGAAACTAACGTATGAATGCTGCCCCGAAACTTGATCCTGACCTGCTCTATCTTGTCTTCTTGAGCCAGCTGCACGTTGACAAGTACGGTCCCTTGTAGGGTCTCCCCCGCAACCCTTGTGATGTTTCGGAATTGCAAGGTAATTGGCCCGTCGTCAGAAGGGGGAGACATGATAAGTTTGGTCGACTTTTTTCTGAGGTGGTGCCTATATATACCCTATACTGTAGCTTCCCGACAGCTTTTAACAGCTCTTTGCTCTTCCTTGTGCCCGTGATCGTCGAAGAAATATTTGCACGCAACCACCCGTGGCATTTGAAGTGAAAGTAAGAGCAAAGCAGTGTTGATCAAAAGGTTGTTACCCAACTTGCCCAACACGGTCCGTGTTCCTCACAAGCTGCCCATCCTGTTGGCCCAAAATACCCTACGGGCTCTCTGTCATTTCCGCCCAGCTCCTCGCGTCCGGCCTAGGCAGCCAGCACGAAATATATCATATTTGTCAGCCTACACTTCGTGCCGCACTCTCACCACCATGTCCCAGGCCAACTCTTCACTCGAAACATACATTAACAAGGGCAAACACACCTATTAGATGCTCTTATCTCCGCCGCTGACTCTGTGCAGACGGGATCAAGGTCATTGAACGCTTCTTCGACCTCCCTCTGGACTATGCCGACCCATCTGGCGAAAAAATACGCGTTTTTGCGCGTAATCTGATTCCTAAGAACAAAGCAAAAACAGCTGAAGAGGAGGAAAAGCTGCCTTATAGTGAGTATTCATCCAGAAGTTTGATTTGAGCTCAACGGACAAGTGCTATACCTACAAGGTAGGCAGTGATCCATAGCTCGAGGTTTGTCATTTTGACAATTAGGTGGGCCTGGATTTGAGGTGGACTTGCAAGGGAGCTCCGGCTCTGCGGCAGAGGTAAGTAACCCTCAAAAAGTTCATCATGTATTACCATTGCTCACGGTCAGTTTAGATGCATGAGCGAGGCTATCAGGTCCAGCCAATGATTCAACTTTCATTCTGCTAACCAAATGCAGACACTTTGGTTGGACCAGCGTGGAACCGGCCTCAGCACAACTCTTGCTGCAGACACGCTTCCGAGCCGTCTCATCTCAGATCAGGACAAGGCAAATTACTTCAAGCATTTCAGGGCGGACAACATTGTTCGCGACGCGCCGACGCCGAAGAAATTCGCAAGATCCTTCTTGGACACAAGACAGATCCGGAAGACCAAAAGTGGTCGGTAACTGGCCAGAGCTTTGGTGGTTTTTGCGCTATCACGTATCTGTCGTTCTTTCCACAAGGCTTGAAGGAAGTTTTTCTCACGGGCGGACTCGCCCCATTGGATGAAAGTCCGGATCGGGTTTACGAAGCCCTTATTCGTGAGTATTATACTCTATTCATACTTGGGCACATGGTTTGCAGCGATCTTGAAAAAGCGGAATGATGTGTATTACCAGAAATACCCCCAAGACATTCGACGTGTGGGTTGTAGCGTCTTGCTTGATTTTGCACTGACTCTGTGAAGGTTCGAGACATTGTCAAATATCTCGAAGACAACGAGATCACGCTACCAAACGGGGGTCGTCTGAGCGTTAGCCGTTTCTTGCAGCTCGGAATAAACTTTGGTGGTACTGGTGGAATAGATCGCATCCATCGTAATTTTTTGTCCTTGCGCTACATGGAGTATGGTGCTTAAGGCCATTGTAGAGCTGGTCTTCCGTATTACGAACGACCTTGAGCTATTCGGCAAAATCAGCTCTAAAACGCTACAAGTTGTCGAGTGCAAGTACTCATTCGATGGCAACCCCATCTACGCTATCCTCCATGAACCCATCTACTGTCAAGGGTAAGTAATCCAAGTATCCGTTTTCATCTGACCTGTTTTGCAGCAATGCGCCGAAATGGTCAGCCGCGCGAGTGATCGCAAAGCACCCACAGTTCCTGTGGGCCCATGTCAAAGGGCTTGCTGACACCGAACCCATCTATTTCTCTGGCGAAATGGTCTTCCCTGATGCGTTTGACGACTTTGTCAACCTCAGACCACTCAAAGGCGTCGCCGAGCTTCTTGCCAATGACAGTTCCTGGGGTAAACTCTACGATATCGAACAGCTGCGCAAGAACGAAGTCAAAGTCTCCGCTGCTACGTAAGCTACCTCGCCCATAACTTCCTCTACTCATATGGCTGTCAGCTACTACAACGACATGTATGTCCAATTCGATCTAGCGCAGGAAACTGCAGCCACGATCAAGAATACGGAGCAGTATATCACGAACATGCTGAACCACGATGGCTTGAGGGTGGACTCGAAGGATGTGATGAAGAGACTGTTCCAGCTTTCAAAACGTGAATACGATTAGCTGTAACCATACAAATTTGCCTCCGATCTCACTATCTTATCGCTCGTTGCCGCGGCCAATCTGATCGCTCTCACAAGGTGCCAGTCACAGAAGCGTTACACTTGCCCCGACACGACTCTCACCCGACGTCCATGGCACTCTCCTTCCTCTTCCCTAAGCAACCCCTGCAGTCCCCGAATGTTACCGACGACGGCGCATGGGTCTTTTTTGGCGGCGCCTTTCGGACTTGGGCAATCTCCAACAACGACGATGGGAGTTTCACGTCGCGTCAAATATTTGCACACTCCAATCCACACACCGGGCATGTACCCCTTCTCACTCTCCTTTCACGACTTTCACTCATAGAGGTCTCTAGTGCTGGTCGCGGATCGACGGCTACGCGTAATATTTAGCCTGCCTCGGCAGCCATATTCGCTCACTCGTGGGTTATAATTCACAGCGCCGTACCATTGGCACTTGTATCAGACGGAAACCTTCGACGTCAACAGCGGGATTCTCTGCTATCTTCTGGACGGCAAGGAGGGGAAACTCCGAGCTGGCGAGAGCGTCACGATAGTTCCGGGGCGATGGCACACGGTTTACTCTTTCAAAGTTGTCTGTCCACCCAAATCTGAATTTGCCTAGTTCTGGTCCGACCCCGACTCTGGCGTGGATCTAGACGTGAATATCACAGTACGCGGTGGACCAAATCCTGGTTTCGATGAGAAGTTCGTCAGAAACTTCTACGGGTACGAATGCTCCCACTATCGTTTTTCCGCTTTGCTTGAGTAAGACACAGCTATCTCTCCTCATGCACAATGCAAAGTCTTGCGCCAAACCCGATACAAATGCTGACCTTTATGTATTCTGCCGACGTCGTTCTCGATATGCCATTGGGGCTTGGACGGCCAGCCAATTATGTCTTGGGTAATTGGTTAGGCTGGCTTGGGGGTTTCAAGACCGAATACACCGCCTTTTCAGAAGAGAAGGCGAAATAAACCAACATATATGCGTTTACTTGCTATCGCCCTGTTGTTCTACAAACTTTTGAATCTGTACTACAGGGAACTCGCTAATACGCAGCTTGGTGGCCTATCTTCTGCATCAGTGGGAGCCTGGGTGTGTATACAACAAATACTAACGCCAAATGGCCAGAGAGTTATATTTCTCATGCCACCCAAGCAACTCGGATTCTGTGGTGGTGGGGCAGCAAACATGTCTCCCGCAAGCGGCCAGTCGATACGGCAGGCAGAAACGCTGAGCGTCACTGGCGGCAGGCCAGAGTCGAATATGGGTGACGGAAGCATGCCTGATCTTGGTGGGTTGTTCACGAAAGCGAGTGTTGACGGGTCAATAGCATATTGCCACGCATCTGCCGGGGTAAACTCGAGATCGACCGCACGAGGCTCAGCAGGATGGACTGCGAGTTGTCTCTCGACGCGAGGGACTGTGCAAATCAGCTGTAAGTCATCATGTCGGGACATTATTGAAAGTCTTCGTACTGTCAAAAGCGTAGTTGAGTGGGCCGCGATGAACCGCGACGGACTGGTGTGGGCGGCTTTCTGGGCTCGTGTTATAACAAATCTTGGCACGCATATGTGGATTGCCCACCGATGCGAATGTCTGAAGGGAGTTCAAGCACAAGCGTTGTGATCCCAGCCTGAATAGAGACTTGATGGAGGCCATTCTTCGGGGCGACAGGCTGAGGAAGATCTCCGTTGATTGAGAGGGTCCCCCTGGAAATCCAACCTGGAATCCGGACGAAATAACTGAATGCTTTGCTCGCTGTGATCGTGGTCGTTAACTTATCACCAAAACTACCAAGTTATATCAAGATGAGGGAGTAAAAGGAGCAAAACACAGACGGATATAGCGTTTCTACGCTGGCGGTAACAACGTTATCTGGGCTCACGTATGGGTTAAAGCGTCAAAAACAGTTGGATCGGCTGATAAAAACCTTGTGAAAGGATAACAGAGGTGCGAAACGGTCCTAGATATGCATGGACGAGTGATTCGTTGTTCGGCGTCGTTACGAAGGCGTTCGTGATGAACTTAGGGAATCCTTGAGGAAAGTCAACAGTACAGCAACTGCCAAAATGATCAAAATGGGCAAAAGTGATTGTAAACCACCAACGGATAGTTAGGCTCGAGTCCAAAAACATTGCTGTACGGCCTGTGACACATAAATGAAGATTCGACCAATGCACAAGGCTAACATACCCATCCTCGGGAAATGGATTGGGCTAGCAGATCGGTCCATAAAAGTTTCGGACAAGCCATGAGCACACTCACAGTCATGTTCTTGCTAGCCACTTGATTTTGCTGTTGCAAATACTGACGGCCCCACATATCTGGGTTTTTAGGACTATTGGAAACGGTTGAGGTAACTACCTACCTCCCGTAAGTGTTGCAGGCAAAGCATTGTAGGCCATCCGTTCGACCTGATCGGCGTATTTGGGATCGCCAGTCACTTGGAATAAGTAAGAGCCGCTGGATTGTACAAATTAGATGCAGCGTTCTTAAGCCAGAAGTAACATACGAGAACATGGCTTCCTAAACATCGATGGGTCCCTTTCAAGTTTTACCAATGATCGCAATCCACATACCACAACAAGACAGAGCTCAGTCCTATCAAGTGTTAGGCAAGTTGGCTGCATAGTATGGAAACATGCCCTCTGACGGCTTCGAGTCCTGCTAAATATTCGTCCGCTGCAAAAGCTCCCGACGGTCGACCATGATACTGGAAAAAAGTTAAATAAAAGATCTTATCACGAGAGTTTTCCTACCTTGAAGAGCATATCCCAGCCGCTGCTTGCGATATCGAGGTCTGCATGTCAAGAATAAAACACTCAACTTGCCGAATTTTCGGTTGACAACTGACCAGTCTGATTGTGCGTAAACCGATATGTAGCTGGGAGCCCTTTGAGTCCTTCAGCAATGTTGACACCGTGCCACTACCAAGGCCGATTAACAATAGGCTCTGTGATTGGACCGCACTGACAGACAACTCTGGAAATGGATTTTCAAGCTTTTCGGCTATCGAATTTATTCGCAAGGCTTCTTGTCTGATTCCAAAAGAGAATACCTTCGATCTTAGGGAAGAACTAGATGGGCGTCAGGAAGACAGAGAAGGTATAGGAATATCGACCTTTTCTGAGAAAACAAGCTCCCATGGGATTCCACTCCATTTGGATTCTTGCATGGTGTCCAGCAAGAGCTCTTCTTGACCGTTCGGATGATTGTCGTAAAGCCTGATATGGTTGGTCGGCCAGTGAACCTACAAGAACTTGAAGATGTGAATGGTCACGCACCACTGTAGTGTCACGACAAAATCTTCCCAACGAGTTTGAGCCCATTCTTCAGTACCCACTCCTGTTAAATTATTATAGTTCGGGCGTCGACAAAAGCGCGATCATGATCAAGTTACCTGCTTTCAACATTTTGTTTGCGAGGGGCACAAAACGATGCAACGCGTCGACGACACGCGAAGTAAGCTCGGGATAGACCTCCGTCATCTGAATAGCTCCGAAGAAGAACGGGTACCTCGCCAAACAGTCAGTTACGGGTTCGATTAGAGAGAAAATTTGCCGATGTACCGTCCCCATAAGACACGTCGCTTGTCTGTACCCACTTCTGGCCCAAGCCAGCCCGTTTCGTCTTGCGTGTCAAGCACGTATTCGAGGAACTCCAGTGTCTTTTGATTGATGACAGACGAGTTAGCCAGAATCCCATTTGGAACCATCGAGTTCTGTGTTGGTTCTGATGACCAGAAAACAAGGCATCCCAACGACATACAAACCAGTAACTTCCGGCTACATCTAACCGTCAACGGCACAGAAAGATAAGCCCAACTGACGCGCACCTTCTTCCAAATACGAGTAAGCCGCCGGTCCGCCAACCCAGTCGGTGTCCTTCACCCTGTCCATTGTTTTGCCACCAGAAGAAGCGGCCGGGGATGGTTTACCACTTGTAGAATTCGTGCTCATGTCCTGCGAGTCCTTCTGTCTGCACACGCAGCTGGTCCTGCAGCCATCCGACGGGCAAAATCTTGCCCAGTGGAATCGAATGAAATTTCTTGGGGGCAACTGGGATGGGAGGTGAATGATGAAATCGCGTTGCAATGAGCTTACGCTTCGCTTTGCACAGATCAAGAGCCAATGCACAAGTCAAAACGAGGTGGGAGAGCAGCATGAAGGGTCTGTCCTGTGACTGGTCGATAAGCGAGATGCGGCGCTCACACGGGTGTCAAAGAACTGCTACATTGTTTGGTACTTGATACAGGACTGGAAGTATGCTTAGTCGCGCTTTCCATAGCAAGTTTCAACTTACTTAGTCTAATGCACATCCATAAACACCACTCGCGACGCTCCGCCATCGCTCGCGGTCTACGGCAAAAGTCTCTGCGTATTCGACCTCCAGATGATGCAGTCGCTTGCCGACGATGACCAGACTGTGTAGAGGCTGGCCAAAGACGTCTTCCGGCTGGACAGCAAGGTCAGCGAGTGTCCCTGCCACTATGCGCTGCTCGTCTCCCCCACCAACACGAGATAGTGCGACGGCGAGTGTGGTTTCGGCGGAGAGAATGCCCTCCTGTCGGATTGACTCGATTTCGAGGAGTTGTTTAACGGCGACTGGAATGGACATGTAGCGCGGTGGTTCGTAGATTTTGCGGCCACTTAACACATTAGGAAAGGCCAGATAAAAACGACAAACACACCGTGCCAAGTTCTCGTCGCTTTGCTCCTTGACCTTGATGTCCAGCAAAACCAACGTGTGGAGACCCAACTGAGCATTTTCCTTGATGCGATCGTAGAAACTGTCGGGTTTCCATGTTTCGGTGAAGAACACGAGTGAAACTGTCTGGCCGAACTGGTAGAGTTGCAGACCCGCAGCGCCGACGGCATTCATGATGGATGCATTGTGAATGACTCGTGTTGGTATCCCAAGAGCGCGGGCACGGAGGATGATGTCGGTATGGGTTGTAGCTCTGAAACTCGTCAGACGAAGAATATAGATAGGACGGAAAAAGCAAACCCAAGCGGGTCACCAACAACGAGTAAGGCAACATCCACCTCGTCAGCCCTGCTCAAGATTTCGTCGCTTTGTGTTTCAACCATGTCCCGATCGGCGAGGATGAGCTGTTTTCCATAGAATGCTTCCTTCCCAAGTCAGTGGAAACTGTCCGGAGTAAAACACTAACCAAACGCTCTTTTTGGACCATCAGAATGCTGGTATATGCCTCGAGATAGACACGTTCTGCGGCCTTAACAGCTTCAAGCCCGCGCACAGTGATGTCTTTTTCATCGCAAAGACCAAGGCCAATGATATAGAACATGGTTGCCGCTGGGAAGTTTGTGGAAAGCCGTAATGATGTCAACAATTCTTAGGTGCGCGTGTCCCTGACGGTCGGGGAGCTCGGCCTGGAGCTGGCAGGTTCTACTTAAGTAGGGAGGGGCACATGCGAGACCTGGAAGTCATGAAACAGCTTCCTCTCGATATTCTTATCCCAATTCTTGAGCCACTGATTGCGGATTCACGCGCTGATCTTCTCAACTGCAGTCTCGTCAACAAAAATTTCTATCGCATCGCCATTCCTCTCTACTACAGGGTTCTTGACGCCCGGGTGAGCAGTGAATCGCAGCTGAACTCTTTTGTGAACCCCCCTCGTCAGGATTTAACGATCCCGCTCCGCCAACAGTCTTGTCTGGCCAAATATATTCACCATCTTACCATACGCGGTCAGCAACGCGGTTTATTTGCCTGGGAGAGAAACCGACCCACCTACAGGTGCCATAACACACAAGACCCTCAGTATCGTCCTCCAGTGCACCAACTTGAACTCATTAACCTGGATCGACGACATACCCAGCTCGCCGAACTCACAGAGTGCATTTGACTGTGACCGCAGTCCAAACAATGAAACTCTTGCCCTCCTTGGTGTCGCGCACCGAGTTCCTCGCCTTTCTTCGTTGACCCTACGCACATACAACGACCTCAGCTCAGATGCATGGGTTCAGTTCGTGTCATTCCCAGGACTCCGCAAACTTTCGCTGTGGTGCTTCTCTATCAGTGGATGTTGGAACAATGGTTCAATAGTGGAGTCACTCACACACCTAGAGCTTTGTGTGGGTTCCATCAATTCCACCGAATATATCTCCCTCTTCGTCAGTCTTCTCAACTTAGAGTACCTGCGGCTGAAAGGTAATTAATCCCAAACTTAATTATGTTCACTGAAAATAATGTCAGGAGCTCCATCCAGCGCCATCGCTTCCCTTGCTGCACTTCTGCCCAAGCTTCGAAGCTTCGACACTGACTTTGTGTCGGCGCCGTTATCAGCAGTTGACGACCAGCAAACATTGCAACTCCATCATCTTACGGTGCGAACGAGCACAGACGCGTTGACCCCCTTCTATTCGTGGCTTCGACAATTGGCTGGCCGTGGTCCTGACGAATCGTTCATACTACATGCATTTGCTGTCCGCGCGAAGCATGTTGTACCAAGCGAATTCGTGAAGGGCCTGCCTCTCACACTGAGAGAGTTCGTCGTCGGAGAGGCAGAGCTTGCGCTATCGGATGTGTCGTTCCTTTGCAAGTCGATGTGCAACTTGATCAGACTGGAGTGTTCTGTGCAAACGCAGGACATTTTAGCTGTTGAACAGGCCATTGGGATGGGGCAGAGACTTCGCAGGGTGAAATTTCGAGGCCGAGGAATCAAGATGAGTCGAGTTCAGGCTCGAAAGTGGATGATAGAGCATGCTGAACTGAGGAATATTGGCATCAATTCAGACATGTTCAAGGTGTGCCCGTTGAGGTGGTGCTTAACTTCATTCATTCAATTGTTTCAGGGAAAATGGGTTCTTGACGCTGAACAAGGGCTGGTATTGAGGGTAGATGTGGCCGCGGATGGAAATAGATGGGGTACTTGACGCACTAGAATAACAACAAGCTCACCAACGATATACTAGCCACCCCGGCCACGTCCTCTGCCACCACGCATGGGACCGCCACGGCCGCCACGACCTGAAATCCATCTTGAGAAATTTGAAAGTAGTGACAGAGTAGTAGCGCACCTCCTCTATAACCTGGTGCTCCGCGACCTGAACCAACCACTGGCTCAACAAAAAAGTAACGCTTGTAAACAACACTCACCGCGGTTTCCACCAACGAATCCACCACGCCCGCCCCTTCCCGCATCTCTTGCTCTGTTTTGCTCATCCTTGACTGCGTCCAAGAGCGCATCTGGCACGCGTAGATATTTTATCTACGAAACAGATTAACGATCGAATATAGCAAGAAGAAATCGTACAGTGCTTCCCCGGATGTAGCACTCCTTCAGTTTCCAGAAATGCTCCCCGTCGCTGCTCGTCTGATATACCTCGCGGAGAGTGATGTTCATGAAGTTGTCGCAGTTGACCAGGTGTCCGTTGAATGTCTCGCCGTTCTTGAGCTCCACCATCTGCACAAGTTAGAAGGCGGAAACAGAAAAGCGGTGAGATTACCATGGGCTTGTTCTGGGCGGCATTGAGCAGGGATAGCGGGAGCTGCGAAAGTTGAGATGAGCTGTGGATTACAAAAACCGCTGTTTGCGCACCATCTGGTCGTGGTTGTCGGCGAGACCGCGTTTCGGTCACGTTTTATTTTATTTTTTCCGCAATATCTAACTCCGCTTGGACCACCACCTTGCGATTGCTCATTGGCGGGCTCTGACGAGGCGCAACATCGGGCTTATACCGGCGATCGCAACGCCAGGTCAGATTGAGGTGTGGTCGAGTCATCTTCTCGCGAAACAAATAGCTTTATCTTTTCTTATCACCGTAACGACAGCATGTCCTCCTCTATCCACATCGACGAAGCCACTGGCTCAGACACATCTGGGACTGGTACCACAGACCAGCCATACCAGTCGCTCGGATTCGCTCTATTCAAGCATGGCGCATCAGCATCGTTTCTAACACGCAAAGATGCCTCTGCTACATTCGAGGAGCCCACCCAATCGTCCGTTAAAAAGGCTAAGAAGACCGCTGAAGGCTTAGAGAAGAAGGCAAAGAAAGCAGAGGAGTTGGAGCGCAAAGAGGCGGAAGAAAGGGAGAAACGCCAACAAGTTCTTGAACAGAGCAAGAGCATCGTGCTTGTCGAAGATGCCACTCTTCCTAAAGCTGTCAAGGTATGTAGCTGCGGGAAACCTGGGTCCATGAATCTAATCTAAATAGGCAAAAATTGTGCATCTCGAGCCATTGCGGGGACAACGAGTACGAGTATTCGGCTGGGTTCACCGTCTGCGTTCACAAAAAGGGCTTATTTTCATCGACCTCCGTGACGGTACTGGCTACCTCCAATCCTTGCTCTCTGGCCTTTCGGCAAGTTACTCTACTTCGTCTTAATCGCAGGAGATCACACCTATTCCCAGATCCAAACATACGAAGCCCTGACACTCTCGGTCGAATCGACGGTTGAACTTGTGGGTACGCTTCAAGCTGTCCCGGAAGGAAAGACAGCGCCAGGCGGACATGAGTTAATCGTTGACTTCTGGCGTCTCGTGGGCGGCTCTCCCAGCGGCGAGGACTCTTTCTCGACCCGAGTTAACGAAGTATATCTGCTAATGACGATTCACCAACTTTCTCACCCAAATTCAGCACTCCGACCCTTCGATTAAGGCTGATTTGCGCCATCTTGTCATCCGTGGCGAGACAGCCTCCAGCGTCCTCCGTTTACGCGCTGCGATGCTGAGCGCGTTCCGCAAAGTATATGCAAACCACAACATCTTGGAGGTTACACCACCGTGCCTGGTACAGACCCAGGTAGAAGGTGGTGCAACGCTTTTCAAGCTCGACTACTATGGCCAAGCAGCTTTCCTTACTCAAAGTTCGCAACTGTACTTAGAGACATGTCTTCCTAGTCTTGGAGATGTGTTTTGTGTGCAAGAAAGTTTCCGTGCGGAGAACAGGTGCGTGAGTTTATGAGCGTCAATCAATACTTAAAATCGCCAGCCACACACGTCGACATTTGAGCGAATACACGCATATGGAGGCCGAGCTAGCGTTCATCGACTTCAATGACTTGATGACCCATCTTGAAACCATTGTCTGTGGTCATTTGTTTTGATAGAAGCGCGCTTACTTAGTCGCCTTAGATTTGCGAAACAGTAGATATATTGCTCGCAGAGCCAGCTTCTGCTGCACTGATCAAACAACTCAACCCTGACTTCCAAGCTCCAAGCCGCCCATTTATGCGCATGTCATACGAAGACGCTATTGCTTGGCTGGTGTCGCATGGAATTCAGCACGCTGCCGAAGACGCCGATGGAAACACCATTCTTGATGCCAACGGCGCTCCCAAAATGGTCGACCATGTCGTCGGTGACGATATTGCTGAAGCCGCAGAACGACAAATGACCGATATTATTGGCAAACCCATCTTCTTGCACGGCTTCCCCGCCGAACTCAAAGCTTTCTACATGCGTAAAATTCCGGGCAAGGACGGTACCCCTGGCAAGTTTACGGAGAGCTGCGATTTATTGATGCCCAACGTTGGAGAAATTGTTGGTGGCTCAATGAGGATCGACGATATAGACGAATTAGTGGCTGCCTATGGACGCGAAGGAATTCCCACGGAGCCCTACTATTGGTTTACGGATCAACGCAAATATGGGACCTGCCCACACGGTGGATATGGACTTGGTGTTGAGGTGAGTGAGGCTCAAACCACTTTCGCTTTTTTAAGTCTATCATAGCGTTTCCTTGCGTGGCTTGCGAACCGTTATACTGTTCGCGACTGCTCGTTATACCCTAGGTGAGTAAAGATGTTCTCGTTACTCCTGTTGCATTAACAGTCTGACTAGATGGCCCGGACGTGCCACGCCTTGAATTCGGAATATAAATAGTTGTAACAGAGATATTCTTGTACTTGGAAAACTACCTACAACATACGGCCAGCCGTCGTCGAAAGGAACCACCGTGAACTCTTGATTCCTACTTCAACAAGTCTTGAAGTTCAAGTCGTCATTAAATCACTAGTAGCATGACAAGTCATCTAAGGTCAAGTCATCCCAACAGGGAAATCTGGATTCCGCTCCAAACTTGATATCCCGCCCCCTCAGCAATCGCATTCTTTGCAACTCTAGGTGAATGTCTCGTACCCGAGCCCAGGTCGAAACATCAAAATTTTCCCTCGCCTGCCAGACCGTTTCAGGGGCTGGCTTATGATCTAGAAAGTAAAATTTTCGCAGAGGACTCTCCGGTGCACCAAACCGACCACGGAGAAAGTGAACGAGGGTATCGGCCATGTCTGGATCGAGTGGTCTGGTCTCCGGTGCGAGTGAGCAGTCGGAGATGGTGAGACTCTTGAGTTTGGGGAACATAGGTCTGCTCTTGGCACGATCCATATGGCGGAAGAAATCGGGGGTGATTCGGCCAGGGAGGTGCAAACAAAGCTCTTCAATTTCAGGATGCATTCGCAGTGTTGACTGAATTTCATGGTCACGGAGACCTTGCGGATCCAGCACCGACAGTCGAAGAGTGCGCAGGTAAGGAGAACGAGGGAGCAGCGGCTCAAGCTCAGTCAGAGAACCTTCATATTCCAGACTGTATGCCTCGAGAAACGGCGTGTCAAAAGCGGCTGTAAGATCGACCAGGCTTTCTCCATAACCTCGGTCCACATCTTGCTGATAGAAACATGCAATGCGGAGACTCGGAAGAAGCAGTGGTTGGACGGAGTTTGGTTTCATGCGTTGAAGAACGTTGAGACGCAAGACCACAAGACTCGCATAAGCTAGTTGGAGAATTGGCGTGAATGGCGATACATGATAGTAAGAGTAGGGTGAGATTTCAGAGTACTCTGTCAGACCGGTCGTAGGAAAAATCGTGAATGTAGAAGCGTCTGAGATACCCACAACGCGTAGGTGAGGGGCCTGGGAGCGGTCGAGGTTCATGGATTGGCCGGGGAAATGGACGCGGCAAAGTACAAGTTCATGCAGGACGGGGAAATTTTCGGTGCTTAGTTGCTCGAGACGTTCTCCGAGAATTGGAGAAGATCCAACAAACATAGCACAATACCATCTATGCGTGTACTTGACCAGGAGGTCAAAGAAAGTGTTGACAGCATATTCGTCAACCCATAGACGGAAACAGAGAGGATGGTTTCCGGCGCGTCGTATGCTCGCGATGACCCACTCCAGTACTGATTCCATAGCTGGACCACCAATAAGATGTTTATTCGACGCGAATATGGAGGAAGCTTGATTTCCTCGATTAGGGACAAATCTCGGGATCCCATTCATTTCGTCTTCTACAAATCCTTCGTCAATTTTGCCCAACACCAATTTTATGTCGAGGGTGGACCAGAGCATTGGTAGAGACAACGCCGTGGCTCTCCAAGACCGGCACACGAGAGCTACCGCAAAAGGGGGACGCTCAACCGGCGCACGGTTTGGGTCGGTGGCAAGCGGAAGTGTGGGCATGAGGTATTGAAAAACTTCAGCTAGGAGCTCGGCAGGAAATTCACGCAGAGGCGAGAGAATGGCTGTATACCCCACGCTTTCCTTCTCTAGCTCACTCTTTCGATACTCGAGCGCAGTCAACACAGCTCTGGCCTCGGAAATTTCGGTGTCGAGGGCGAGTATTTCCTGGTGTCTCTCTTGGAGAATAAGTCGGACCTGAGTTTTTTGGTGCACTGTGGACGCGTCGTTTGACTTGAGTAACGCATCCCAGCAGGTTGTTGACATGATAGTCTCAGTCTGAGTCCTAATTGACGTGACCAAAACTGCCGACCCGGCCCGGATCATTCCACCACAAACAAACGGTCTCTGCTCCTCTGGAACATGACCTCGCGCCTTTCGATGAAGTTGCACTATCCACCGCGGGAATAAGGATTTCGGTTGTCCGTCCCGACAAGCAGGATCCTTTACATGGCGAGCCAAGTGTAGGAGGAGGAGAAAAGAGTCATCCATGATAGGCGCCAAAGGGACCTACAAAACACACCTACACAGTGCACCCACAATGACACACATGTGTTACCTTCACGTCTCATGTCCATGCAGCCACTTCAAGAGAAAGAGGAAGCGGACTACAACCCAGAGATTGGAGCTGCCAAAGAGCCAACTCATGATCCGCCTTCTCCAGTTGAACCTCGTGCGTCGTCCAACCTTTTATATTGCCAGGACACTCACAACTAGGACAGCATTCATTTCCGCGTTCCCGCCCATATCGACTGCTGCGCGGGCATATCTCGAAAGCTTGCACGACCAGTTGGCCACACTCATCAAAACAGGCGGATTCTTTGTCCCTTGGGCAGGAAGAAGTCCACCACCGAGCGCTACCTACTCAAGCCCAGACACGATGACTTTTATTGAGGCCCTTGGGCTTCAAACGATGGATGCTAGAGATGACTTCAACCTCTTAACGCACGACTTGGGCAGGTTCTCAAGGGAACCTGTGCTCAAAGAACGGCTTTTGCGCCTCTTCTCCCCAAAGAACAATAAGTGCAGCAGTTTATACTCCCGGAGGCCTTTTCTGATCTAAGTCTAGGTTCCTCGTCAACGGCTCTGCATCTGGCAAAACCCGGCTTTGCTACGAAGGATTGTGCAACGCTTGGGGCCTTTATTTCACTATCGTCGTTGACGGAGGACGATTGGGTAGTCTCGATATTGAAAGCACAGTCGAAAAGTGCTCAAGGGGCTCATGGAGTGTTTCAGCGTACAAACTCGTAACTCAACAATTTGGCGCCATCTTACTGGCGCGCTTACTCTTCCTTCTCTACTTCCTGGACATCCTTTCTGTGAATGGTGCGCCACTGAATGACCAACATAAATTGCAGTGGCTCCAGTTCCAACTTCATCCTTGCTCTGTGTACGCCGAAGACAGTCCCGAATGCTTCTTCGGTCTGGCGGAACTGCTCATCGAGCATGACTCTGCATATATGGCGAAGAACATTGCCAATGCGCTGAGGCAGATAAAAAAAGCTATTGGAGCCGACTTCGAGAAAGGCTTTTTTATTGTCATTGATGAGGCTCAAGAGGCACTCGAGCAGTCTGCGATGGGAGAATCCCTCAACCAGCATCGCCAGCCTCTGCTCGTTGATCTTCTGCAAGTTTGGTCGGATATGACCGAGGGAGAGTGTACCTTTATTTGTGCTGGAATTGGCATACCGCAAACGACGATAGTCCCAACTGGCTTTTCTTGGCAGTGGACTTCAGACACCGGAGCGTTTGACGACCCCGATGAGTATGAGGCCTATGTGTCGAAATTCCTTCCCCCTCTTCTTCGCGATAGCTCTTCTGGGCATCTACTGATGGCGCGAATGTGGCGCTGGCTTAGAGGAAGGTCTGTCGATTGTCCGAGTCCAGCGAGAACACTTATTGAAACACTTCAGGCATCGGCTAACGGACGGGTTTCTTACCATCCTTATTTGTGAGGGTCTAGATTACCCACATACCTGCCTCTCGGATTACCTTAAGACGATGACTCACCTTCGGCCCTTGGATGTGGTCCAAATTGAGGAAACCGAGAAAACCCCCCCTGGATGGGGTTGGACGAATCGTCTTGGGCGACTGAATACAGAAAACGCCTCAACTCGTCGGTGTTTCATGGCCATGTTGCTTTTGTCTCATCGCACCCCAGATATCAAAGAATTCGTTACCGAAGCGTTGTATCGTACCATGGCCACTCACGAATCGTCTCCCTTTGGCGCCGAAAATGCGGAACTCGTGAATCGAGGATATGGCTACTGGACTGACGACAAACTGAAAGTCGGAGTCCTTAATGAGCCATCTCTTCTTGCCAGCGCTGCTCGGACCTGGTTTCCGCTTCCAGAACGGCCTTATCGGCAAGAACCGAATCGTTGGCCTGCGACTTTTATTGGCACGCTGGATCTCAATCCCCCAAGTACACCTGACGGAGTAGCGCATTGTCTTGTGTTCTATTTCTCGCAGGTGTTCGGAACATCAAGGCTGCTCACAGACATCTTCAAATTCCCTCATCAAATACCTGTGTGGGCTCGTCAAACAGCGCGGCTTGTCCGCTGGTACTGTAACAAAGAAGGCCAGCCTGAGTATTCTACAGTTGATCCAGAAGAGGATGCATCACGTCTACCACTGGCAACAAGATGCTCAACTCTAGACGACACAAAACAATGGTTAGAACATCGTCATGGCACCCCGTTCTGTCTCTCCTCCCTTCCCAACTTCGACATCCTCTTCTCGCTCCAGCTCGCAGATGAATCATTCCTATGGGTCAGCATTCGTGCATGCGCTATCGATGAGCCTATGTCTGATGCAGACTTGAGTTCCATCGTGGCCAAAACGGATATCGATCAACTTTTTTCCACCCAGGTGCGTTTCTTCGCACTGACATTCTGAATTCGCTATAACCAGTATCCCCAGGACTTATCATCCAATTCCTTGACTACCGAACTTGCCAACCAATTACGTTCTTTGCCCGGTCTGAGAACGCGGCCGTCTCTGCTACGGGTAGTATCATCTTTTCCTGTCGTGACTTCTGTTGACCGGGCAGTCGATAAACGCACACGAGATGTCGCCAGCGTCAATTTAAAGGGTCTTCGAGGGAGAGAAGACCCACCCGTCTCTGTACGCGTTAGACTAATGTCCCCGCAATTGAAGCAGATGCAATAGTCTTAAGTCCCGTTGCTCGGCGGTCTTTCAACTGAGCGCGCCATTAGCCTAATGTCCCTTCCCCATTTGGATTGTCACGGTGTTACCCCTCCTCTTTTGGAATCCAACCATATGCTCGCAACACCACTACATCCTATGCCAATCCTCCGCGCCGCGGTCCGCTGCCCTTAGAAAGTCCAAGGGGCCACGACTCCCAAACTTGGACATGGCTTACTTTCCATCATCAGTGCATCAACTGGTCTCTGTCTCTTCATATGGAAATTCGATAATTATTTCTGCTCTCCGTGACTGACTTTGGGTTTTTTCAAAGTCACGGGCGCGCCATGCGCTGGTGTTTCTCCCTCTCGTTTGACTGAATGGCCGGTACGTCTTGGTCCCCATTTCCTCGCCTCCCATTGATACCGTTTTCAGGAAACCGATGCCCCTCTCACAACCAAGACACCTTCCTGCTCATCCTCCATGCGTTCCTCAACGAGTCTGAGGGCTGGAGCGAGGACGCAAGGAAAAGAGTCGTCGCCCGCTCCGTCTCCCGCGCGTGGAAAGTCACCATCGACGCCAATCCGACTCTCTGGACGCGCATTAATGTCGCCTCCTGCATGAGTCCCCTTTACATCGACAGCCTTTTCGCGCGAGCCTCATTGGCACCAAAAACCATCGTAGTCAACCTCCGCAGCAAATACATCCAACAGCTCTACGACCCTCCTCCCATGAAACGTCGAGCACTGAAGCCGCACCCAAGCTTCATTACTGCGCTTGCCCAAAATATCGTCGTCAACGCGTCTACCGTGCAGAAGCTTGCCTTTGTGATTGAAGACGGGCTCCAGTGGAACTCATTAGTGCTCTGCATGGGGGATGAAGTCGCATTTCCGATGCTCTCGTCGCTGACCCTTGGCGGCGCTTCTTCCCGCTATCCTGACGCCCTCACTGTCCGCAGTTTATGCGGTATCACTCCATGTCTCCGCGAGCTCGTATTCGACGACTTGTCCTACCAATTTGTCATCGCCGACTACCAGAATCTCACCTCCCTCACTTTGGATGGCATGGCGGAGCATTATGGGAAACACGAGGGCAGCATCAGCTCTGCTATCCTCAAGGCTCTTGAACAATGTTCACGGCTATACACTCTCCGGCTCTCCGACAGCGATTGCGCACCCGAAAACGAATCTCTCCTTCCCGTCGACCTTCCGCGTTTGTCGGTGCTTGCTTATGCATGCTACGGCAATTGTCACGCGACACACAGCTGTGGTCGTTTGGTATCCCTACTCAATACCCCTCGACTTCATTCCTTGGCTCTCTCTATTGACGACAATCCATGCGTGGCCAGCTTCACTCAACTCAACGATTCGAAGTTGAGCAGAGTATCCATTCTCCATTTGGCGGGGAACTGGATGCATTTCGCGTCGATCAGTGGGACTGAAACCTTCCTCGAGCGCCTACATAATGTTCGAGAGCTCGACCTCACTCATCTAATGCGGCGGCGTGGCATCACCGACTCTTCCGATCCTGACCTGTTCGAAAGCTTCGTCTCAGAAGCTTTGATGCTGCGATCGCTGCGTACCCTCCTCCTTTCACACCGCAACACAGCACCTGGAAAGCGGGATCGAGCAAAGGTCAATCATCAATTGGCCCTCGTCTCACAAGCAGGGCATCAGTACCAGACAAAGCTCGTCAATCAATGGTCGCTGGGCCGTTGCGATCTGCGCCGTTCTTTCTTCTGCCCCAATGCCATACACATTCCTGGCTATTCTCAAGAGTTCATGCCTCATCAAGAGTGTATTCCTGTGACCACTTGGGCTCTCGTCTGCAAGCGGACCAACGATGACGCGACTGTCATGGCGTAGTTGGCGGGCCAGGTGTATCATTGACGTGCTTACTGTAAACATCCTACTTATCAACGCTGTACTGATTGTGTGCTACGAACCTAGTATGTCCAAAGTTTGATGTCTCGTTGCGCTTGAATCTTTTGTGCTCCTTCGTCCGCATCTCATATCATGTAATAAGTATGACCCAATGCAAGGAAGTCACATCAGTCGCCTTGGATACCATCTCCGAGATGGGTTGATCCCTTCAGTGTTGAGTCAGACTGATTGACTCTCTCCTCCAATATGATGCACCCACCTGTTCAACCCCGAGCACTGCGCTGTGTCGAAGACGATGAACTGTGCGGCCGCTACTTGTCGCTTTTCCTTCGGATTAATCAATGTATACAGGCTAGAGCGGAAACGACTTCGCAATCAAAAGGCAAAAGAGTATATGGCTGGGTCCGTACTCATGCTTATCCATTTTTTTTTGGCTCTGACTTGCCCATTTTTACAGTCGGAGAGCTCAGCTGAAGTTCCAACCAGCTGAGATCCAGCGGAGGGTTGCGGAAAGGTCTCGGATGTATCGGAAGCGATACAAAGAACGGTCTGACAGGTCTCAATTATGTCTGTCTACTGATAGACTGTAGTCGTCGAGCTGCCACCGCCCAAGCAGAAAACTTCGGTTCTTCCGAGTATCCAGCCTCCCTTCTTAAATCTACGCTTACATTCTCCCGATGATTTCGATTACCCCTTCACAGAACTCTCAGAGTACCTAATTCCCTCGTCATACACCCCGCCGCTTGTACTTCTCCCCCCTTTCTCACCATTAGATGTACCATCATGCCTACCCTCACTACCTCCATTCTCCACCTTTGACGCTCTCATGTCATCCTCACTACCCACGTTCCCCTCACCCACACTCGGTACTTATGAATGAGACCTGATGCCCCATCACTAGACGCGTGACAAATTGGCGTGGCAAAACCCATGCATCGACATTGACGACCTGGTATAAACGACATTAACTAAAGAACCGCCCCAACATCCCCCAACTTCATGAACAGCTTACGACCAATACTTCCCCGATTCTCTCGGGCTTTCGTCCACTCGTGCAGAAGGTCGACATACTTCTTTTCGCGCAGTCTCTTTGCTTTGAACTCCAGTTCATAGTCAGATAGTCCGCCCTTCTGGAGCCAACGGACTACCGATGAGTGGAGGAACTGCGACACGAAGAATTGCTTTTCGCCCTCGCCAACTGGCGCGAAGCTGTACATTTGAGCTCCAGCGGGAAGCAGCAATGTGTCCCCAGGCTTCAGGGAGACCATTCGCCCTTCGCCATGCATCAACAGGTGGCCGCCAGTATTGGGGTTCCATTTTCCGACAACTGTCATCGCTAGCAGATCGCAGAATCTGACGTCCCACCGTTTTTGTGGTCGGAAAGACGTCGCTATGTTGCGGCTGAACTCGCAAGTGCAAAACACTGAGTGCGGATAAGGAGGCGTCAAGTGGTCGTGATCGAATAGCCTCTCCATTTCGGATGCCATGGATCCACAAACCGCGGGGAAGAATTGTTTCGCGCACTCTAGTTCAACGTCTCCGTCAGGGAAACAAGTAGATGGCGGATGACGAACCTAGTTGATATTCCGCAATACGGTTCATCGGTGCGAGCTCCGTGATATCGCCTCCAGGGAAACTAACCATTCTCAAGGGCTTTTCGAGGGTTTTGGCTGTCTGCAAAAGCATTCGTGAGATGACCAACTGAGAAAATGAAATACAACTCACGGCATATGGCCCTTCTTGAAAGCCTACCCCCCATCTCATTGGAATGACATCTTCGAGGACCGACAAACAAGCACCGAGGGATTTGCAATCGGCTTCCCATCTCTTGTTCTGACTCGAAGGACCATGTAGAACAACTGCCGTCAGGACGTTGTGAGAGTCGACGAAGGGAGTCGGCAACGTTCTGAAGATGATACGGTGAGTGAGCATCACTGAAATAAGACGAGAAACTAACGGATGGAGGTCTGCGTTGACCAGGCCATACTGACGACGTAGGAGACCTTTGATGCGATTTCGCGGCAATGCCGCGCGGGGCGCCGCTGGAACGACACCGACGGCCTCATTGGTACTGTCGCCGCTCTTTGCCTTTATCAGTCTCGACGATCGACGCAGCTCGAGCTGAACATCCCAAATTGGCCACAGGTTCCGGCTCGTCCTCATCCTCGGTGTCATCCGAAAATATGGAGTCGGGTTCAGAACGCGTCGTCCGATTATGGCGTCCAGCATAGGTCCGTTGTGGGCTACGAGTCGAAAGGCTGGGAATGTCGAAGAACCCCGCGAATGCCTCGGCAGGACCAGACATGACTGATAACTCGCCGGTGTCGGAGCGTAAGTTGGTCACTATCTCCTTTTCTTGCTCTGAAGTCAACGGCGCGTAGTCCTCGGGAATGAAAGCCTTCAAGTAAGTCAGCTCCCTGAAATCCCGCATAAATACCATTCTTCACTGACCTCCCCTCGATAGAAATCGTCACAATCCTCCATGAACATAGTCAGGCGATTACCGAGCTCCAGCTCATCTCCCAGAGCCAAATATGAATTCGCTTTAACTGCATATGATGGGGGGTCGCGACGCAGAGGACGGCGTCCACGGTAGTGGGGCAACATGGACGGGGGACGCAAAGCCGACTTGAGAGGGCTCAAGCGATGGTGGTTGCCCTTTTTTTTGAGAGGGGATTGCCAGTGGGAATGGTTCGACATGCTGGTAAGATTTTTCGCTTTGCTTGAGGTCGTTCTTAAAGCTTTTTGGAGGTCATAATATGCGGCAATCCAATCAGATGGATGTTACCATGTATGCACCTGGACGCGCCGGTGGGTTTTTTTTTTTTTCTGGTGCGCCAGATCAAGTTCCGCTTAGCGAGACTCTCT